CTAACAATATCACTTTGTTATCTGATAGGCTTGTTTGCTTTGTCGGGTGTCGTTGGTGACTACCACCTAGAAGCTGATGTAGGTCACATCCGTATAAGTGTGTTGCAATCTATTTATGCTCTTTTCATTGGAGCGTTCCCTGTGTGATAGGGTGTATACAGAGAAATTGATTCACGGGTTTTACAGTTACATTGTGAGGTGATCTACTAATGTCAGTCTTGCATGAGAGCTCTCGACGGCGACAGGATGCCATTATGAACATACCTTGTTTCTTTGGATTATGTGTGTTGTTATTGTATGGACCACTGGTCTCAGGTGAGTGTGACATATATTCGTTTTCACGTTTACTGACAAGTTGTGAAAAATGTATAAACAGGTGGTACGTTTTACAACAATAATCGATTTCGTTCTTTAGGTCAAACTACAGCTAGGTCAATAAGTTTTAAATGGCAGACAGACAAGGCATATGCGTTTTGAATTTGAGTCTGACAGGAAAATATATCGTATATGACAATCTCATTTGTTCGATAGCGGAGAAACGGCCTGTCGCCTATCTAAACAAGATGGCGGACACGATATTGCGAAATGTTGACGCACAGGGCTGATCGTGCTGGGGTCAGTGAAGATAGGATGGGAAATGCATAACTATAGTGAGTGAGTGAGTTATGATTTAACGTCACATCGGCAATATTGCAGCCATATCGTGACGAGAAAAGTTTTATATAAATAATAAATCAAAGTTGCTACAGAATCAGTCAGCGAAGGACTGTAAAATAACTAGAGTATCACAGATGGAGTCTAAAACTAGCATGAACATGTAAAACTAGTTTATTTACGAAGACAATACAATATAAAAACGGGCTATAGATCGCCAACAACTGAAGGTAGATCACCATACTAGGAACCATGGGGACTTACATTACTTTTGCTACCTGCATGGACCCTAGTTGGAATTTACACCATCCCTTCAACCATTGGCGACAGAAGAGAAATCTAGCCATAAATTAAAAACACACTTATTCTACGATTAAAAACCTGGTACACTTAAATTGACTAAATGTTTTGGGACTTACGTACCCTCTCAGGAGGACAATAATTTTACAATACTTCAACCCCCTTTGAGGATACAGCCACTAACAATCTCAGTTGCTAATCTAAACTACCAATAATAAAATATATATCTATTTACAAATCACTTAACAAATCTAATTCTTTTAAAAAGGCAATAACTAAATGAGAACTAACAGTAGTAAAAAGATCCTTCAATGTTTTGACATTAAAATACTTATCCCTTGTGATGGAATATTCAACACAGTCAAGCAGGACATGCTTGACTGTGATTCTTTCATCACAAGGGATACAAAACGGAGGATCCTCGCCCTTCAATAGGTACTCATGAGTGTATCTTGTGTGGCCAATGCGACATCGTCGCATGGTGACCTCTTCAAATCTGGACTGACATCCCAAGTAGGTGTAACGATATAAGGTTTGATTGCATGTAATTTATTGATACCTACTTGGGTGTCCCACTTCTTCTGCATTAGATCTGCATAACTATAAGTGTGTGTAATTATATCATATTATACAGTTGTTAGCAGCTGAATAAAAATCTTAAAGACTAGTTGAATACGCCATTAACATAGGGTTTGGTGATAGTGATTAATGCTATCATATGGATGTGAGAATTAGATCCTCGTTGTATGAAATGCGTTATGAAAAAACAACATTGCTGACATGTCCAACGCCAAACTGGAAACGTATCTGTTGGATCTCAGTGGCCCAAGGTCTAAGAGTTACCATTCTGTCTACCCAGTTTAGTCAGTGAAGGGTCTAGTACATTTGGTCAGACAGGCAATTGTCATCCATTTTCATTAGTCTAGTCCACTATTTTACTTATTTTGTAGTGCATGTATCAAATAGTAATGGCTGATCACTTTCACAAAGTACAACACCGTTACAGTCTGTTAGAGTAAGTAAGGTTTTACGCCACTGTTAGCAATATTCCAGCAATACCATGGCGGGGTTCACCACAAACGGGCTTCACACGTTGTACCCATGTGGGGAATCGAACCCGGGTCTACGGAGTGACGGGCGGACGCCTCAGCCACTAGGTTACCCCACAGATTGTGAGAAGCAGATGAAAACTTAATTTTTGTATAAATTTAGTCTGTGTACTCTCACATCCTTTTATGTCAGAATGAACAGGACCAAACTGACTTATTTGGTAAATGGTCACACATAGATAGATTGCAGTATATATGGGTACAGATACCAAGTCAGCCTGCTAAACCAACATCCGTCTCGTCCATACTGTTATTTTTTGTGGGTTAGTGTGTGTGTGTGTGTTGGGGAGGGGGCGTTTTGGGGTTTTGTTTTGTGTGTGTGCGCATACAATAAAGTCACATATATCTTAAAAGGAAGTGGTTTCAATAATATATCCTAAATGCCATTTTTTCAAATTTGTCACTGATGTTGCATACATATAGAGAAGTGTATCGCAACACCTATTACAAAGGCGAGCATCATGTGTTTCCGTATTGAGTGAGTGAGTGAGAGTTAATATTTAACGTCACATCGGCAATATTTCAGCCATATCGTGACATGAACATTTGATATTGAAATGAAATATATGTATATTATAAAAAACCTGCGGACGAAGGACAGTAAAACAACTAGAATGTCACAGATATGTATGTAAAACTAGAAATTAAATCTAAAAAGTTATAACTATAGGGGAAAACAATACAGTATAAAAATGGACTATAAATCGCTAATATGTTTCCGTATTGAGCATCACGTTTCAGTAAACTGCTCTTGCAGCTCAATAAATTGGACAATTAGGTGATTATGTTTATGATTAGCAAACTGGTCAGGCACGTCACGCTTGGGATATACAGAATGTTGGTTGTCATCCATCGACTATCAGCCAAATGGCCAGAACATCAGAAAACTATTGACTTATGCACCGTCAGCGTTCCTGTCGACCACTCGTGGAAACTCCAATGGGAGATAGGGCCGTAGGTAGCCCATTAGGGTAGCTGAGAGCAGTAAATTGCATCTGAGAGCATCTTATTTTAGAATATTCCAGGGGAGTATGCCCGGAACCCCCAAGAGCCTCGGCCTATTCGCGGCCTGGTACGTGAATAGTGCTCCACCTATTAAGAAAAGTTATATATGCTTGCCTTGCAAGTATTACAATTTGCGTTTTTATTACAATTTACGTCGTAACACAGATCGTTGTAAGGCAAGCATATATAACATTTGAACAAGCGATTGTAGTTTCAAATTGCCTTTTAGTGCAGTTTAATTATATATATGCATTTCATTGCTAGTCACCTAGGCTATTCCATTTGTCCAAACCACAACATACGGAGACAGATCAGTTAGCAGACCGGGTGCTGTATTCTGGAATTGATAACCTGACAATGTCAGAAAATCGGAAAATATCAACAGTTTCCGATCTTGTTGCAAAACCATCCTCTTCAAACGAGCATTCGACTAAGTGCACATGAGCAGGAATCGGGATATGTAGCGCTATACAAATGTCTAATTTGATATGATTTGATTTGATATACCCGTTAGAAACTCACCCACAACCCAACCAACCCGCACTTTATATTTATACATATCAAAACCTCAGAAGATATTTGCGAAAAGACGTGATACAAAGGACAGTAGGAGATTTTATATCGATTATACATCAGGACGAATATCATTTTCGTCATTTGGCTAAGATTTGTCAGTTCTTTCTTAGGTTATCGCGCTAACAATCTTTATATTGGCAAAACCCTCAGAATTTTGCTGTGACCGTGAAAATTATCTCAGGTCACTCCATTTCACTTGTGTCGGTGAATCTCGCCAATATACCTTGGTACCAAATTTGAACAAAATCCATCATTTCTTTCTTGAGTTATCGCCCTAACAAGCCTATTTGATGTATGAAATGCAACGAAAAACAAACACCCGCGTATTTACGAGTGATTACAACTGTTATTACAATTTACGTAAATATTTATTACATTTTACCGCAATGAACATTATTACAATTTACGTCAATTTTTATTACAATTTGCGTGTTACAATTTACGTCAATTTTTATTACAATTTACGTCAAGTTTATTACAATCTGCTGCAAGTATTACAATTTGCGTTTTTATTACAATTTACGTCGTAATAATCTGGAAGATTAAAGTGTTTCAACAGATTCAGTAATGTCTGGGGTAGTCTTGTTGAAGAATGTTAAAGTAATTCAGATGGCATATCATTGCAAACCGCAGCTTCATTATATCAAAGACAATATACTGTATCTCTAACTTCCACAATGCCTCGATTACGTTCATCAGGTAGTTCTACAATGCAAATGCTACAACGTGAATCAAGCTCAGATAAATCCAAAAGTGGAGTTTTTTCCCTAGGTTTAACAATTGATTGTTCAAAATCATTGTGTCACTGATTTTGCTACAAGAAGAGAATGTTGTCCTGCTTTGAAATATAGTGGATTTCCAACGAACGTATTTGATGTGTATCCTGGCATCAAGTATATTTGGAATAAATTGCTTCTTCGTATGTCTAGGGTACGAAAGTCCTAATACATTCAAAGTGACTTTAAGCTGTCCGCTTTTTTCATCGTAGAATATGTGTGTTTTTAACTTATGGCTATGGTTGTCTCCCATCACCAGTAGCTGAAGGGATGGTGTAAAACCAGCTAGGGTCCATGTAGGTAGTAAAGGTACTGTAAGTTTCCATGGTCCTTAGCATGGTGATCAACCTTCAGTTGTTGGTGATCTATAGCCCTTTTTTATACTGTATTGTTGTCTCTACTTATGTATTTTTATGATAGCGTACTAGTTCTAAATAGATATCTGTGACAGTCCAGTACTTTCACTGTCCTTCGATGACAGGTTTTTACGTTCTAAAATTATTGATTTTAATATTGGTATAAAATGAATTTTGCTCGTCACTATATGGGTGTGACGCTAAATATTAACTCACTAACTCACTCCTGTGGTCCCTAGTACGGTGACCTACCTCCTGTTGCTGGTGATCTCCAGTCCGTTTTTTTAATATTGTATTGTCCATCACAGTTTATTTAATTTTACAGTTACATACTACTTTGAATTCTCTATCTGTGATAATCTAGTTTTTTACTGTCCTTCGTTGACAGTCTTTTATACTTTTCTTGTGAATATATAACTTTTGAAGTCACGATATGGCTGAAATATTGCCAGTGTGACTATCAATTTTAACTCACTCGAGCTCCTCTTATGTCTCACCGTAAAGCTGTAATATTCATTCATCTTGATGGGGGGGCTGCTTCAGGCTAACCCTGGCACGGCATAAGATGTCTCAACTGATCCTACTGCTAGTGAACTGAAACACGATGTGCCAAAATCATCGGTTTTATAAGTTTTTGACTTGGACGTTTCGTATTCGATTCCTCGTATTTCGTATGAAAGCCAACGACGTCTTTTTCAACACCAATAACCTTTAGACATAAAGAGAAAGACAAATGTAAACGGTGTTCTTATGAATGACTGTGAGAAACGCTACTTACACTGTGTGCTGACCGATGACAATAGTACACAGATTCAACAATTCTGCATACAAAACATTAGAATATATTACAGTGCTTCATTTGTTTAATTTTACGCGAACCAGTTTAGTTATTTTAGGCTTTATCTAGCCAAATATTATTTGACTTGGTAAAGACGGCCTGAAGAATGAGCTCCGGCTCAGGGTGTACTTCGGTTCTTGTGTGTTGCTATGTGAGCTGGACGGTGTATGTCTTGGAAAACAAATAACAACGCAGGGTTTCAATCCCAGCCATTTATTGTCAGCGTCTAACCCGGCTTTGTGTATGGCAATACCATCTTTAATCAGGTGATGCTTCTAATCCAGACGGTTATGGTTTTATGAAATTTCCAAGAACTCACGAGCATGACATTTTGCATGGGTGACATTTTGTATTTTATTTTTCTTTGCATAAATCAAATACATCAGTATGGTATGATTTATGCCACAACGATCCTTGGGAAAGCTGACCAATTACAACTGATATTCATATTCACAATTTACGAAGCATATGAAATTATTTCCATGCAACAATAACTGTCGACATGTACGGGTCCTGAATATGAAGACAACGTAGTTCGAACTCTGTAAAATATTCCACACATCACCTTCCTTTGTATGGAATAATAGCCCACTATCTTGTCCATTTATGAACTATTTGCCATGATGTTTACTAAGATGATATTAAGTTGTCAATAGAATGTAAGGATGTTGTGTTTGTGTAAATCATGCAATACCATGTCAGCAATTTCCTTACCCAAGTAAACATTAACCAGTTTCTAAACCTTCATTGTCCCTAAGTTATACTATTCATTGTTTAAAGGTTATGAAGAGAAGCCATGTACAAGCATGTAATACAATGAACGTGTCTTTACAGGTGCGTGCAATGTCACGCTCCATGCACAGAGGGAACCGCTGAATTTCACATCGCAACTACCCAGGCAACTACGGAAAGTATGTAGAGACATACCTGTTTATTTCATTTATGATCTGTTCACCAGAATGAGTGCTTATAGTCCAAGCATTCATATCTATTGATGAATGATTATTGTAATATCTTTATCCTTTATATGTAAGCACTACAGAATTAATGTAATCAACTGATATTTGATGTAAATGTTTATATGTTCAGATTTACACATGCCATGTTGCTTCAGTTCCAAATAACATTATTTTACAGCCATGAAAACTGTTATTGGGACATCTACCCTGAAACAAGCGGCTACAGGGTTGTGCTCGAAATGGTGTTTTCCAACATCCAAAAATACTTCACCTGTAACAATGACGTTCTTACCATAGACGTCATAAATAATGGTAAAATAGTCGTGTTACACTGAAAACCACCTTTTCTATATAAATTACTTATTAAATATAATATCATATTTTTTCATATATCATATTTATTGATTTCTTATCCAGAGAAAAACCCTCATGCGATCACTGTGGCGCATCAAGGAAGGAAAATAAGCGAAAGTTTGTGAAAGTTGAAGTAATTTACAAACTAGATTACTAAAACCGAAACACATTTCATATTTTTACAAAATTCTTCCTGACATTTTGTCCACCCAGGTGATCAAAGTAAAGCCTCGTCGCGTAAAATCTGTGGCGAAAGCAGATGGAATATTCTCATCGAAGACGACCAACATATCCATGCAGTGTTCACGACTGATGCCAGTGGAACCAGGAGTGGTTTTCTTATTAGATACTATGAGAAAAGTGGTTAGTAAAGTCACGACCCTGGCTATGCAGCAGTAGTCTAAAATCTTTACTGTATGTACCGTTAAAGCTATAATTAAAAACCTGGTTGTTTTTCTCCATTTCTTCTTTTACAAGATACTTCTATGGGCTTGAACCAAAGGTAATAGTAGGTGTGGTCAAGTATATGAAATTGAGTCTAATGTTTTCAGTTGCTTGAATGGTCAAAATCAGGGATCAGTAAAGACTGGTTTTAATCAAAACGTTCGAACAACTTCAGAAAGCCAAAATGATCATCTTGTGCACATCTCTAAAACATTGTTCAAAACGGAGCAGATATTGCAATGATTGCGTGTTTCTTTCGTATAATAACGTAGATTCGCTAGCGCTGGCTTAACGAATTTCATCATGCAGGATTCTTACATGGCATCGTTGAATCTTTCAAAATAAATACAAAATACAAAGTTGCCCATGATGATCTCATGAATTGTACGGCTGGTACAAATTGTTGTCTTGTGACAACCAGGTACCAGAAACTGCGGTGTACCTCTCGTAGCAACTTCTGTCGGCAAGACATTTACCTCGCCTGGATACCCAAACACCTACTTCCAGTGAGTAACCTAATTACTCTATCAGCTACAAAGAGTACTAGAGTTTCTTGTATTGGTTACCCAGTGTTTAATGTTAAATAAATCAAGAGAGAGGGTGTGTTGGATGTATTATTAAGCTTTCAACAATGTTTACTTCACACCTAGTCATGCGTACACATTTGTACACAGCCATCTGTTTGTATGTGCGAATGTTTCGAACCATTCGGCAAACTTATTTGGATCATTTGTATGGCACTTGAAAATGAATGTGTCTGTTTGCAGGAGGCAGACATGTACCTGGACTATTACAGCAGAACATCAAAACCAAACCATTCAATTGTACACCATGGACTCGGTACTTCAGAACGTCTCATCTCGTGGAACTTGCAACAATGATTATGTCACTGTATACAACGGTCAATACGGTAAGTAGAGACGTGTACATTGTACTTCGTCAGTCAAGCGGTTATTGAGTTGCAAATATATTCGTCTCTGCAAAGTTCTCCTTTCAATGACTGTAAACTCAAAGGCAAAGGGTATTGTGACACAAACAACAAACAGAATCACTTTTTAACTTTAAGCTGCCGAGAAAGACAAATGTTCCAAGCTATGGTAATGATCAACAGTCCATAAGAATTTGGTTTTTAGAAATGAGTTTCAACACAAGAGGTAGTCAGATTGTAAGTACCAAGTGCGTCCATCAGGTGCATTAATCATGACCTGGCATCTTCATTTCACTGAGGCCATAATGCGTCGATAAAAGGGAAGATTATCTCATCTCGGAATTTGGCGGAGTTTTGCAGTGCTTTTGGGGGATTCGCATGACTTCGTAAACGTACCTCTATTTCATCCCTGACGTGTTCAGTGGGTGACACATCAGGGGATCTTGCTGGCCAGGGAAACACATGAAGATTGCTCTGACTAAGAAACTGCTGTAAACTCCGGAAACGGGTGGTCTGTGGTTATCGTGTTGAAACAGCACACCATCTCTGTTCTGTTGTGAAAACGATACAGAGGTCATTTACAAGATCTCGTCTCGATACCATAACGTCTTGACCTCCAAAACAAATCCTTTCTCGAGCACAAGGCCTAATGTAACGTTCACAGGGCCTGTTGTAAACTCGGTGAAGAAGTAGATAAACTCATCGGTGTACACAGCCTTCCTACACTCACTCCCTTCTCTAAGTGTTGTCTGCTGTAACTTAGACGTCGGTGTCTATATTCTGGCGTCAGCTCTGCACGGTTGCTGTAGAGGCGAACACACGCCTGTTATCAGGTATGCTACAAGCTGTAAGGGTTGCTGGACTGAACCTGTGTCGGAGGTCCGTGGTTCGAAATTGTTGTTCGAGAGAATACCCCCAAGTGGCATTTCGAGTGTGTTCCAGAACGATTAAAAGAGATACTGGGTGTCTGGAATTTCAAAGTTAAGAATGTTGGTCATTGTTCTCCTCTATATCATGCTCCTAACAAATTTCATGGAATTCGAGCAACAACAGCTACTCTGCTTTTATTCCACCTTTCTAACATACTCGTTCCACTCGTTGGTTCAAATCCAAATACTCATTCACAAGAAAACATTTTACTAATGCTTACTAAAGCATGCTGACGTCAAGTTTGCACAACGCATGGTTGTTAGCCTCCGGCAGTTTTGAATGATGCTGTTCAAAGTTAGGAGAATCAACACTTTTGACATTGTTAATAATATAATGTTCCATTACAGGTTCATACCAGCTCGGCACCTTCTGTGGCAACGAATGACCTGTTTTTAACAGCGGTGGGAACGCCTTGAGTGTTCGTCTACGAACTGATTCCTCGCAAGTCTACAAAGGATTCAAAATGCTATACAAAGCTATACCGGGTGTGTATGCATTAAGCACTCAGATGGAACCTAAAACTACAGCTACCCGGTTAGATAATAATTAATTAATGTTCTGATATGATGGTGAAATATAGTAATTTTACAAATAAACACACAGTTGTCAACTGTAAAACTGCGGTTCAACTGACCAAAACAAGGCACAAAACAATAAAATCACAGTCACTTACTAAATGTTATTTCATACATCTTAGTTGTGTTGACAAATGTGTCATGAACATGTCTTGCGAAAGACGTGATGAGGCATGACGGCAGCTCCAAACTCTCAGTGTTATCAGTCTCTAAATATATCAATACTGCGTCAGTTTGTGCATTCAGTTAGGCAATAACAGATCTATGTCTTTGTCATTGATGCCTTGATTCGTTTTGCGTAACAACTATGTTTGCCAATTATGATAACATTAGCTCTCAATTTAGACATATATTTTGGATATAATATTTCTGTATGAATCTATTTGTAAAACTGTAAACGGGATTAGTAAAATGTATTTATTATGAAGTTTCGGTAACAGATCTCTCTGGACAAAATGGTGAAGTGAGGACACATTGTCTTTAGAATAAGCCAATAATTCAAGAAACATATGTTTTATGACTATTGTTGACACCAGTTTTAACTAATGTCAACATTGGCTCACAGTAATGTCCCAGCCGGTCAGCCCAAAACCGTTTTCGCTATTTTATCGCATGGTAGATTATACTAGTAAACATTATACTAATAAAACCTTGATTTCTTTAGTATTTATCAGATACGCCTCTGGAGAGCTTAAACATTGTTTGTCAAAAATGTCTGGGTCCATAACAAACAAACTACCACAAAGACCGAATCCCCCACCCCTTCATTCCCCGACAACCAGCCACACACACAAAAGAACGTGCGAACGCACGAACACACACGCACACAGGAACGCCGAATCCTTGTTACAACAACAAAAAACAAACAAAAACTGTACAATTGCTACTCTTCTTCATTGTCAGCAACAACGTGCAGCCTCACGCTTTCCGCAGGTTACAGTCCACTGGTGATTGTCTCCCCTGGCTATCCAAGCAACTACGTAAAGTAAGCAAAGAGTTACAATAATCTGATGTAAATGAATGCATGATTCAAAACCCGTTTACTTGGATATAATTCGCCAGATCAAAAGATGTTTACACATGTAGATATATACTCTTCGCCTTGATAATAATGTCACCAAATGTAAATATGCTTGTATCACGTTTAGCCAATATGGATGATGCTTGTGTTTTTGTTTTGGAACATTTTTTTCTTCTTCTTTGCAGTGGATTGGACTGTCAGTGGACTCTAAATGCACCGATAGGAAGCAATATAACGGTGAAAGTTTTGTTTCTTGATTTGGAAAAGGTGGCATCGTGCGTGGATGATTATCTACTGTTTAAAGATGGTAAGTAAAGCTTCGGACGCATGTTAACGTTGTGTTCCTCTTCGAATTGAGCAAAACAGTTGTAGCTTAAGTTCTGTCACATCCGTGTGGTACCAAGGAGAAAAAGAATATAATCAAGATAATATTAATGATCACTACTTACCTATACTCACCAAAAAATGCCACACATTGATACTTATCTTATGTAAAATTTCAAACATGTTTTTTTTCAAAATTACTTGTTGACTGTTATGATTTCGCCCTTGTAATTCTGTGAAACGAATGCACAGCGCATTCTCATCTTCAAAAACATTAATGCATGTCTACGTTCAACTTGCTGGAAAATGGCATGGATGAAGAGTGGCATGCACGTGCCGTTTACTGGAATAGTGAGCAGGGAGATGGCCTATATAAGACTGTTCTGCTTTTAGACGGTCATTGGTATTTTTAGTGAGTGAGTGAGTTAAGAGTATCAGTCACATCGGCAGTATTTCAGAGATAAATCAAGTTATAGATATATTAATAATTAAAGATAAATTATAATATGCTTTCTACGAAGAACTAAATTATCGCAGATATAAGTAAATCTAAAAACGTTAACTATGCATGACAATACAATATAAAAACAGGCTATAGATTGCCAACAACTGAAGGTAGATCACCATACTAGGGACCATTGGTAACTTTAGCTAAATGAAAGAATATCGTTATGTCGAGACTCACTGATGCAAATCAAAACCTTGGACGTCTGGAGTCTGGGGAGTCTCTAGCTGCTGTTGCACGTCACCTCAGTGTTCACAAGAGTAGTAGTTTATGGGACGGATATCAACAAACCAATTCTACGCAGGATGGGACTCGAAGTGGTACACCCCGGATTACCATAGCAACCCGGGATAGGTACATCAGGGTACTTCATTTGCGGAATCCAACTGTCAAAGCAACTGTTGGACCCTATTTTGCACCTGTACTGCGACGACTACATCGACGTCGACGCGTCCAGTGTTACAGTAACGTTTGATTGTGACGTGTATTGTTCAGTGGCATTTCTGCTTCAGTGACGTGACTGACGTCGAAATGAAGGTTTTACCCAGAATTATGTCACCTTAGTTGACCGACATGGTGCAGGGAGTGTCTTAGAGTGGGATACCATATCCGACACGCAGAAATCTAACTGTGTCCGCCATCTTGGCAATTTAAATTATTTTCGTTACAGAGACGATATCTTAAGGATTCATATGGCTGTTCCAGTGAGTAAATGCCAGGTCTCATACAGCACTTGCCATTATTTAGTATCTTCACAATGAGAGCATTACAGTATTTCCATGGTCTTCCGAATCTCACGACCACAACCCCATCGAGCATTTGTAAGGTGACCTCGGCTGATGCGTGCGTGAACGTCAACCGGCGCTCCGGACGTTAGATCTGTTGTCGCAGGCATCGCAAGAGGATTGGGCCAGTGAATGAGTGAGTTACAATTTAAAGTAACTTCGGCAATATTTCAGCCATATCGTGACTAAATTAAGGTATAAAATGATAATAATTAAAGGTAAATTCTAACGAAGGACATTAAAACAACTAGGATATCAAAGTTATAAATTTAAAACTAGTAGTGTGATCCGAAACATTTTTACTATATATGACAAGACAACATAAAAACAGGTTATAGATCGCCAACAACTAACGGTAGATCACCATACAAGGGACCATGGGGACCATAGTACTGTTGCTACCTGCATTGACGGACTGGGTCAAAGTTCCACAAGGTCGAATTCAAAGGCTTAATCACTCCATGCCGAGACAGTGCAGAGCAGTTTTGGGGGCTCTTGGTGGTCACAATAGATATTAAAGACAACTCCCCATTGGGAACAGACACCTTCACTGAATGCTATGCATGTTAACATATATTTGAGCTTTTCAACTGTGAAAATTGGCTGCAACTCACCAAGACTCTTTGAACTCGAGGATGTTTTACCCATTCCTACGGTCGAAACCATCACTTCAATTTGGACAGGTTTCAGAGAGATGTTCCATGATCTTGTCTATGGTGGGGAATGGGTAACCGGGGAGGCTATTTTCAACTAAGGCATTGCTAAACCGGTTCTTGCCTTTGGGGGAAAAGAAGATGGGATATGGCAAAGCCAAAGTAACTCCTTATATTCATTGTCTCGTTTACCATGCACCTGTCATGTATGCCACATTTGGACCTCTGCGTCAGTTTAGTTGCCAGGGTACTAAAAAGATGAATGATGAAATAAAGAGCATTCATCAGAGAAAATCCAATAAATGGGATGCAGCAACTGACGCCCTGAAGATAAGAAAACGCATGGAAGGGAACCAACACCATGTGAGGGCGAAAAGGCCTTACACAAAACGCAAACTACAATTCTGGGAAGAGGATTTGTCTGCTATGAGAAAATCGAAACGACAGGCCGTAAGGGACGAAGTGGAAAATGTAACCTTGCCTCAACTTGATGTCAATCAGGCCAGTGTGCCTGAATTGAGGGACTACTTAGAGTCCAAAGGGTGCAAAACAAAGGCAACGAAACGAGATGTTTTGTTAAAAATGGCAAAGAATGTGTAAATGGCGCCAACTTCGTTCAACCATTAAGTGAAAACGCATCATGTATTTGAAGGCCGCCATATAGCTGGAATATTGCTGACTGCGGCGTGAAACTAAACCTAAAACCTGAAAAAAATCATTCCCCTTTTCCTTACATGGGAATTATCTGTCCAGTTATTAGTCACTATTTTTAAATTTGATGAAATGTCTGTGTAATAAATATATATGTCTCCTTCTATTACATTTATGTTATTACTGAATGAGCAACTGAATTTGGAAAAAGCATCCATAAAATATTTGGCTGAAGCGGCCGAAGTGATGTAAAACTAGCACGAGTTACGTCCCTTAAATTGTTGTTGAATCGAGATATTTTACATGCGTTTCCAGAAATTTGACGTAACTTGTCTGTGTCCAATATTCTTGAAAATGACTGCATGTGCTATTTCACTTGATAGGTAGCAGAATTCGTGAAAATAGACCATACGTTTCTTGTTTGGGATATATATTTTTGACACGTTGTAAGAGCTTAGTTGAAATGTATCTTCCCTAATATGTGTTTCAATGAGATCGGAAGACTATCTCATGACATGTTACCTATGAGTGTGCCTGACTGAGACAGTATTGCACTCAATAATGTCCTAGATACCCGGCGGCTACATTATTAACAATCAACCAGGAAATATAACTACTTCAGGGATCAATATTGTCTGCACCTGTCGTGTATGATGATAAGCAATCACCCAGCTTGCTTTTAACAGAGGGAGAGCGTATCATCCCTACGTGTAGTGAGTGAATGAGTGAGTTTAGTTTTACGCCGCACTCAGCAATATTCCAGCTATATGGTGGCGGTCTGTAAATAATCGAGTCTGGACCAGACAATCCAGTGATCAACAGCATGAGCATCGATCTGCGCAATTCGGAACCGATGATATGTGTCAACCAAGTCAGCGAGTCTGACCACCCGATCCCGTTAGTCGCCTCTTACGACAAGCATAGTCGCCTTTTATGGCAAGCATGGGTTGCTGAAGACCTATCGAGTATTGCACTCGATAATGTCCCAGATTCCCGGCGGCTACAATATGAGCAATCAACCATGCAATAACTTATTCAGGGATCAGTATTGTCACCACACAGCCTTATTGTCACAACACAACTTCATTGTCACAACCCTACCTTATTTCCCAGTCAAGTGAATTTCTCTTAGACACATCACATGCACCTGAATTCTCAGTAGGACTTCCTATACGGACATTTCATTTGAGAAAACGATATGAAAATATGAAAACCTCACCACTGAAAAGAAAAATATATCTTCTGTTGCAATAATTATTATTTCAATCAAGTAATCTGTAAGGTTCTTGTTATCAACTATAATTGACGATGATGGTGTAGTGTATGACAAAGAGTTGTATTTCTAACAGTAATCATAACTGAGTCAATCTTTAATGTTCCGAACATACGGCTGCCTTGAAGAACAATACTGTTCCCTGCGTATATCGTCAGTATTTATTTACTGTTAGTGTTGAATCGAACCTTGGTAACGAATAATTTTCATATTGAAAAGAATGTTGTTTGCTTCTATACTGAAGACATCAAATAAATGTAAATGAAACTGCATTCATTAATTGATGAAAGATGCACAATTAATACATTAACGTTTTAGGTACGGCGAACGATGCTCGCCAACTGGCAAAGATTTGTGATAGTAGGTCTACTCCCATCGTCAGCTCTAGTAACCATATGACCATCATGTTTCACTCAGACCATGCTGTCACAGGAGGAGGCTTTCGTTTGCAGTACTCATTAGGTAATAATCTCAGCAACATTCTTTAACTTTTAATAAAGTCTGGTTCTTGTCTTCATTGGGAAAATATACTTTCCTGATGAGCAGAATAACATAATTTCCTCAAGACCACAGAGACCCTTTTGTCTGCTTTTACCTTGTTCCCTCTTCTGAGGATCTTTTCACTTAAAACTTTCAAGCATCCAGGCGAATAACTGTTTCCATCTGAATATACTCCATTAACCCTAAAGTGTGATGATATTCATGTCATCCAGTCACTCTTGGTTATCACAAATCGTCAAGTGTATTATGTTTTATTATGTTCATAATTTCACTCGTTTGGCTTCACACTGTTACAGCTTTCGACTGTGGATTATCAGATCTCTCCGCATCTTCTGTCACGTGGAAGTACTTGACTTCTCCTGGCTATCCTTCGAACTATTACAAGTAGGTGCCTACTCTCTTGACAAGTGAATAAAGGTTAACAAGTTAGTAAATATTAGCAAATAACATGTGGTAAATAGCACTACACGCGTGACCGATATGCAGCACTCCACACGTGTCAACGATTTAGCACTGTAAACGTGACTTTGAAACTAGCACTAAACACGGGACAAGTAAGTGTGACTAAGCCAATGACTTGTAAGTAACTTATCACATGTATAGTTGTATGGTATGTTTTGATGAACTGAAAAGTATTTGTATGGGGTTTTTTTCATATAAACACTACACTTTGTACATTTCAAGATTATACACTTGAACAATTTACTTGTTTATATACGTTTGCATAATACCAATTTATGTATACAAATTCTGTTTTCAGCAATGTACACTGCGAGTGGAAAATTAGAGCACCATATGGATATGAAATTAAAGTTGAAATTATATATTTGTCGTTGGAATATTCCTCATCGTGTTCGAGGGATTATCTTGTCTTCAAGGACGGTAAGTACATGGTACAAACGTATAGAGGTTCCTCAGAACAAAATACTCGTAGTGCGCTTTGTGCTGTATTCGTTACTTTTGAGACAATTCATAAATTACTTAGTTTGATCATAAATCCAAAAATACGTGAACGACCATTGGATCACATTAACCGGTTCTCTATACAATTGGTTTTGTTATTTGTAAGAACTTTGGACTTGATGGGTGATGATAGGCGCATAATGTATTTTATCACAGTTACTCTAAATACGTTCTATTAGCATCAGCTTCATTTGAATACTAGCATGCTTATGTATATGCGTCAGAACCAATGCCACTAACTTAGTAAGTATATTTTCTCAAGGCTCATCATCTTGGTCACCTCAGTTGGGTAAATATTGCGGTGTTTAATACAGCAAACAGCTTGTCAGCTCGCGCAACTACATGACCATCGCCTTCCACACCGATGGCTCTACCACGCGACAAGGTTATAATCTGAAGTACAAAGCTGGAATATTCCCATCAACAACAACAACAACCACAGGTACAATAATTGTGTTTTTGTGGTCAACCAGTTGTGTGTACATAGATTGGAATGTGTGGGGAACTGGGGCTGCGGCTGGGACTGTGGAACTGCCATTAGTGGTAGGGGGTATCCAATGTTGCTTGGAGATGGCATTGACAATACGAGGGGTTGGTGCCAGAACACCTTAAGTAAATAATTCTGTCAAATATAGGTAAGGGTATTAATGCACTCACATACTGATATGTTACTCATAAACAAAAGCCCATAGCAATCAGGGGCTTAATTAGGTGGTTATGCATTAGAGTTCAAACAACTTATCAATTATCTCTCCTTTTGGTATAGACCAGGTTATGCTATGTTCATATACACCGTTCAGTCCTGCTCAACTGCTGTAGCCACGCTTGATATTCTCATGCCATAAACCCTTAACTGGCAGCAGTCGCCTCTGGCAGACTGTGGTGTCCATCAAGAATTTCCCTTACCGGTTAAAACAACTGATATGCTGAAGGAATGTTCTGGCTCTTAGACTTACAGCTGATAAGGACCTCTCTCCGGGATCAGATGGTCTTAATTACTGTTATTCTGTTGTGGCCATATATAAGGGTGCCTCTCCCAGCTGTTTACAGGGTTTGTTTCACACTAGCCAAGGTTAGTTTATTTTGAACCTTGGGAGAGGAGCTATTTTTTAAAGTGTGCGTTTATATTAGGAACATTTACAGTACGAAATTCCCACTAAGACATTACAGGTAAGTCATATCTGTAAATAGAAAATAAGTACTTGTTAAATATAAAACACATGAGTGTGGTAATATACTTGTATATTCACTTACGAGATTTGCTGTCTGTATAAAAGTTATTTGCCAGCACTAATTCAGATTGAAACTAAATTGCTTTGATTATTGAGTGTTATCAAATTCAGTGTGTGATATTAGCCAGTCCCTTAGTTTAGTACTCTGGTTTTAGGTCTATGCAAGATGTCTGAATTATGGTCGGACGCAGATGAAGATGAATTATTACAATCTGACTTTGCCACAGCCACAGATTGGTCACTTGCCACTAATTATAATATGTCGGTCAATTCTGATTATATTCAACATGAACCAAACCCATGTGGCGAGTGGCTGGATACCCCAGCACAATCTGATAAACTATCGGATATGCCAATACAGTATGACGCAAATGATGAAGAGGATGAGTCAGTGGATAAACCAGCACCAGATCATACCACTGAGGATAATCAAACCCAGTTTGTATCAATACAGCGTTATGTGCCTCTTGATTTACAAAGAAAGATGGATACTACGCCCAGATGTCTACCACAACAGTGTGCAACACCAATACAGAGTGATGCGCCTGCAGACATACCAGTACAGAGTGATGCGCCTGCAGACATACCAGTACAGAGTGATGCGCCTGCAGACATACTTGTACAGAGTAATGCGCCTGCAGACATACTTGTACAGAGTAATGATACTACAGACACAATAGTAAAGAGTGATGCACCTATAGACATACAAGTGCAGTCTGATGCGCCTATAGACATACAAGTGCAGTCTGATGCGCCTATAGACATACCAGAACAGAATGATGCCCCTATAGACATACAAGTACAGGATGATGCACCTATAGACATACCAGCACAGAATGATGCCCCTATAGACATACAAGTGCAGTCTGATGCACCTATAGACATACCAGAACAGAATGATGTACCTATAGACATAAAAGTACAGGATGATGCACCTATAGACATACCAGCACAGAATGATGCCCCTATAGACATACAAGTGCAGTCTGATGCGCCTATAGACATACCAGAACAGAATGATGCACCTATAGACATACAAGTACAGAGTGATGCCCCTATAGACATACAAGTGCAGTCTGGTTTGCTTATAGACGTACGAGAACAGAATGATGCACCTATAGATATACCAGAACAGAGTGATGCGCCTATAGACATACGAGAACAGAGTGATGCGCCTATAGACATACCAGTACAGACTTATGCGCCTATAGACAAACCAGAACAGAGTGATGCGCCTATATATATATACCAGAACAGACTGATGCGCCTATCGACATACCTGAACAGGCAGATGCGCCTATAGACATACCAGCACAGAGTCATACGCCCGTAGACATACCAGTACATACTGATGCGCCTATAGACATACCAGCACAGAGTGATGCGCCTACAGACTTATTAGTACAGTATAATGGACGCGGAGGAACATCATCTCTAAGGGATAGTGACAGTGACTTTGACAGTTCAGATAATGAACTATTGTCAACACTAAGGAGTAGGAAAGGACTGGTCCCTGACAACGACCCAGCATTATCGTCAGGTGAAGAATATGATCCAGATAAAACCGCACTCGATTCATCAGACTCAGAGTTTTACTCCATGTACACACCATGCTCACTTGTCAGTGAACTTTTCTACATGAGGAAATTGAACTGTTACAATTTTACAGTGTACGATTTAGCCACAAAAGGAGGCACATGCTTTGTATGGTCGGAAGTGGATGCCAAAATGGGATCATGTGAAGTTGCATCATGCCTGCAAATTCAGCTGAAGGCTTTGCCACCAACCGTCAAGCATGTAGTTCTGTATTCAGATACCTGTTCAGGACAGAACAGAAACCATTATGTCGCAGCCTCCCTATTACATGCTGTGACCACTATTGAACACATCAGTACAATTGACCACAAATTTCTAGAGCCAGGCCACACACAGATGGAGTGCGATGCAGTTCATTCCACCATTGAATTTGCCAAAAAGAAGACTAGCATCTATGGACCACCAAGCCAGTGGGACACTGTTATAAGAATGGCCAGAAGAAAGGACCCTTATATTGTCGTCCCAATACAGTTCACCGATGTGATGGACTTTAAAAAATATGCCCACTGAAAAACACCAAAATTGATACAGATGGTGGTCGTGTGAACTGGTTGTCAATGTGCTGGATGCGCTATATTAAAGGCAACCCAGAAAGCACCTTCTTCAAGACTGATCCACAGCAATGAGCCATTCAGAGAACTGAAAGTGTCTACAGGCAGCCACCGGGGAAGACCTCAGAGTATCTGTGGACCTCTGACCCGAAGGTACTCGGGAAAACAAGCAATTTCCTCAGCCAAGAAAAAAGATCTCATGTCACTCTTTCGGTCGGGTATTATACCCAGAGAGTATCACAACTATTACAAAGAACTCCTGACAGATGCTGACAAAGTAGAATGCCTCCCCCTTCCTGACGCCTTGAAGCAGGATACAGACACCGATACAGACTAAAGCTACGACACTGAAACAACAGACGTTGCTTTGTGCTATTACATGGTATATGTTATAATATGATTGTGGACATGGGTGAGGATAGTGTAATAATCATAGTGTCATAGTCTGGTTTTATATATTTCTTAGTCACTTTCATTCAAATGGCATGCCATGTTTCCAAGAACGTGTTATGTTGTATTATTTCCTGACTCCTCATTTACTGTAAAGTGTTCTGCTATATATTTCCACATTTTGCAAATTTAACTTGCACACATATTTCACACAAATCACTTTTTTCCACCAGACCACATAGTTATGTAAACCTTTTCCTATAAGTTATTTAACAAGTTTAAAGAGTATGAAATAGTGTTAAGAGGTGGATATCAATATTAATTCTCAATTCAAAAAATGACATTTACATTTTGAGACGTCATCAAATCATTAACGAAAGGAAATACGACTCATTATTATATCTAACATGTCACATATCTAACCTGATATATCTATGTCATCAAATACCTAATGTGATTACTCAGTGTTCTATCTAATCTGTGTGATGTAATCTTGATTCACTTATAACAGACTTAATTTTTAGTATCAAAAGTATTTAGCCTTCATCTATGTCATAGTCTAGTATCATAGTTCTATTCAGTTTTATCATCCAAAACTGTGTTCCACAGGAGACATTGCTTGTGTGAGATCAGACGATATCTCCTAGGACATATCGTTTTGAGAGTAAATTTTGCACAATGCCCTGACAATGATATGACGTCATGAACTTGATGACGTCACATTGCTATGACATCGCTGTACTGCGAGTTCAATTGCAGTACTTTGTTCAGAGATGTACATTTTTCATTGAAAGCTAAGGAAGAGTGATTTTTGATGATAAATAGAATCTCACCCTCGTGTCTTCTGATATCAAATATATCAAGACTCGTTGATCAAAGTAAAATATCGGCAAGCCTCGGACATTTGTTACTTTATCAACTCGTGGTGATATATTTGATATCAAAATACTCTCGGGTAAGATACTCTATATACCAAGCGGCTTAAATTATTACTCAGATCGTTACATTTATCCCTAATTTGACTTAATATGTAATGGGCTTATCTGTGGTTGCGTATTATGTGTATGTTTGTGACTGTGCTTGATTTTCTTCTATTCAGTAATTTGAAACTATACTGTTTATGAATTTCTGTTTACATGTAATATAATATTGAAATAGTTAAAAATACTGAAACACTTACAATGTCTTATAGTAATTGGTTTTATTCTTCAATAAAGAAGTACACGGTAATGATGCATTGTGGAACTATGTTGAAAAGTATTGAGACGCTGTTGTCATCTAACAGAAAAGTCTAAAAGAAAGTCTTGAAGGTGGTTTAAGCAATTACTGATGTCTTCAGTGATAACAACATGTGAAGATAAAATTTCACAAGCAGAATTTAAGGCGAGCTATAAGTAAAATGCATTCAATAACAGAAAGGCAGTTACTGCTGGTTAATGGTTCCAGCCACCAGCTGAGAGTGTGAGATACTGCCGAGAGCAGCTTTACCGCAGTATATGGTTACAGGGCTTAGAGGAAACAGTGGTTGGCTGGCTGTGATGATATGGGTGATCTTGAGATCAGGGGTCATTGCTTTTAGTTGGCTTCCGCATTAATACAATTGTTGGTGCAAAGATAATGCTCCCCGAGTTAGTGGAAACTGCGACACAGGGAAATCGTAGCCGCAAACTATGCCACAATCCCCTGTTTAAAGATAACCGGATTCTTGACTCGGGGACAGACATATTCTCAACATATTCTTAACTGCCATACGCTGTGTTTCTAATTTAACTGGTTCTCGCTCTCATGTTTACAGAGCCCAGAGTGTTTTACATTTACGCCAGAACAAGCTACAGTTTATTTTCGTCATACCTATTTAATTAGGCTGATTATATTTATGGTTGTATAGTAACATGAATGCACCAGCATACTATGTCACCTAGTCACAAAACAGTAAACAAGAATTGACTATTTTTTTTGTTGTAACTGTCCAAACATTTGAGTGCTGTTTCTCGAAATGTGCCTGTGTGGTTATAAGTGGTTCTGGATCTAACCCCTCGAATAGAGACATTATATTGACTTGATCCCTTGTTCAGGCAATGTGGGGAAAACCACATGTTACACACTTTATTATTGTATGAATAGAGAGGACACACTGTTATACAGGTGTCTACAAAAGAAAAGGTATTGATCTTCAATCAAAAATGTATCTTGTATGAGCTTTCATATCTATTTCTGCAATACTGTGTAAATTAACATACTATATGCGGTTACATGCCTTTTCTTCTACAACCTACTCTTCCGTTTATAACTCTGAAAGCAATTACCCAATGTCAACACTATTGTGACTTAAATATCCATTGCTTCCATTTTTTTAATTAAACAGAGAGACCGAATGTTTCTAATTGCGGTAGTTCATTGCTCAGCGCCAGCAAACATTCCTGGAGGTACTTGTCATCCCCTGGGTACCCATACTACAACTACAATAAGTAAGTAGATATATACATCATCTTTGTTGATAACTCGTTTTGACTACTTGCAAGTTAATTCAGTGACTCCTTCGATCCGAAAATGCACTGTCCTGACCCTGCAGCTTCACAATCACTCTCCCAGGAATCACTTAATCTTTGATCACTTCGGATGATCCAGACTTTGAAACATTTTGAGGATTTTCTTACATGAAGACATTACAATGCACATATCCTTACACATCAGAATTGATATTCTTTATCACCTTCCCTAGTGAGGAATATTGCAAGTCTTGCCAATTTCAGTGTGTTGGCATTATAGATAATTATCAGGAAGAACAAAGCTAATATTGATTGAGAGTGGTGGGAACAAAGCATCTTGGAACTGCTGAAACCTATGTTCATGCAGCAATGTTTTGCATGTTGTTTTGTAACCTAATTGACTTGCTGTCCAGTGTTATATTTCATATAATCTTTTCATCTCTTTCTTCACAGCAATATGTACTGCGAGTGGACAATCTCTGCACCTGCTGGATATAAAGTAAAGGTTGAAGTTCAGACTATTTCTATGCAATACGCCCCATCCTGTTCTAAAGACTACGTGCTCTTCAGAGATGGTAAGTACAATGTTCCTTTTCACAAAGGTACTTAGATATACGTTTAGTCATTTTTTCTTCAGATTGAATTTGTTTGCAGTTACCACTGGTCAATGATTAGCATTCACATTATGAAGTTGGCTTCAGTGTTTCCACCATGCGTATCTCTTTTAACCGACAACACAACGATTCTTTGTACTTTTCAAGGTTCTCCATCTTACGCCACTCGGTTGGGTAAATACTGTAGTGACGTCACCGGCTACATCGTCAGTTCCCGCAACTCCATGACCATCACTTTTCACACTGACACTTCTGTCACAGACAAAGGATTTTCTCTGAAATACACTGCACGGACGACAGGTGCTTACTTTTATATCAATTTTCGCGCGTTTCCTCTTTCATCAAATTCCATCATAAGGGATAACTATTTCAAATCACGAACTATGAAGGATCTTTTTAATAATATAAGTTCTTATTTAATTATCGCATTTTTAAAAGAATTAAACTTGTTGAATGATTTGTAAATAGATAAATATTTTATGTTTGGAAGTTTATATTAGTAACTTCGATTGTGAGTGGCTGTATCCTCAAAATTATTGTCCTCCTGAGAGCATACGTTTTTAATCATAGAATAGGTGTATTTTTGATGAATGGCTAGATTTCCTAAATTGCTAACGGTTGAAGGGGTGGTGTAAATCCAGCTAGGGTCCATACAGGAAGCAAATGTACTGTAAGTCCCCTTGGTCCCCAGTATGGTGATCTTCCTTCAGTTGTTGGCAATATATAGCCTGTTTTTATATTGTATTGTCTTCTATAATTAAACATTTTTAGCCCTTTCATACTAGTTTTATATCTATATCTGCGATCCTCTAGTTATTTTATTGTCCTTCGTTGGCAGGGTTTTGTAATTTGACTTTGGTTATTGCAACTTTATTTGTTATTCAAATCCTCGTCACGATATGGCTACATTATTGCCGATGTGACGTTAAATTTTAACTCACTCATTCACTCTTTCATGAACTAACGCATTTAAACATACATTTTAACCCCCCAAAAATTCATTTTCAAATCATTTGAAGGGCAAACCCTATGAAACAAAACTCTTATGTAAATGTGTGTATAAAAGGAAAATGTTTTCCTTCAGAAAAAAAGTATACCTTGAGGTAAGCCTTCATTTACGATTGCCGACATGAGCAAATGCCTGGAGCCCATCACAGAAACAGAACTATTTAATATCACGGAGATACTTCCTTGTTTCAGGGTGTGGCGAAGATGAAACGATAAGCTATGAGACAAAATATATTGAATCACCGAATTATCCTCTGTCCTATCCCGAGTAAGTATATGGGACACTTGTAGTTAGATTTGAAGTCGCAGCAGTAAATAGTATAACAATGAACAACTTCTTTGTTAATACAGAAGTTGTTCATATAAATATTTTTTGTCCTTCTTTAAATTAACTCAGAGAGAAATGAATTAACAATCCAGGAGAAGGAATACACACTATGACATTCTATGTTCAGGGGATTGTTAGATTTTAATTCCAGCGAGGATGGAAACTGAACGTTTGTTAGTAAACCCTGTTGCATAAGCGCGATGAGTTCATATGACTTGTATGAAGCATATACAGTTGCAATGCCTGACATGTGGAACACATGGCTAATGCTAATGTCTATTCCAATTTTAGCAATGCGAACTGTGAGTGGACAATCAGCACTTCCATCGACGGATATGTAATCCATGTGGACGTGGTGAATTTCAACATTGAGCAAGACAGCAGCTGTTCCTATGATTATGTACAGCTCTATGATGGTAATGAATGTGTTTAATCATTGTTATCCTAGAAATGGGTAAAGGAGACAGATGCCTAAAACGAATTTAAGCTCTGTTCTTCTCGCCAATCTAGAGAACGTCAGCGACCTGTGTGTCTTCTTGTTTTTCTCCAATTTTAAGCTAAGAAGCTGACATTTACGCGGACATGACGTTCACGTTGACGTGGCACAGTAGGCACACGTCTTGCTTAACAGCATCATTTGGATTCATCAGTGTGGTCTGTCCGATTTCATCTATATTTTTTACGATACTTATAGTTGATGTTATTGCGTTTGAGTCACAGTAGATAGTAAAGTAAAATAGTCATTTGGAATAAGTAAATGTCATCCCCAAATAAGAACAACTGAACGAGTTCTTAAAGCAATGAAACTCTCCACTTTGTAATCGTAGAATACGTGTCATTTTAATATATGGCTAGATTTTCTAAATTGCTGACGACTGAAGGGATGGTGTAAATCCAGCTAGGGTCCATGCAGGAAACGAATGTACTGTGAGTCCCCATGGTCCCTAGTATGGTGATCTACCTTCACTCGTTGGCAATCTATAGCCTGTTTTTATATTGTATTGTCATTTATAGTTCCAATATTTTAGATTTAATTACTAGTTTTAATTAGTTTGTATCTGTGATACATTAATAGTTTTACTGTTCTTCGTCAACAGGCTTTTTAATTTATAACTTTATTGATCTTTAATATACATGTAATTATAAACTGTTCTCGTCACAATATGGCTAAGATATTGCCGATGTGACGATAAATATTAATTCACTCACTGTTACAGCATTGTATCTCCCAACAAATGTTTGTAACATTAGCTCATGATTTGTTTAATTATCATACTCTTCTCACGTGTTATTTTCTCTCAGTAGTCACGAGTTATGAAAGTTCGATCGGTCGATGGTGGGGAAGAGATGGACCAAATACACAGACTACAGGACAGACAATGAAGGTTAAATTCCACTCCGATGGTTCGACTTCCCATTCCGGATTTAAATTGTCCTTTACTGCCGGCGAACCAAAATATGATTGTACGTGTTTCAGTTGCATCGTTTAAGAGAATATCATCAATCAATAGCCATCTCTGTTCGTTTACACTTTAACTGAAACATGCGGTATTGGGGAATGCTACAGCATACTACTTATCTTGCAAAAGAACAGGTTGGTAAAACATGTATATAACATATGTATCGATAGATAAAGAATATGTTGAGGGTGTGGTTGACAAGGGAGGTGGACGACCAGGGCACGACAGTTTCAGGTTGACCAAACTGAGGTATATTCGCCCTTATCTTGTTTTTCTGGACCAACGCTCGTCAGTCTCACATCAAGCTGACATGATTGATACAGCTTCAGAGCATGTGGGTAGCCCAGTTGTTACAGCGTTCGCTCATCAGGCCGAAGACTCGGGTTCCATTCCTCACAATGTGTGAAACCCACATCTGGTTTCCCACCTTGATATAGATGGAATATTGCTAAAAGTTGCGTACAAATCGTACTCAATCAAAGCAGCCTAAAAGCAAGCAGAGTGTTAAGTCACAGGTTCAGCGGGTGTAATTGTCGCTTCATCGTAATTCCCCTTTGACCTATGTCAGTGATCTTTTAGTAATTAACACCAATGCGCTGGCTTAGTGTCATACAGACATGTAAATTCGTATAGTAAGTCCAATATATAGCATAACGGTTCCCATTTTGTACACAAGGACCTTCCCTTTGTCGTTATTAAACATCTACTGAAGTCTCCACAGCAAGGCAATATCATACAATTAGGGTTTGACATCCAACTTTCTTCACCTCTGTAATGGAACGCAGTAGAGTTACAACAGCAAGATAATGTTGAAATAACATGTACCTTACCAACATTTAGGATTCCGCCTCAAAACACTACTTAGAAGCAACTAAAACAGACGTGTTGTAACAATATATCTATATGCCATTTTAGGGGATTAAGTAAAATCTAAGAGAATGCTATATTTACAAAATACTTTTTTTATGTTTTCTTTAGCTGTATTTTTTATTCAGTTTTAATTTTTTTTCTTTTTTAGCTGCTGCACCAACGAACATGGGAGCCATACTGGGAGGTGTATTTGGCGGGATTACTGCTGTGGGTATTGCAACCTGCTGTTGCTGTGGACTTTTTTTCAGAAAGAAATCAATTCCCAACGTCCAACAGCAGAGAAACATACCACGTGAAGGCACCGTCTCCTTCATCAACGTCCCCAGCTACCCGCAAACCCTGCCTACTGCTCCTGCTGTTCTGCCGTTCATGTCGCCACCACCTCCTTCTTACAATGATGTCGTGAAGGATGATCCCCCACCGTATTGTCAGGCAGTTCCACTATCAGACATACAGCCTGTTGTCACGTCATCACGTGCACAAACAGTAGGATACTGCACAATCCACACAATCCCCCCAAGGAAAGACACCTTAGAATATTCCCTTGAATCTCGTTTGGTATATTTTGATATTTTGTTGTTTTTTGTAATAAAAATATTTGGTATTTCAAATGATGCATGTTGTCCGTGTTATGTTTATGATTATTATCATGTGATTTTATTACAAATTATAATTCTATACATGTGCACATGTGCGGGCATGTACGTGTTTCGACTGTCACGAGTATGAGTTTACTGATGGTTTTACTTTGATGGAATCCACGAGCACGGATGATGAAGAATCAAATTCATGGGGAATCTCTATTTAAAAGACATTACCACTTCCATTGTCAGTTCTTATATGGGATATAGAAGTGCAAAAGAATAGCATATCAACTATATTCACAACACATTCCGTCTGTTGTAAGGAGTTTAACACTGAAAATGTTTGTCGACAAGAGGTGTTGACGGAAAGGGCAAGCATGTCTTCTGCTGGTAGCACCAGCTATTGACAAAATTTGCCTAAGAGTGGAAATATCCCAGTGACAAAATAGAGTAGCGTAGGTGTTCGGACCGTTTACATATTGATATCATGTGCTCCGAGTTGTACTCTACTTGCTCCGACATGTCAGTTTCTTGGTAGAGGTCACTGACTCTGCTTATGTTTTCATACATGTAGACGTTCATAATGAATGAATGAATGAATGAATGTTGTGCGAAGTTGATCAGTAGAGCAAGTCAGCAGAAAAGCCTGGTTCTCATCATTTCATGGAACAAAAATACAAAATGTCTGTTGGTATGATCTATTGTTGATATGTGTTGACCATTGAGCTAGGTAACTTAGCTTTTAGATTACTCTTACAAAACAGGTATCTGATTGTACACTTTGTAGAACATAGATTTTGATAATATGTTCTTCGTACAACTAACTCCAATATTCGTCCACTCGGCTCACTTGTTCGATTCCCCACATAAGTGCAACGTGTGAAGCCCAATTCTGTTGTCCCCCGCCATGGTATTGCTGGAATATTGCTAAAAGCAGTGTAAAACCAAACTCACTCACTCACTCACTCTTTCTCTTTTTTGGAAGACACGTGACCTGATTAACTCACAAAGGCGTATGTATGTTGACAAAGTCGCAATGAAACGTATGAACTGGTTTTCCCCACTCTACCAGACGTCTCTGTCGCATGCCGCAGCAACTCACATCACTGTCGTTTTAGATACAGAGAATTCAGGTTGTTTAAATATCTATTCTTGCTGCAGCAACAACAGCTGATGATTCTGAACCTGTGTCTGTGTCGGCGTCGACAACCAAGGCGACAAGTGGCTTCGAAATTCAACCAAATACGCAGTTGGATAGATCCTTGAATTCAGCAGGTGGAGGTGTAGATTCACAACAACCATATGTAACACAACCAAAATGGTACATGCACCTTGTCCTGACACCCGTGAAAGTCCGGGTTAGAATTGGCCTTCAGTAACCCATGCTTGTCGTAAGAGGCGACTAACGGGATCGGATGGTCAGACTAGTTGACTTGGTTGGCACATGTCATCGGTTCCTAATTGCGCAGATCGATGCTCATCACTGGATTGTCTGGCCCAGACTCGATTATTTACAGACCGCCGCCATGTAGCTGGAATATTGCTGAGTGCGGCATAACAGATGGGGAGACAACAACTGCAGCTGACGCAACAGCAAAGGAGACCACGACCACAGTTGACACGACAGTAAAGGAGACCACGACACCAGCTGATACGACGGTAAAGGAGATCACTACCACAGCTGATACGACAATAAAAGAGACCACGACCACAGCTGGTACGACGGTAAAGGAGACCACGACCACAGCTGATGCGACGGTAAAGGAGATCACTACCACAGCTGATACGACAATAAAAGAGACCACGACCACAGCTGGTACGACGGTAAAGGAGACCACGACCACAGCTGATACGACAGTAAAGGAGATCACTACAACAGCTGATACGACTACTACAGAACGTATTATATTCCCGAAAACCATCGATCCTCCAAGGTGCTATGAATATTAACACTAATTCAGCCGTCTCACTTGTTGAACATACTAATATCAATTACACGTTTCAATACAGATACAAGAGCAGAATGGATAGCCTCCCTTTTCATCAGTATCGTTGAGTGAGTGACTGAGTGAGTTAAGATACAGTGTAAAAATGGGCTAAAGATTGCCAACAACTGAAGGTAGATCACCACACTAGGGACCAGTATCGTTTAAAGCGTGTTTGCCTTCAAGGCATAATGTGTAAGTACAATGTCACCATGCCGGGGAAATGGAATAGCCTCGTGGCTGCACATAATATTTCAGGCCTTGAGGATCTGAAAGTATTCACATCCAACCCGGCATTTCAGCCGAACATTGTATGCATAGGAATTAGAAGATATATATAAAAATATCATAATTTTAAGTACGACCAGTTACTAACACTGGAACGGACTACTTTACCTGTGTGTACACCCGTGAAGATCGTAAAACGAGACTCACTCACTCACCCACCTGTGTGTAATTTAGTATCCTTAACAATTTATCATGCTCATGATGAAAGGTATGTTATTCTTGTAACAATGAAACACTTCAGGACTGGCATAAATAGCCCACACTATCGGAAGTGCTTGAGGCATGTCTTTAGTTAGATTTCATAGCGTTATAGTTCGTTTTGTCGAAACTAACATATCCGATACTTGGGAAAGGCTGTCAGTCCTTTCAAAACATATTTCTAGCACATGAATCCAAAATATCATAACTGTGTAAAGTAGCATTCTCACCCTAACACAGACCCTTAATGCTGAAAGTCTATTACTAAGCGATAAAGCTATGAAGTTTGTGAATTATAAACATATGCGTGTTCGTCCGTTTGACAATTACTAATGCATCGACTAAGATATCTAACACAGATAGGATGCATCTTCTTTTGCAATAAATAACACTGTCGTTTACAAGAACGAAGTCATGTACAGAAAGGCGAGGAAAATTCATCAGAAACAAACGTTGTTCTGAAGTTACAGTATTTAGATGCTAAAGAGAATTCAAATTTTAAAAGAAAAAACAAATATTGGGTGTAACATGTATCCCTGGCGGGCGCCCGATGCAATACTAACCATTCCGTCTGTCTATACATGAAAAGACAAGTTTTTACTTTGCCACACAACCCTTGAAGGTCCGGGTTAGAATGTGCCTTCAGTAACCCATGCTTGTCGTAAGAGGCGACTAACGGGATCGGGTGGTCAGACTTACTGACTTGGTTGACACATGTCATCGGTTCCCAATTTCGTAAATCGATGCTCATGCTGTTGACCACTGGATTGCGTGGTCCAGAGTAGATTTTTTACAGACCGCCGCCATATAGCTGGAATATTGCTGAGTGCGGCATAAAACTAAACTAACTCACTCCTTCACTCACTTTGCCACACATACGTTGCAAGAGCCTTAATGATTTACCATGCATACCTTTTTGTCTTAAATAATATTTTTGGCCAAATCCAGTCAAATTCATCTTAAAAATCAATTAACACAATTTACGAACAGTGTTTTGATTTTTCTCAAATATTTCTGACAAAGAGATTGTCAAATAAAAACATATATTATCTGCTGCTGAACATAAGACATTAGCCCCTGATCCGGGTTCGACCAGGTTTTCAGGAACCCATGCATGTCGTGGGAGGCGACTTACGGGATTGAGTGGTCAGGCTCGCTGACTCGGTTGACATCGTATGTCATCGTATGTCATCGTATCCCAATTGAGTATATCGATGCTCATGACGGCAATCACTGGAGTAACTAATCCATATTAGAATATTAACGGATCGGTAGGATGCCGCGGTATCCGCCGTAAATAAACAAACGAACAAAACCTAACCTCTTCATGGGAAATATGATTGATAGAGCTGTCAGATGACTCTTTTAACTTCGTGATATAGGCTGCAAGTCGGCCTCCTTGTCAAGTGGAGTCCATTGAATATGTTCAATGAACATTAAGAAGATAGGAAATCGTATTGACATATCCAAGCATTTCCAACCAAAACATGCAACTGCGAAATGTAAACGAAATTGAGCCGCAAGTTTTTAGAGGAAAAAATCGTTACAGGTTCATCGTCAGCTCTGCCTCGGCTATTGGCTGGAACAAGAGTATTATCTCACAAAAAACAGTTCATCATCCCTGTTCTCAATTTGACGATGTTGTGGATGAATCATCAGACATTCAAGGGCAGTATTTATAGAAAAGACACTCACTAAAATGCAGAGCCGCGCCAAAGAAGAGGCACTTCATTCAATGAAGAGAGCAGGTAAATATACATTATGTGCCAAAGAACCTATCCAACCAAAGCCTATGCATGACAATATTGCAATTACTTTGCCTACCATCACCAGTATTGTCCAGTTGTCTATCTGTCAATTCTTATACCATGCCAAACAATGGCATGATAAAATATGAACACTTGCAATTATATCCAATGTTTCATGGAACACCAAGTGTATTCGGTATCTGTATATCATATCAGTAAATTCTAATAATATGTTCCCCACATGGTTACAGTATGTGAAGCCTATTTCTGTTATTGATGTTGAAATATTGCTAAAACCGCTATTCACTCACTCTAATAATTATATTTTCCGGTCAGTGACGATGAGAGTAATGTTCTAAGGGAAGTAACTCCCGCTAACAAATAGGAACATAACATACTTTTAGAATGAACGCAATTGTTGGAAATAATTTAATGTATGGTTGCATACAAAGTGTTGTTTTAGACTTCCTCGTTAAAACGGGTGTGTACGATGTAATTTAACTAAACAAAAATATAACTGTGTGTTAAGTGTTGGGCGCATATAGGCCTTTTAAGGCCCAGCGTCGCCCTATAACCTTTTCTACCTACCTACCTACCTAGGAACATAACAGGACACACATGCACGAATTATGTCATATGAACTTGATGCCGGGTTGTTGCAAAGGTTCATTATAATACATTGTATCATGAAGGCTTAGTTAATTTTCTATAAACTGCCTTTAAGCCACAAAACAGAATATAAAAGGACAATATGTTTGGAAATCAAACTGTTCAGCTACCTGTCATGGGAAGAACTGCTGTATACAAATAATACAAAACAGACTCGCAGAAATAGCAAAAAAGAACTGGTGGGCGTCATGAGTGGTGCTCGATTCGCCAATCATCCATGATGATGGTGACATTAAGTTTTAAATGATTGCATGCGATGGTAGCGTAGCGATTGGCAAAGCCGGCGGGAAGGGTTCACCGCCGAAGTGTCCGGCCTTGTCATTATGTATTGTACTGTGAAGCATTTCGAGTCGAGGGTCATCTCAAACTTTCATATATTTTTTAAAATCGTTAATCCTCGCAAAGACACGAGGGCCTGTGCACTGGGGCTGTTATTTGGCAATATTCATGAATTTTAATGGTTTTGCATCAATGGCGAAGGGTACCAAGAAGGAAGAGAATGGGCTCGAACGCGACCTGTGTTCACGACTCCATAACATATGCATAGAAGTCCCGGTGTTAAACATTGTGACACTGTCGGAAAGTTGCAAAACCTATGCTACTGAGTACCAGTTAACTCACACAAATAAGTCACCAAGCGACTGCGTTTAACGATAGTGAAAATCACGCATCAGGCATAATACCAGGGTTTCCTAAATACAAGTTTTAGTACAAACATTAGTGATAACCTCCTGATCACAGAATGCTATTTGTAAATCTATTTGAGAATTTCTCACAAACCAAACATTGCTCAGTTTCCTGGAATAGTTGCATTGACATAATACGTCACAATGACAGTGATTTCCCTTTGCCCTGTCCTTCCCTCTTTGCTATAAATCTGCTATCAGTTATACTGTTTGGTAAGGAAATCCCGTAAAGCACAACCCCTTAAGAAGCAAGTAGCTATTACAACATATTAATATGAGCAACGCTGACTGAATCATGTTTACATAGTGTGTGCTGACGCACCTAACAATATTTCTTCGTTATCTGATACGCTTGTTTGCTTTGTCGGGTGTTGTTGGTGACTACCACCTAGAAGTCGATGTAGGTCACATCCGTATAAGTGTGTTGCAATCTATTTATGCTCTTTTCATTGGAGCGTTCCCTACCTGATAGCGTGTACACAGAGAAATTGATTCGAGGGTTTTACAGTTACATTGTGAGGTGATCTACTAATGTCAGTCTTGCATGAGAGCTCGCCACAGCGACAGGAAGCCATTATGAACATACCTTATTTCTTTGGATTATGTGTGTTGTTGTTGTATGGGCCGCTGGTCTCAGGTGAGTGTGACAAATATTCGTTTTCACATATATGTTATACTTTAACTGACAAGTTGTGAAAAATGTATAAACAGGTGGTACGTTTTACAACAATAATCGATTTCGTTCTTTAGGTCAAACTACATTGCTAGGTCAGTCGTACTACTATGTGATCCTACAATCAGCACAGGTGACATAAGTTTTAAATGGCAGACAGACAAGGCATATGTGTTTTGTATTTGAGTCTGACAAGGAAATGTATCGTATATGACAATCTCATGTGTTCAATAGCGCATTAGTAAACAAGAAATTGGAGAAACGGCCTGTCGCCTAGATGGCGGACACGATATTGCGAAATGTTAACGCACAGGGCTGATCGTATCTGGGGTCAGTGAAGATAGGATAGGAAATGCATAATTAAAAAGGTGTGTAATTATATCACATTATACAGTTGTTAGCAGCTGAATAAAAATCTTAAAGACTAGTTGAATACGCCATTAACATAGGGTCTGATGATAGCGACTAATGCTAGCATATGGATGTGAGAATTAGATCCTCGTTGTATAAAATGCGTTATGAAAAAACAACATTGCCAGAATAGGCGTTGGAAAAGTATCTGTTGGATCTTAGTGGCCCAAGATCTAAGAGTTACCATGCTGTTTACCCAGTTTAGTCAGTGAAGAATCTAATACATTTGGTCCGACAGGCAATTGTCACCCATTTTCATTAGTTTAAATTGTCCCCTATTTCACTTATTTTGTAGTGCAGGTAACAAATAGTAATGGTTGATCACTTTCACAAAGTACAACACCATTACAGTCCGTTAGAGTAAGTACGGTTTTACGCCACTTTTAGCAATATTCAAGCAATACCATGGCGGGGTTCACCACAAACGGGCTTCACACGTTGTACCCATGTGGGGAATCGAACCCGGGTCTACGGAGTGACGGGCGGACGCCTCAGTCACTAGGCTACCCCAAAGATTGTCAGAAGCAGATGAAAAAATATTTTTTGTATAAATTTAGTCTGTGTACTCTCACATCCTTTTATGTCAGATAGGACAGGACCAAACTGACTAATTTGGTAAATGGTCACACATAGATAGATTGCAGTAAATATGGGTTCACATACCAAGTCAGCCTGCTAAACCAACACCAGTCTCGTCCATACTGTTGATTTTTGTGAGTTTATTGGTGTTTGTGTGTGTGTGTGTGTGTGGGTTCTTTTGTGTGTGTGTGTGCGCATACAATGAAGTCATATATATCTTAAAAGGAAGTGGTTTCAATAATATATCCTAAATGCCATTTTTCAATTTTGTCACTAATGTTGCTAACACAATGCATACACATGGAGAAGTGTATCGCAACACCTATTATTTTATCCTCCATACAGCCATTCATAATCATACCATAATTATTTCTGCATGATCATATTGACCCATCGGGGACATACCCATCATTGGATATCAATGTGCTACGATCAAAGTATTATGTGTTTCCGTATTGAGCATCAAGTTTCAGTAAACTGCTCTTGCAGCTCGAAAACTTGGCCAATTAAGTGATTACGTTTATGATTAGCAAACTGGGCGGACACGTCACGCTTGGGATATACAGAATGTTGGTTGTCATCCATCGACTATCAGCCAAATGCCCAGAACATCAGAAAACTATTGACTTAAGCACCGGAAGCTCCAGTGGGAGATGGGAACTCCAATGGGTAGGGCCGTAGGTAGCCCATGGGGACAGCTGCCATTCTAGATGTGTTTTATGATTATTTTTGTACATCATAGTATTGATATAACACTCTTTTGAGTGACATATACCCTCACCGCCCCCTGAAATCCACACCTCAATTAATGACGCAAATATTGCAGGCAGCCCATCTGACAGATGATCGGTACCAGAATGATACACCTAATCACATATGATTACAACAACCTATAATACATAAGTAAGGAGTCCAGGGCAATGACATAGACTACCCGGAACCCTATAAAATGAAGGCCTATTGTGCACTACCTAATGATAATTAACGAACAAAAGACTTAATTAGAAAAAGGATTGCATTCAATCCACATGACCTCAAAAGACAGGATAGACAAAATAAGGAATAACTAACAAAACAATGAATACACAATAAACAAACAGACATTGATTGGTGAAACATTGAACAAGTAGTATAATATAAACTATCGACTTTTGTGTTTTTTTTATATGAACGATGAACCGATGCTGTATCATGAATCATTCCCTCATCCCCATAAGTGTTCATGAGCATTCTAGTCGGCAGTGTGGCCTGTGAAAGTCTCAAGCTGTGGACAGGCTGGAGGAAATTCAAATACAGCTGAAAGTGTATAATGGAGTCAAAACCAGTTTTGATATTCCCTTGGAACTGTAAATGTCTCAATTTCACGGTTTCATCATGAATAAAGCAATCTTTCTGACTGACGTATCTTGTAAACTGAGTGAGTGAGTAATATTGAACAAACCTGAAGATATCATATATATGATGTAAATTTCATATGCAATTTCTGGACTGTCAGCTGAGTTGAATGATACAACTATTATATATTAATACTTAAACTGAACAAAACAGTTGTTTTGCATACATGCAGATATGTCTAAACAAATTTATAAAGTTTAGTTCCGAACAAAGGAACTTTAGAAACAAAAGGAAAAAAAATAACAAGAAAAAAAAATATTTATACAAAATTGGAAATTAGATAAATGGAGTCATTTTACCTGCAGAAAGCAGTAAATTGCATCTGAGGGCATCTCATTTTAAAAGGTTCCCGGGGATTATGTCCGGACCCCCCCCCCCCAAGATCCTCGGCCGATTCGCGGCCTCGTACGTGGATAGTGCTCCACCTATTAAGAAAACTTATATATGCTTGCCTTGCAAGTATTACAATTTGCATTTTTATTACAATTTACGTCGTAACACAGATCGTTGTAAGGTAAGCATATATAACATTTGAACAAGCGATTGTAGTTTCAAATTGCCTTTTTGTGCAGTTTAATATCTAAGTTTGATTCTAGCAGACCTCTACCAATCTCAAACATACAAAAATGTTTCTTGCATATTTTGTTTCCTGAAGTTTAATTTGTGATGCATTTCATTGCTAGTCACCTAGGCTATTCCATTTGTCCGAACCACAACATACGGAGACAGATCATTTAGCAGACCGGGTGCTGTATTCTGATTACCAGAACATGCCAGAAAATCGGAAAATATCAACAGTCTCCGATTAAAGTGTTCAGTGTTTCAGCAGATTCATTAATGTGTGGGGTAGTTTTGTTTAAGAATGTTAAAGTAATTCAGATGGCATATCATTGCAAACCGCAGCTTTATTATATCAAAGACGATATACTGTATCTGTAACTTCCACAATGGGTATGACTCGATTTAGTTCATCAGGAAGTTCTACAATACAAATGTTACAATGTCAATCATGCTCAGATAAATCCAAGTCAATTTCATCTGAAAGAGTTTTTTTCCCTAAGTTTAACAATTGATTGTTCAAAATAATTGTGCCACTGATTTTACTACAAGAAGAGAATGATGTCCTGCTTTGAAATATAGTGGATTTCCAACGAACGTATTTGATGTGTATCCTGGCATCAAGTGTATTTGGACTAAACTGCTTCTTCTTTTGTATAGGGTACTTAAGTCCTAATACATTCAAAGTGAATTTAAACTGTCCGCTTTTCTCATCGTAGAATATGTCTGTTTTTAACTTATGGCTATAGTTGCTTCCAATCACCAGCGGCTGAAGGGATGGTGTAAAACCCTCTAGGGTCCATATAGGTAGTAAAGGCACTGTAAGTTCCCATGGTCCTTAGCATGGTGATCAGTTGTTGGTGATCTATAGCCCTTTTTTATACTGTATTGTTGTCTCTAGTTATGTATTTTTATAGATAGCGTACTAGTTTTAACTAGATATCTGTGACAGTCCAGTACTTTCACTGTCCTTCGATGACAGGTTTTTACGTTCTAAAATTATTGATTTTAATATTGGTATAAAATGATTTTTTCTCGTCACTGTATGGCTGCAATATTGCCGATGAGACGCTTAATATCAACTCACTCACTCACTCCTATGGTCCCTAGTACGGTGACCTACCCCCAGTTGCTGGTGATCTCCATTCCGTTTTTTATATTGTATTGTCCATCACAGTTTGTTTAATTTTACAGTTACATACTACTTTTTATTCTCTATCTGTGATAATCTAGTTTTTTTTACTGTCCTTCGTTGAAAGGTTTTTATAATTTAATTGCGTTTCTTGTGAATTTATAACTTTTGAAGTCACGATATGGCTGAAATATTGCCAGTGTGACTTTCAATTTTAACTCACTCACTCGCTCCTCTTATGTCTCACCGTAAAGCTGTAATATTCATTCATCTTGGTTGGGGGGCTGCTTCAGGCTAACCCTGGCACGGCATAAGATGTCTCAACTGATCCTACTGCTAGTGAACTTAACCAGGATGTGCCGATTTTTACAGTCATCAGTTTTATAAGTCTTTTGACTTTGACGTTTAGTATTCGATTCCTCGTATGTCGCGGAAAGCCAACGACGTCTATTTCAACACCAATATCCTTTAGATACAAAGAAAAAGAGAAATGTAAACGGTGTTCTTATGAATGGCTGTGAGAAAAGCTACTTACACTGTGTGCTGACTGATGACAATAGTACACAGATTCAACAATTCTGCAGGCAAAACATAAGAATATATTACAGTGCTTCATTTGTTTTAGTTTACGCGAACCAGTTTAGTTATTTTAGGCTTTATCTAGCCAAATATTATTTGACTAGTATAGACGGCCTGAAGAATGAGCTCCTGCTCGAGTGTACTTCGGTTCTTCGGTGTTGTTGTGTAAGCTGAACGGTGTATGTCCTTGTGAAGAAAACGACAACGCAGGGTTTCAATCCCAGCCATTTATTCTCAGCGTCTATCCCGGCTTTGTTTATGGCAATACCATCTTTAATCAGGTGTTGCTTCTAGTCCAGACGGTTATGGCTTTATAAAATTTCCAAGAACTCACGAACATGACATTTTGCATGGGTGACAATGGTGAACATTTGTATTTTATTTTTCTTTGTATAAATCAAATAGATCAGTATGGTATGATTTATGCCACAACGATCCTTGGGGAAGCTGACCAATTATAACAGATATTCATATTCACAATTTACGAAGCATATGAAATTATTTCCATGCAATACTAACTGTCGACATGTACGGGCCCTCAATATGAAGACAACCTTCTTCGAACTCTGTAAAATATTCCACACATGATCTTCCTTTGTATGGAATAATAGCCCACTGTCTTGTCTATTTATGAACTATTTGCCAAGCTGTTTACTAAGATTTACTAAGTTATCAATAGAATGTAAGGATAGTGTGTTTGTGTAAATCTGCAAGTCATGCAATACCATGTCAGCAATTTCTTTACCCCAGTAAACATTGACCAGTTTCTAAACCTTCATTGTCCCTAAGTTATACTATTCATTGTTTAAAGGTTATGAAGAGAAGCCATGTACAAGCATGTAATACAATGAACGTGTCTTTACAGGTGCGTGCAATGTCACGCTCCATGCACAGAGGGAACCGCTGAATTTCACATCTCCTAACTACCCGGGCAACTACGGAAAGTATGTAGAGACATTCCTGTTTATTTCATAAATGATCTGTTCACCAGATGAGTGCTCATGAATAGTCCAAGCATTCATATCTATTGATGAATGATTATTGTAATATCTTTATCATTGATATGTAAGCACTACAGAACTAATGTAATCAACTGATATTTGATGAAAATGTTTATATGTTCAGGTGTACACATGCCATGTTGCTTCAGTTCCAAATAACATTATTTTACAGCCATGAAAACTGTTATTGGGACATCTACCCTGAAACAAGCGGCTTCAGGGTTGTGCTCGAAATGGTGTATTCCAATATCGAATACAAGTCCACCTGTGCATACGACGTCCTCACCATAGACGTCATAAATAATGGTAAAATAGTCGTGTTACACTGAAAACCTCATGTATCTGTATTTTTTTCATATAACTGATTTCTTATCCAGAAAAAAACCCAATGTGATCACTGTGGCGCATCAAGGAAGGAAAATAAATGTAAGTTTGTAAAAGCTGAAGTAATTTACAAACAACATTTACAAACACATTGCATATTTTTACAAAACATTTCCTGACATTTTGTCTACCCAGGTAATCAAAGTAAAGCCTCTTCGCGTAGAATCTGTGGAGAAAACAGATGGAATATTCTCATCCAAGAAGACCAACATATCCATGCAGTGTTCAAGACTGATGCCAGTGAAACCAGAAGTGGTTTTCTAATTAGATACTATGAGAAAAATGGTTAGTAAAGTCACGAACACTGGCTATGCAACAGTAGTCTAAAATCTTTACTGCATGTACCGTTAAACCTATGATTAGAAACCTGGTTGTTTTTCTCCATTTCTCCCTTAACAAGATACTTATATGGGCTTGAACCAAAAGGTAATAGCAGGTGTGGTCAAGTATATGACATTGAGGTGTAATGTTTTCAGTTGCTTAAATGGTCAAAATCAAGGATCAGTAAAGACTGGTTTTAATCAAAACATTCGAACCACTTCAGAAAGCCAAAATGATCATCTTGTGCAGATCTCTCAAACATTGATCAAAACGAAGCAGGTCTTGCAATGATTGCGTGTTTCTTTCGTATAATAACGTAGATTCGCTAGCGCTGGCGTAACGAATTTCATCATGCAGGATTCTTACATATAGTTGAATCTTTCAAAATAAATAAAAAATACAAAGTTGCCCATGATGATCTCATGAATTTTACGCCTGGTACAAATTGTTCCCTTGTCACAACCAGGTACCGGAAACTGCGGTGTACATCTCGTAGCAACTTCTGTCGGCAAGACATTTACCTCGCCTGGATACCCAAACTCCTACTTCCTGTGAGTAACTTAATTACTGTATCAGTTACAAAGAGTACTAGAGTTTCTTGTATTTGTTACCAAGTTTAATGTTAAATAAATCAAGAGAGAGGGTGTGTTGGATGTATTATTAGTCATGCATACACATTTGTACACAGTCATGCGTTTGTATGTGCGAATGTTTCGAACGGGTATTTTAAGTTGGATTACTTGTCCCCAATCCCTTTCACATTTATGAATAAAATATGTTTAAATCAAATCAATGTTTCGAACCATTCGGCAACCTTATTTGGATCATTTGTATAGCACTTGAAAATAAATGTGTCTGTTTGCAGGAGTCAGACATGTACCTGGACTATTACAGCAGAACATCGAAACCAAACCATTCAATTGGACACCATGGACTCGGTACTTCAGAACGTCTCATCTCGTGGAACTTGCAACAATGATTATGTCACTGTATACAACGGTCAATACGGTAAGTAGAGACGTGTACATTCTACTTAGTCAGTCAAGCGGTTATTGAGTTGCAAATATATTTGTGTCTGCAAAGTTCTCCTTTCAATGACTCCATAATCAAAGGCAAAGGGTATTGTGACACACGAACAACAAACAGAATCATTTTTTAACTTTAAGCTACCGAGAAAGACAAATGTTCCAAACTGTGGTAACCATCACAGTCCATAAGAATTTGGTATGTGAAAATGAGTCTCAAGACAAGAGGTAATCACACAGTCAGTATCACGTGCGTCCACCAAATGAAATAATGCTGACATCTTCATTTCACTGAGGCCACAATGTGTCGATAAAAGGGAAGATTATCTCATCTCAGAGGAGGAATTTGGCGGGGTTTTTGCAGTGCTTTTCGGGGATTCGCATGACTTCGTAAACGTACCTCTATTTCATCACAGACGTGGTCCGTGGGTGACACATCAGGGGATCTTGCAGATCAGGGTAACACATAAAGATTGCTCTGACTAAAAAAACTGCTGTAAACTCCGGAAACGCGTGGTCTGTGGTTATCGTGTTGAAACAGCACGCCATCTCTGTTCTGTTGTGAAAACGATACAGAGGTCATTTGCAAAATCTAGTCTCGATACCATAACGTCTTGACCTCCAAAACAAATCCTTTCTCGAACACGAGGCCTAATGTAACGTTCACAGGGCCTGTTGTAAACTCGGTGAAGAAGTAAATAAACTCATCGGTTTACACAGCCTTCCTACACTCACTCCCTACCCCAAGTGTTGTCTGCTGTAACTTAGACGTCGGTGTTGATATTCTGGCGTCAGCTTGCACGGATGCTGTAGATACTAACACACGCCTGTTATCAGGTATGCTACGAGCTGTAAGGGTTGCTGGACTGAACCTGTGTCGGAGGTCCGTTGTTCGAATCTGTTGTTCGAAAGAATACCTCTCCATATGTCATTTTCCCTCAAGTGACATATAGAGTGTGTTCTCGAACGATTAATAGAGATACTGGGTGTCTGGAATTTGAAAGTTAAGAATGTTAGTCATTGTTCTCCTCTATATCATGCTCATCGAATTCGAGCAACAACAGCTACTCTGCGTTTCTTCGACCGTTCTAACACACTCGTTCCACTCGTTGGTTCAAATCCAAATACTCATTCACAAGAAAACATTTTACTAATGATTACTAAAGCATGCTGACATCAAGTTTGCACAACGCATCGTTGTAAGCCTCCGGCAGTTTTGAATGATGCTATTCAAAGTTAGGAGAATCAACATTTTTGACATTGTTAATAATATAATGTTCCATTACAGGTTCCTACCAGCTCGGCACTTTCTGTGGCAACGAAAGACCTGTTTTTAACAGTGGTGGGAACGCCTTGAGTGTTCGTCTACGAACTGATTCTTCGCAAATCTACAAAGGATTCAAAATGCTATACAAAGCTCTACCGGGTGGGTATACATTAAGCAATTAGATATAACCTAAAACTACAGCTATCCGGTTAGATAATAATAAATTAATGTTCTGATCTGACGGTGAAATATATGTCTCATGTACATTGATTTACGACTCTTAATGTTCTTACGTTTTATTTAGCTCACTTACCCTCATGGCAATATAATATTCTGTAAAGAGCATCATGTTATTTCATACATCTTAGTTGTGTTGACAAATGTGTCATGAACATGTCTTTACGAAGACGTGATGAGGCATGACGGCACCTTCAAAACTCTCGGTGTTATTAGTTTCTAAATATGTCAATACTGCGTCAGTTTGTGCATTCAGTTAAGCAATAACAGATCTATGTCTTTAGTATTGATGCCTCGGCTCCATGCAGCACTTGATTCGTTTTGCTTAACAACTATGTTTGCCAATTATGACAACATTAGCTCTCAATTTAGACATATATTTTGGATATAATATTTCTGTATGAATCTATTTGTAAAACTGTAAACGGGATTAGTTAAATTTATTTATTATGAAGTTTCGGTAACAGAATGGACAAAATGGTGAAGTGCGGACACATTATCTCTAGAATAAGCCAATAATTCAAGAAACGTATGTTTTATGATTACTGTTGACTCCAATTTTAACTAATGTCAACATTGGCTCACAGTAATGTCCCAGCCGGTCAGCCCAAAACCGTTTACGCTATTTTTTCGCTGTAGATATTACTAATAAACATTATACTAATAAAACCTTGATTCCTTTGTATTTATCAGATACCCCCCTGGAGAGTTTAAACATTGTTTGTCAAAAATGTCTGGGTCCATAACAAACATACTACCACCACAACCAAATCCTTCATCCCCTCCATCCTTGACAACCGGCCACACACACAAAAGCACGTGCGATAGCACGAACACACACGCACACACGAACGCCGAATCCTTGTTACAACAAATACAAACAAACATTGAACAATTGCTACTCTTCTTCATTATCAGCAACAACGTGCAACGTCAAGCTTCCCGCAGTTTACAGTCCAATGGTGATTGTCTCCCCTGGGCTATCCAAGGAACTACGTAAAGTAAGTAAAGAGTTACAATAATCTCATGTGAATGAATGCAGGATTCAAAACCCGTTTACTTGGATATAATTCGCCAGATCAAAAGATGTTTACACATGTAGATAGATACTCTTCGCCTTGATAATAATGTCACCAACTGTACATATGCTTGTATCACGTTTAACCAATATGGATGAGGTTTGTGTTTTTGTTTCGGAACATTTTTTTCTTCTTCCTTGCAGTGGATTGGACTGTCAGTGGACTCTAAATGCACCGATAGGAAGAAATATCACGGTGAAAGTTTTGTTTCTTGATTTGGAAAAGGTGGCATCGTGCATAGATGATTATCTACTGTTTAAAGATGGTACGTAAAGCTTGGGACGCATGTTAACGTTGTGTTAAGAATTATGTGAAGCAGCTGTAGCTAAGTTCTTTGACACCCGTGTGGTACCAAGGAGAAAAAGAATGTAACTTTCATAATATTCATGATCACTACTTACCTATACTCACCAAAAAATGACACACATAGATAATAATCTTATAGGAACTTTCAAACATGTTATTTTTTCAAAGTTACTTGTTGATTGTTATGATTTCGCCATTGTAATTCTGTGAAACGAATGCACAGCGCATTCTCATCTTCAAAAACATTAATGCATGTCTACGTTCGAAAGTGTCAACTTGCTTGAAAATGGCATTGATGAAGAGTGGCATGCACGTGCCGTTTACTGGAATAGTGAGCAGGGAGATGGCCTATATAAGACTGTTTTGCTTTTAGACGGTCATTAGTATTTTTAGTGAGTGAGTGAGTGAGTTAAGATCATAAGTCACATCGGCAGTATTTCAGCCATATTGTGACTAAATCAAGTTAGAGATATTAATAATTAAAGTTAAATTATAAAATGTTGTCTACGAAGAACTAGATTATCGCAGATATAAGTAAATCTAAAATATTTTAACTATGCATGACAATACAATATAAAAACAGGCTATAGATTGCCAACAACTGAAGGTAGATCACCATACTAGGGACCATTGGTATTTTTAGCTAAATGAAAGAATATCATTATGTCGAGACTCACTGATTCAAATCGAAACCTTGGACGTCTGGAGTCCGGTGAGTCTCAATCTGCCGTTGCACGTCACCTCAGTGTTCACAAGAGTAGCAGTTTATGGGACGGATATCAACAAACCAATTCTACGCAGGATGGGACTCGACGTGGTAGACCCCGGATTGCCATAGCAGTCCGTGATAGGTACATCAGGGTACTTCATTTGCGGAATCCAACTGTCACAGCAACTGTTGGACCCTATTTTGGACCTGTACTGCGACGACTACATCGACGTCGACGCGTCCAGTGGTACAGTAACGTTTGATTGTGACGTGTGTGGTTCAGTGGCATTTTCTGCTTCAGTGACGAGATGGACGTCGAAATGAATGTTTTACCCAGGATTATGTCACCTTGGTTGACCGACATGGTGGTGGGAGTGTGTTGAAGTGGGATACCATATCCGACACGCAGAAATCTAACTTTGTGCGCCATTTTGGCAATTTAAATCATTTTCGATACAGAGACGATATCTTAAGGATTCACACGGCTGTCCAGTGAGTAAATGCCAGGTCTCACACAGCACATGCCATTATTTAGTATATTCAGAATGAGAACATTACAGTGCTTCCATGGCTTTCCGAATCTCATGACCACAACCCCATCGAGCATTTGTGGGGTGATCTCGGCCGATGCGTGCGTGAACGTCAACCGGCGCTCCAGACGTTAGATCTATTGTCGCAGGCATCGCAAGAGGATTGGGCCAGTGAGAGTGAGTTACAATTTACAGTCACTTTGGCAATATTTCAGCCATATCGTGACTAAATTAAGGTATAACATGATAATAATTAAAGGTAAATTATAAAAAAAATTTAAAGGAAGGACATTAAAACAACTAGGATATCAAAGTTATAAATTTAAAACTAGTAGTGTGATCTGAAACATTTTTACTATATATGACAAGACAACATAAAAACGGGTTATAGATCGCCAACAACTGACGGTAGATCACCATACAAGGGACCATGGGGACCATAGTACTGTTGCTACCTGCATGGACGGATTGGGTCAACGTTCCACAAGGTCGAATTCAAAGACTTAATCACTCCATGTCGAGACAGTGCAGAGCAGTTTTGGGGGCTCTTGGTGGTCACAATAGATATTAAAGATAACACCCCATTGGGAACAGACACCTTCACTGAATGCTATGCATGTTAACATATATTTGACCTTTTAAACTGTGAAAATTGGCTGCAACTCATCCAGACTCTTTAAACTCGAGGATGTTTTACCCATCCTACGGTCGAAACCATCACTTCAATTTGGACAGGTTTCAGAGAGATGTTCCATGATCTTGTCTATGGTGGGGAAGGGGTAACCGGGGAGGCTATTTTCAACTAAGGCATTGCTAAACCGGTTCTTGTCTTTGGGGGAAAAGGAGATGGGATATGGCAAAGCCAATGTAACTCCTTGTATTCATTGTCTCGTTTACCATGCACCTGTCATGTATGCCAAATTTGGACCTCTGCGTCAGTTTAGTTGCCAGGGAATTGAAAAGATGAATGATGAAATAAAGAGCATTCATCAGAGAAAATCCAATAAATGGGATGCAGCAACTGACGCCCTGAAGATAAGAAAACGCATGGAAGGGAACCAACACCATGTGAGGGAGAAAAGGACTTACACAAAACGCAAACTACAATTCTGGGAAGAGGATTTGTCTGCTATGAGAAAATCGAAACGACAGGCCATAAGTGACGAAGTGGAAAATGTAGCCTTGCCTCAGCTTAATGTCAGTCAAGCCAGTGTGCCTGAATTGAGGGACTACTTAGAGTCCAAAGGGTGCAAAACAAAGGCAACGAAACGAGATGTTTTGTTAAAAATGGCAAAGAATGTGTAAATGGCGCCAACTTCGTTCAACCATTAAGTGAAAACGCATCATGTATTTGAAGGGCGCCATATAGCTGGAATATTGCTGACTGTGGCGTGAAACTAAACCTTAAACCTGAAAAAATTATTGCCTTTTTCCTTACATGGGAATTGTCTGTCCAGTTATTTGTCACTATTTTTAAATTTGATGAAATATATATGTCTCCTTCTATTACATTTATGTTATTACTGAATGAGCAACTGAATTTGGAAAAAGCATCCATAAAATATTTGGCTGAAGCGGCTGAAGTGATGTAAAACTAGTACGAGTTACGTCCCTTGAATTGTTGTTGAATCGAGATATTTTACATGCGTTTCCTTGTCTATGTCCACTATTCTTGAGTATGACTGCATGTGCTATTTTACTTTAAAGGTAGCAGAATTCTTGAAAATAGACCATACGTTTCTTGTTTGGGATATATATTTTTGACATGTTGTAAGAGCTTAGTTGAAATGTATCTTCCCTAATATGGGTTTCAATGAGAACGGAAGACTATCTCATGACATGTTACCTATGAGTGTGCCTGACTGAGACAGTATTGCACTCAATAATGTCCCAGATACCCGGCGGCTACATTATTAACAATCAACCAGGAAATATAACTACTTCAGGGATCAATATTGTCTGCACCTGTCGTGTATGATGATAAGCAATCACCCAGCTTGATTTTAACAGAGGGAGAGCGTATCATCCCTAAGTGTAGTGAGTGAGTGAGTGAGTTTAGTTTTACGCCGCACTCAGCAATATCCCAGCTTTATGGCGGCGGTCTGTAAATAATCGAGTCTGGACCAGACAATCAAGTGATCAACAGCATGAGCATCGATCTGCGCAATTGGGAACCGATGATATGTGTCAACCACGTCAGCGAGTCTGACCACCCGATCCCGTTAGTCGCCTCTTACAACAATTATAGTCGCCTTTTATTGCAAGCATGGGTTGCTGAAGACCTATCGAGTATTGCACTCGGTAATATTCCAGATTCCCGGCGGCTACAATATGAGCAATCGACCAGGCAATAACTTATTCAGGGATCAGTATTGTCACCACACAGCCTTATTGTCACAACACAACTTCATTGTCACAACCCTACCTTATTTCCCAGTCAAGTGAATTGCTCTTAGACACATCTCATGTACCTGAATTCTCAGTAGGACTTCCTATACGGACATTTGATTGGAGCAAACGATATGAAAATATGAAAACCTCGCCAACGAAAAGAAAAATATATCTTCTCTTGCAATAATTATTATTTGAATCTGGCAAGTAATCTTCTGGAAACTGAAGTGATGTAAAGACTAGTACACGAGTTACGTCCTTGGAATTGTTGATTTGAATCGTAGGTCTTTGTTAACAACTATAATTGACGATGATGGTGTAGTGTATGACAAAGAGGCAGCATTTCTAACAGTAATCATAACTGTGTCAATTTTAATGTTTTTGACAAACATACGGCTGCCTTTCCCTGTGGGTTTCAACAATACTGTTCCCGCATATATATGTCAGTATTTATTTACAGTAATGTGTTGAATCGAACCTTGGTAACGAATAATTAAGACATCAAATATATTATGTATAAAACTGAATAAAACTGCATTCATTAATTGATGAAAGATGCACAATTAATACATTAACGTTTTAGGTACGATTGCTACAATATGCGAACGATGCTCGCCAACTAGCAAAGATTTGTGATAGCCAACGAAAAGAAAAATGCGTCTACTCCCATCGTCAGCTCCAGTAACCATATGACCATCAAGTTTCACTCAAACCATGCTGTCACAGGAGGAGGCTTTCGTTTGCAGTACTCATCTGGTATTAATGTCAGCAACATTCTTTAACTTTTAATAAAGTCTGGTTCTTGTCTTTATTGGGAAAATATGCTTTCCTGATGAGCGGAATAACATAATTTCCTCAGGACCACAGAGACCCATTGTGTGAGAAACTTTTGTCCGCTTTTACCTTGTTCCCTCTTCAGAGGAACTTTTCACTTAAAACTTTCGAGCATCCAGGCGAATAACTGTTTCCACCTGAATATACTCCATTAACCCTAAAGTGTGATGATATTCATGTCATCCAGTCACTCTTGGTTATCACAAATCGTCAATTGTATTATGTTTTATTATGTTCATTATTTCACTCGTTTGGCTTCATGCTGTTACAGCTTTCGACTGTGGATTATCAGATCTCTCCGCATCTTCTGTCACGTGGAAGTACTTGACTTCTCCTGGCTATCCTTCGAACTATTACAAGTAGGTGCCTACTCTCTTGACAAGTTAATAAAGGTTAACCAGTTAGTACATATTAGCAAATAACACGTGGTAAATAGCACTACACGCGTGACCGGTATGCAGCACTCCACACGTGTCAACGATTTAGCACTGTAAACGTGACTTTGATGCTAACACTAAACTCGTGACAAGTAAGTGTGACTACGCCAGTGACTTGTAAGTAACTTATCACATGTATAGTTGTATTATATGTTTTGATGAACTGAAAAGTATTTGAATGGGTTTTTGTTTCATATAAACACTACACATTGTACATTTCAAGATTATACACTTGAACAATTTACTTGTTTATATTCGTTTGCATAATACCAATTTATGTTTACAAATTCTGTTTTCAGCAATGTAAACTGCGAGTGGAAAATTAGAGCACCATATGGATATGAAATTAAAGTTGAAATTATATATTTGTCGCTGGAACATTCCTCATCGTGTTCGAGGGATTATCTTGTCTTCAAGGACGGTAAGTACATGGTACAAACGTATAGAGGTTCCTAAGAAAAAAATAATTACAGTGGTCTTCGAACTGTATTGGTTTCCAGTTACTTCTGAGACAATTCTTGAATTATCAAGTTTGATCATAAATCCAAAAATATTGGTTTTGTTATTTGTAAGAACTTGGGACTTGATGGGTGATGATAGGCGCATAATGTATTTTATCACAGTTATTCTAAATACGTTCTATTAGCATCAGCTTCATTTGAATACTAGCATGCTTATGTATATGCGTCAGAACCAATGCCACTAACTTAGTGACTATCTTTTCTCAAGGTTCATCATCTTGGTCACCTCAGTTGGGTAAATATTGCGGTCTTTACTACAGCAAACAACTTGTCAGCTCACGCAACTACATGACCATCGCCTTCCACACCGATGGCTCTATCACGCGACAAGGTTATAATCTGAAGTACAAAGCTGGAATATTCCCTTCAACAACAACAGCAACCACAGGTACAATAATTGTGTTTTTGTGGTCAACCAGTTGTGTGTACATAGACTGGAAAGTGTGGGGAACTGCCATTAGTGGTAGGGGGTATTCAATGTTGCTTGGGGATGGCATTGACAATAGAGACATTATATTTACTTGATCCCTTGTTCAGGCAATGTGGGGAAAGTTTATATCAATTTTCGCGCGTTTCCTCTTTCATGAAATTCCATCACAAGGGATAACTATTTCAAATCACGAACTATGAAGGATCTTTTAATAATATAAGTTCTCATTTAATCATTGCATTTTTAAAAGAACTAGATTTGTCGAATGATTTGTAAATAGATAAATATTTTATGTTTGGAAGTTTATATTAGTAACTTCGAGTGTGAGTGGCTGTATCCTCAATGGGGGTTAAAATATTCTAAAATTATTGTCCTCTTGAGAGGATACGTTTTTAATCGTAAAATAGGTGTATTTTTAATGTATGGCTAGATTTCCGAAATTGCTAACGGTTGAAGGGGTGGTGTAAATCCAGCTAGGGTCCATGCAGGAAGCAAATGTACTGTAAGTCCCCATGGTCCCCAGTATGGTGATCTTCCTTCAGTTGTTGGCAATCAATAGCCTGGTTCTATATCATATTGTCTTCTATAGTTAAGCGCTTTTAGCTTTTCATACTAGTTTTATATCTATATCTGTGATCCTTTAGTTATTTTATTGTTCTTCGTTGGCAGGGTTTAGTAATTTGACTTTGGTTATTGCAACTTTATTTGTTATTCAAATCCTCGTCACGATATGGCTGCATTATTGCCATCATTTTCAAATCATTTGAAGGGAAAACCCTATGAAACAAAACCCTTATGTAAATGTGTGTATAAAAGGAAAATGTTTTCCTTCAGAAAAAAAGCATACCTTGAGGTAAGCCTTCATTTACGATTGCCGACATGAGTAAATGTCTGAAGCCCATCACAGAAACAGAACTGTTTAATATCATTGAGATACTTCCTTGTTTCAGTGTGTGGCGAAGATGATACGATAAGCTATGAGACAAAATATATTGAATCACCGAATTATCCCCTGTCCTATCCCGAGTAAGTATATGGGACACTTGTAGTTAGATTTGCAGTCGCAGCAGTAAATAGAATAACAATGAACAACTTCTTTGTTAATACAGAAGTTGTTCAAACAAATATTTTTGTCCTTCTTTAAACTAACTCAGAGAGAAATGATTCAACAATCTAGAAGAAGGAATACACACTATGACATTCTATGATAAGGGGATTCTTAGATTTTAATTCCAGCGAGGATGGAAACTGAAAGTTTGTAGTTAGTAAACTCTGTTGCATAAGCACGATGAGTTCATATGACTTGTATGAAGCATATACAAATGCAATACCTGACATGCGGAACACATGGCTAATGCTGATGTCTATTCCAATTTTAGCAATGCGGACTGTGAGTGGACAATAAGCACTTCAATTGACGGATATGTAATCCATGTGGACGTGGTGTATTTCAACATTGAGCAAGACAGCAGCTGTTCCTATGATTATGTACAGCTCTATGATGGTAATGAACGCGTTTAATCATTGTTATCCTAGAAATGGGTAAAGGAGACAGATGCCTAAAACGAATATAAGCTCTGTTCTATTCGCTAATGTAGAGAACGTCAGCGACCTGTGTGTCTTCTTGTTTTTCTCCAATTTTAAGCTAAGACGCTGACATTTACGCGGACATGACGTCCACGTTGACGTGGCACAATAGGCACACGTCTTGCTTAACAGTGTTGTCTGTCCGATGTCATCTATATTTTGCACGATACTTATAGTTAATGTTATGTCGTTTGAGTCACAGTAGATAGTACAGTAAAATAGTCATTTGGAATAAGTAAATGTCTTCCCCAAATAAGAACAACTGAACGAGTTCTTAAAGCAATGAAACTTTCCACTTTTGTAATCGTAGAATACGTGTCATTTTAATATATAGCTAGATTTTCTAAATTGCTGACGACTGAAGGGATGGTGTAACTCCAGCTAGGGTCCATGCAGGAAGCGAATGTATGGTGATCTACCTTCAGTCGTTGGCAATCTATAGCCTGTTTTTATATTGTATTGTCATTTATAGCTCCAATGTTTTAGATTTAATTACTAGTTTTGAATGGATATCTGTGATACATTAATAGTTTTACTGTTCTTCGTCAACAGGTTTTTTAATTTATAACTTTATTGGTCTTTAATATACATGTAATTATAAACGGTTCTCGTCACAATATGGCTAAGATATTGCCGATGTGACGATAAATATTAACTCACTCACTGTTAAAGCATTGTATCTCCGAACAAACGTTTGTGACATTAGCTCATGATTTGTTTTATTATCATAATCTTCTCATGTGATTTCTCTCAATAGTCACGAGTTATGAAAGCTCGATCGGTCGATGGTGTGGAAGAGATGGACCAAATACACAGACTACAGGACAGACAATGAAGGTTAAATTCCACTCCGATGGTTCGACTTCCCTTTCCGGATTTAAGTTGTCCTTTACTGCCGGCGAACCAACATATGATTGTACGTGTTTCAGTTTATTCGTTCATTTAGGAATGTATTGCATCGTTTAAGAGAATGTCATCCATCAATAGCCATCTCTGTTCGTTTACACTTTAACTGAAACATGCGGTATTGGGGAACGCTACAGCATACAACTTATCTTGTAAACGAACAGGTTGGTAAAACATATATATAACACATGTATCGATAGATAAAGAATATGTTGAGGGTGTGGTGGACAAGGGAGGTGGACGACCAGGGCTCGACTTGTCAGGTTGACCAAACTCAGGTATATTCGCCGTTATCTTGTTTTTCTGGACCAACGCTCGTCAGTCTCACATCAAGCTGATAAGCTGACATGATTGATACAGCTTCAGAGCATGAGGGTAGCCCAGTTGTTACAGCGTTCGCTCATCAGGCCGAAGACTCGGGTTCCATTCCTCACAATGTGTGAAACCCACATCTGGTTTCCCACCTTGATATAGATGGAATATTGCTAAAAGTGGCGTTCAAATCGTTCTCAATCAAAGCAGCCTAAAAGCAAGCAGACTGTTAAGTCACAGGTTCAGCGTGTGTAGTTGTCGCTTCATCGTAATTGTCCTTTGACCTATGTGAGTTAAGGGTGAAGTTGATCTTTTAGTACTTAACACCAATGCGCTGGCTCAGTGTCACACAGACATGTAAATTCGTATAGTAAGTCCAATTTATAACATAACGGTTCCCATTTTGTACACAAGGACCTACCCTTTGACGTTATTATGCATCTACTGAAGTCTCCACAACAAGGCAATATCAGACAAATAATGGTTTGACATCCCTCTTTCTTTACCTCTGTAATGGAACGCAGTAGAGTTACAACAGCAAGATAATGTTGAAATAACATGTACCTTACCAACATTTAGGATTCCGCCTCAAAACACTACTTAGAAGCAACTAAAACAGACGTGTTGTAACAATATATCTATATGCCATTTTAGGGGATTAAGTAAAATCTAAGAGAATGCTATATTTACAAAATACTTTTTTTATGTTTTCTTTAGCTGTATATTTTATTCAGTTTTATTTTTTTTTATTTTTTAGCTGCTGCACCAACGAACATCGGAGCCATACTGGGAGGTGTATTTGGCGGGATCACTGCTGTGGGTATTGCAACCTGCTGCTGCTGTGGACTTTGTTTCAGAAAGAAATCCATTCCCAACGTCCAACAGCAGAGAAACATACCACGTGAAGGCACCGTCTCCTTCATCAACGTCCCCAGCTACCCACAAACCCTGCCTACTGCTCCTGCTGTTCTGCCGTTCATGTCGCCACCACCTCCTTCTTACAATGATGTCGTGAAGGATGATCCCCCACCGTACTTTCAGGCAGTTCCACTATCAGACATACAGCCTGTTGTCACGTCATACAGTAGCGGTGCATCTGAGCATCAAGGGATAGATAATCCAGCAGGCCCCAGCTGAGTGGCAGTTTCAGATGACGTGCATGTTTGTTTAACTGGAGAAAACAGAACAAGACACATTCGTGTATACTTCATGCAGTGTCCTCATCCATATACTTTTTTGCAAGGGGTATCGTTTCGTACCATGGTTTTCGATGATCATTTAATATTCAAAATATCTATTACAGCTAATTCTAAAAATGATGATTGACTTGACGGATTAGCATAAAAGCATATTAATGGTGTTATACAATATGTCTATAGGATGTTTTCGTGGTGTAATGTACACAGCGGTTGAATTTTTAACAATGTTTTTAATCATGTAAATTATTTTTACGAATACATGTACGATATTGAACGGATGTCGCCATTTGGTGACATATATTTCACCGACTGATCGCTTTTCAATAAAGATTGTCCCAAACAATGTGATAATGGTGAATGGATACTGCACAATCCACACAATCCCCCCAAGGAAAGACACCTTAGAATATTCCCTTGAATCTCGTTTGGTATATTTTGATATTTTGTTATTGTTTTTTGTAATAAAAATATTTTGTATTTCAAATGATGCATGTTGTCCGTGTTATGTTTATGATTATTATCATGTGATTTTATTACAAATTATAATTTTATACATGTGCACATGTGCGGGAATGTGCGTGTTTCGACTGTCACGAGTATGAGTTTACTGATGGTTTTACTTTGATGGAATCCACGAGCACGGATGATGAAGAATCAAATTCATGGGGAGTCTCTATTTAAAAGACACTACCACTTTCATTGTCAGTTCTTATATGGGATATAGAAGTGCAAAAGAATACCCATATAAACTATATTCACAACACATTCCGTCTGTTGTAAGGGGTTTAACACTGAAAATGTTTGTCGACACCAGATGTTGACGGAAAGGGCAAGCATGTATTCTGCTGGTAGCACCAGCTATTGACAAAATTTGCCTAAGAGTGGAAACATCCCAGTGACAAAATAGAGTAGCGTAGGTGTTCGGACCGTTGACATATTGATATCATGTGCTCCGAGTTGTACTCTACTTGCTCCAACATGTCAGTTTCCTGGCAGAGGTCACTGACTCTGCTTATGTTTTCATACGTGTAGACGTTCATATGTGTTGTGCGAAGTTGATCAGTAGAGCAAGTCAGCAGAAAGCCTGGTTCTCACCATTTCATGGAACAAAAATACAAAATGTCTGTTGGTATGATCTATTGTTGATATGTGTTGACCATTGAGCTAGGTAAATTAGCTTTTATATTACTCTTACAAAACAGGTATCTCAATGTACAATTTGTAGAACATGGATTTTGATAATATGTTCTTCGTACAACTAACTCCAATATTCGTCCACTCGGCTCACTTGTTCGATTCCCCACATAAGTGCAACGTGTGAAGCCCAATTCTGTTGCCCCCCGCCATGGTATTGCTGGAATATTGCTAAAAGCAGTGTAAAACCAAACTCACTCACTCACTCTCTTTTTTGGAAGACACGTGACCTGATTAACTCACAAAGGCGTATGTATGTTGACATAGTCGCAATGAAACCTATGAACTGGTTTTCCCCACTCTACCAGACGTATGTGTCACTTGCTGCAGCAACTCACATAACTGTCGTTTTAGATACAGAGAATTCAGGTTGTGTAAATATCTGTTATTGCTGCAGCAACAACAGCTGATGATTCTGAACCTGTGTCTGTGTCGGCGTCGACAACCAAGGCGACAAGTTGCATCGAAATTCAACCAAATACGCAGTTGGATAGATCCTTGAATTCAGCAAGTGGAGGTGTAGATTCACAACAACCATATGTAACACAACCGAACTGGTACATGCACCTTGTCCTGACACCCGTGAAGGTCCGAGTTAGAATTTGCCTTCAGTAACCCATGCTTGTCGTAAGAGGCGAGTAACGGGATCGGATGGTCAGACTAGTTGACTTGGTTGACACATGTCACCGGTTCCTAATTGCGCAGATCGATACTCATCACTGGATTGTCTGGCCCAGACTCGATTATTTACAGACCGCCGCCATTTAGCTGGAATATTGCTGAGTGCGGCGTAAAACTAAACTCACTCACCTTGTTCTGACTACAAACATCCGAGCAATCAGCAACCGAGAGCACGGTGTCACTTTCTGATAAAACCGTAGTTGACAAAACAGTGGAAGAGAGTACGACCACATCTGACACGTGACAACACATGCGACAACGACAGTTGGAGGGACACTACTGGGGATTGCGACATATGTCGTGACCATTGAGACAAATGTAACAGTTGACGCGACAATGATAACATAAATGTGACTTTAAATGAGACCATGACCAGTGATGACGCGACAGTAAAAGAGATCACAACAACTCCTGACAAGACAGTAAAGGAGACCACGACTGCAGCTGACGAGACAGTAAAGAAAACATTCATTACATCTGATGTAACAGTAACGAAGACAACGGCCACTACTGACATAATAGATGAGGAGACAGCAACTGCAGCTGACGCAACAGCAAAGGAGACCACGACCACAGATGATACGACAGTAAAGGAGACCACGACCACAGCTGAGACGACGGTAAAGGAGACCACGACCACAGGTGATACGACAATAAAAAGAGACCACGACCACAGCTGATACGATGGTAAAGGAGACCACGACCACAGCTGATACGGTGGTAAAGGAGACCACAGCTGATGCGACGGTAAAGGAGATCACGACCACAGCTGATACGACAATAAAAGAGACCACGACCACAGCTGGTACGACAGTAAAGGAGATCACTACCACAGCTAATACGACTACTTCAGAACGTATTATATTCCCGGAAACCATCGATCCTCCAAGGTGCTATGAATTTTAACACTACTTCAGCCGTCTCACTTGTTGAACATACCAATATCAATTACTCGTTTCAATACAGATACAGAGCAGAATGGATATCCTCCATTTCATCAGTATCGTTGTGTGAGTGATTGAGTGAGTTAAGATACATTGTAAATATGGGCTACAGATCGCCAACAGCTGAAGGTAGATCACCACACCACACGTTTAAAGCGTGTTTGCTTTCAAGGCATAATGTGTATGTGAGTGAGTGAGTGAGTCAATAGTTAACATCACATCTGCAATATTTCAGCCATATCGTGACGTGAACATTTTACATTGAAATGGAATATGTGTTTATTTAAAACCTGTCTTCGAAGGACAGTAAAATAACTAGAATATCACAATTAGATTTAAAAGAAGTGTGGAAGGTTAAAAATAATAGCACTATTAGGACAACACAAGATAAAAACAGGATATAGATAGCCAACAACTGAAGGTAGATCACCACACTAGGGACCAGTATCGTTTAAAGCGTGTTTGCTTTCAAGGCATAATGTGTATGTACAATGTCACCATGCCAGGGTAATGGGATAGCCTCGTGGCTGCACATAATATTTCAGACCTTGAGGAGCTGAAAATATTCACATCCAACCCGGCATTTCAGCCGAACGTTGTATGCATCGGAAATTAGAAACTATATAAACAAACAACATAATTTTATATACGACCAGTTACTAACACTGGAATGGACTACTTTACCTGTGTGTACACCGGTGAAGATCGTAAAACGAGACTCACTCACTCACCCACCTGTGTGTAATTTAGTATCCTCAACAATTTGTCATGCTCATGATGAAATGTATGTTATTCTTGTAACAATGAAACAATTCAGGACTGGCATAAATAGCCCACACTATCGGAAGTGCTTGAGGCATGTCTTTAGTTAGATTTCATAGCATTATAGTGCGTGTTGTCGAAATTAACATATCCGATACTTTGGAAAAGGCTGTCAATCCTTTCAAAACATATTTCTAGCACATAAATCCAGAATTTGTGTGTAAAGTAGCATTCTCATCCTAACACACACCCTTAATGCTGAAAGTCTATTACTTGCGATAAATCTATGAAGTTTGTGATTTATAAACATATGCGTGCTCGTGCGTTTGACAATTACTATTGCATCGACTAAGATATCTAACACAGATAGGATGCATCTTCTTTTGCAATAAATAACACTGTCGTTGACAAGAACGAAGTCATGTACAAAAGGACGAGGAAAAAATTCTCAGAAACAAAAGTTGTTCTGAAATTACAGTTTCTAAATTCTAAAGAGAATTCAAATTATAAAAAGAAAAAACAAATATTGGGTGTAATATGTATCCCTGGCGGGCACCCGATGCAATACTAACCATTCCGTCTGTCTATACATGAAAAGACAAGTTTTTACTTTGCCACACAACCCTTGAAGGTCCGGGTTAGAATGTGCCTTCAGTAACCCATGCTTTTCGTAAGAGGCGACTAACGGGATCGGGTGGTCAGACTTACTGACTTGGTTGATACATGTCATCGGTTCCCAATTTCGTAAATCGATGCTCATGCTGTTGACCACTGGATTGCGTGGTCCAGAGTAGATTTTTTACAGACCGCCGCCATATAGCTGGAATATTGCTGAGTGCGGCATAAAACTAAACTAACTCACTCCTTCAATCACTTTGCCACACATACGTTGCAAGAGCCTTAATGATTTACCATGCATACCTTTTTGTCTTAAATAATATTTTTTGCCAAATCCAATCAAATTCATCTTAAAAATCAATTAACACAATTTACGAACAGTGTTTTGATTTTTCTCAAATATTTCTGACAAAGAGATTGTCAAATAAAAACATATATTATCTGCTGCGGAACATAAGACATTAGCCCCTGATCCGGGTTCGACCAGGTTTTCAGGAACCCATGCATGTCGTGGGAGGCGACTTACGGGATTGAGTGGTCAGGCTCGCTGACTCGGTTGACATCGTATGTCATCGTATGTCATCGTATCCCAATTGAGTATATCGATGCTCATGACGGCAATCACTGGAGTAACTAATCCATATTAGAATATTAACGGATCGGTAGGATGCCGCGGTATCCGCCGTAAATAAACAAACGAACAAAACCTAACCTCTTCATGGGAAATATGATTGATAGAGCTGTCAGATGACTCTTTTAACTTCGTGATATAGGCTGCAAGTCGGCCTCCTTGTCAAGTGGAGTCCATTGAATATGTTCAATGAACATTAAGAAGATAGGAAATCGTAATGACATATCCAAGCATTTCCAACCAAAACATGCAACTGCGAAATGTAAACGAAAGTTTGCAGCAAGGTTGTAGAGGAAAACATCGTTACAGGTTCATCGTCAGCTATGTCTCGGCTATTGGCTGGAACAAGAGTATTATCTCATAAAAAACAGTTCATCATCTCCCCGTTCCCAATTTGACGATGTTGTGGATGAATCATCAGACATTCAAGGGCAGTATTTATAGAAAAGACACTAAAGTGCACAGCCGCGCCAGAGAAGAGGCACTCCATTCAACGAAGAGAGGAGATAAATATACATTATGTGCCAAAGAACCTATCCAACCAAAGCCTATGCATGACAATATTGAAATTACTTTGCCTACCATCACCAGTATTGTCCAGATGTCTATCTGTCAATTCTTATACCATGCCAAACAATGGCATGATAAAATATCAACACTTGTAATTATATCCAATATTTCATGGAACACCAAGTGTATTCGTTATCTGTATATCATATCAGTGAATTCTAATAATATGTTCCCCACATGGTTACAGTATGTGAAGCCTATTTCAGTTATTAATGTTGAAATATTGCTAAAACCGCTATTCACTCACTATAACAATTATATTTTCCGGTCAGTGACGATGAGAGTAATGTTCTAAGGGAAGTAACTCCCGCTAACAAATAGGAACATAACATACTTTTACAATGAACGCAATAGTTGGCGATAATTTAATGTATGGTTGCATACAAAGTGCTGTTTTAGACTTCCTCGTTAAAACGGGTGAGTACGATGAAATTTAACTAAACAAAAGTATAACTGTGTGTTAAGTGTTGGGCGCATATAGGCCTTTAAAGGCCCAAGGTCGCCCTAATACCTTATCTACCTACCTACCAAGGAACATAACAGGACACGCATGCACGAATTATGTCATATGAACTTGATGCCGGGTTGTTGCAAAGGCTAATTATAATACGTTGTATCATGAAGGCTAAGTTAATTTTCTATAAACTGCCTATAAGCCACAAAACAGAAAATAAAATGACAATATGTTTGGAAATGAAACTGTTCAGCTACCTGTCATGGGAAGAACTGCTTTATACAAATAATACAAAACTGTTAACAGACTTGCAGAAATAGTAATAAAGAACTGGTAGGTGTCATGTGTGGTGCTCGAAAGGCCAATCATCCATGATGATGTTTACATTAAGTGTTAAATGATTGCATGCGATGGTAGCGTAGCGATTGGCAAAGCCGGCGGGTAGGGTGCACCGAAATGTCCGGCCTTGTCATTATGTATTGTACTGTGAAGCATTTCGAGTCGAGGGTCATCTCAAATTTTTATATATTTTTTATATCTTTAATCCTCGCAAAGACACGAGGGCCTGTGCACTGGGGCTGCTATTTGGCAATATTCATGAAATTTAAGGGTTTTGCATCAATGGCGAAGGGTACCAAGAAGGAAGAGAATGGGCTCGAACGGGACCTGTGTTCACGACTCCATAACATATGCATAGAAGTCCCGGTGTTAGACATTGTGATACTGTCGGAATGTTGCAAAACCTATGTTACTCAGTACCAGTTAACTCACACAAATAATTCACGATAGTGAAAAACACGCATCAGGCATAATACCAAGGTTTCCTAAATACAAGTTTAATTGCAAACATTAGTGATAACCTCCTGATCGAAGAATGCTATTTGTAAATCTATTTGAGAATTTCTCACAAACCAAACATTGCTCAATTTCCTTGAATAGTTGCATTGACATAATACGTCACAATGACAGTGATTCCCTTTGCCCTGTCCTTCCTCTTTTTCTATAAATCCTGTTATCAGTTATACTGTTTGGTAAGGCATTCTAATAAAGCACAACCCCTTAAGAAATAGGTAGCTTTTGCAACATATAAATATTTGCAGCAATGACTGAATCATGTTTACATAGTGTGTGCTGACGCACCTAACAATATTACTTCGTTATCTGATAGGCTTGTTTGCTTTGTCGAGTGTCGTTGGTGACTACCACCTAGAAGTCGATGTAGGTCACGTCCGTATAAGTGTTTTGCAATCTATTTATGATCTTTTCATTAGAGCGTTCCCTGCCTGATAGGGTGTACACAGAGAAAGTGATTCAGGGGTTTTACAATTACATTGTGAGGTGATCTACTAATGCCAGTCTTGCATGAGAGCTCTCCACAGCGACAGGATGCCATTATGAACATACCATATTTCTTTGGATTATGTGTTTTTTGGTTGTATGGGCCGCTGGTCTCAGGTGAGTGTGACATATATTCGTTTTCACATATATGTTATATGTTAACTGACAAGTTGTGAAAAATGTATGAACATGTGGTACGTTTTACAACAATAAACGATTTTCTTCCTTAGGTCAAACTACATTGCTAGGTCAGTGGTATTACTATGGGATTTTAGCATACCAAACTACACCTACAATCAGCACAGGTGACATAAGTTTTAAATGGTAGACAGGCAAGGCATATGTGTTTTAAATTTGAGTCTGCCCGGGAAATGTATTGTATATGACAGTCTCATTTGTTCAATAGCGCTTTAGTAAACAAGAAACTGGAGAAACGACCTGTCGTCTATCTAAACAAGATGGCGGACACGATATTGCGAAATGTAAACGCACAGGGCTGATCGTGCTGGGGTCAGTGAAGATAGGATGGGAAATGCATAACTATATGTGTGTGTAATTATATCATATTATACAGTTGTTGACATCTGAATAAAAATCATAAAGTCTAGTTGAATAAGCCATTAACATAGAGTTTGATGATATTGACTAATGCTATCTTTGGATGTGAGAATTAGATCCTGGTTGTATAAACTGCGTTATGAAAACAACAACATTGCCAACATAGCCAAAGCCAAACTGGAAAAGTATCTGTTTGATCTTAGTAGCCCATGGTCTAAGGGTTACCATTCTGTTTACCCAGTTTAGTCCGTGAAGACTCTGATACATTTGGTCCGACAGGCAATTGTTATCCATTTCGATTAGTTGAGTCCACTATTTTACTTATTTTGTAGTGCAGGTAGTAATAGTAATAGTTGATCACTTTCCCCGAGTACAGCACCACTGCAGTCTGTCAAAGTCAGTAAGTATGGTTTTAGGCCACTTTTCGCTTTATTCAAGCAATTTCATGGCGGGGTTCACCAGAAACGGGCTTCACACGTTGTACCCATGTGGGGAATCGAACCCGGGTCTACGGAGTGACGAGCGGGCGCGTCAGCCGTTAGGCTACCCAGCAGACTGTCAGAAGCAGAATTTGATGTAAAATTAATGGTTTTATAAATTTATTCTGTGTACTCTCACATCCTTTTATGTCAGAATGAACAGGACCAAACTGACTTATTTGGTAAATGGTCACACATAGATAGATTGCAGTATATATTGGTAAACATACGAAGTCAGCCTGCTGAACCAACACCGGTCTCGCCAATACTGTTGGGTTTTTTGTGTGCGTTTTTTTGTGTGGTTTTTTTTTCTTTGTTTTATTTTATGTGTGTGTGTGTGCGTGTGTGTGCGTGCAATGAAGTCATATATATTTTAAAAGGAAGTGGTTTCAATTATATATCCTAAATGCCATTTTTTAAATTTGTCACTGAAGTTGCTATCTCAATGTATACACATGGAGAAATATATCGCAACACCTATTATTTTATCCTCCATATAGCCATTCATAATCATATCATTATTATTTCTACATGATCATATTGACCGATCGGGGACACCATAGACTGGTTTGGATATCAATGTGCTACGATCAAAGGCGAGCATCATGTGTTTCCGTATTGAGCATCAAGTTTCAGTAAACTGCTCTTGCAGCTCGATAACTTGGACAATAAAGTGATTACGTTTATGATTAGCAAACTGGTCAGACACGTCATATACAGACTGTGGGATATACAGACTGTTGGTTGTCATCCATCGACTATCAGCCAATTGGCCAAAACATCAAAAAACAATTCCTGTCGACCACTCGTTGAAACTGCAATGGGAGGTAGGGCCGTAAGGAGCTCATGGGGGCAGATGTCCCCCTAGAATGTTTTACAGATTAAGTTTGTACATCATAGTATTGATATAACACTCTTTTGAGTTTCATATACCCTCACCGACCCCCTGAAATCCATACCTCAATTAATGACGCAAATATTGTGGGCAACCCATCTGACAGATGATCAGTATCAGATAACCATTTATACATAAAATAAGGAGTCCAGGGCAATGACATAGTCTACCCGGAGCCCTATAACATGAAGGCATATTGTACAACACCTAATGATAATGAACAAACAAAAGAAAAAATAGAAAAAGGATTGCATTCAATCCACTTGACTTCAAAAGACAGGATAGACAAAACAAAGAATAACTAACAAAACATTGATTGCACAATAAACAAACAGACATTGAGTGGTGAAACATTAAACAAGTAGTATTATATAAACTATCGACTCTTGTTTTTTGGCAAATGAACGATGAACCGATGCTGTATCATGAATCATTCCCTCATCCCCGTTAGTGTTCATGAGCATACTAGTGGACAGTGTGGCTTGTGAAAGTCTCAAGCTGTGAAAAGGCTGGAGGAAATTCAAATACAGCTAAATGTATATATTGGAGTCATGTTTGACATTCCCTTGGAACTGTAAATGTCTCAATGTCAATGTGAGTGAGTAATATTTAACAAACCTGAAGATATATATATATATGATGTAAATTTCATGTGCAATTTCTGGACTGTCACCTGAGTTTAATGATAAAACTATTATACTTAAACTGAACAAAACAGTTGTTTTTCATATATACAGATATGTCTAAACATATTTATAAAGTTTAGTTCAGAACACTATGTACAGATGCTACAATTATGAAACAAAGGAATATATTTTATAAAAAAAAAAACGTAGCAGGAAAAAATAAAATTCATACAAAATTGGAAATTAGATAAATGGAGTCATTTTACCTCCAGCAAGCAGGAAATTGCATCTGAGGGCATCTCATTTTTAAAAATTCCCGGGGAGTATGAACAACAACAAAAACAAGCCCCTCCAGCCCCTCCAGCCCCCTCCAGCCCCTCCAGCCCCCTCCAGCCTAGGGATGGTGTAAAACCATCTAGGGTCCGTGTAAGTAGTAAAGGTACTGTAAGTTCCTATTGTCCCTATAGTACTGTCTGAAATAGAAAAAAAAATGATTTTAGGCTGTTATTCTGTATCCCTAAAATTTACATAATTTCAAAAAGCATATGTCGAAATAACCCACTTCGGCCTAACTGGGCGTTCAGTTGGATGCGTAATACGATATCCAGAAAAGCATGTTTACTCGCAAAATCGGGCACAACTTAGAAAAAATACGAATAGCCGCTGAAAACAACAGATCAGACTATAGATGGCAATTAGGTCGCTCAGCCAGGTATGACGACGGACCGTCGACTCCTACAGGCACAAGGGGTCATCTCAAAGATATTTTGTGCTTTTTCATGTGTGGTGACTATGTCTCATCTAGTAATTAACATGCATCTTACGTGTTTTTCTTTCATAAAGTTTATGTTGAGATATGTAAAGAGTATGATACCAAAATAGTCATGGTGATCAACCTTCAGTTGTTGGTGATCTATAGCCCTTTTCAGTATACTGTATTGTTGTCTGTACTTAGTGTATATTTTTTCGATGATAGCGTACTAGTTTTAAATAGATATCTGTGACAGTCCAGTACTTTCACTGTCCTTCGATGACAGGTTTTTACGTTCTAAAATTATTGATTTTAATATTGGTATAAAATGAATTTTGCTCGTCACTATATGGGTGTGACGCTAAATATTAACTCACTCACTCACTCCTTTGGTCCCTAGTACGGTGACCTACCTCCTGTTGCTGGTGATCTCCAGTCCGTTTTTTTAATATTGTATTGTCCATCACAGTTTGTTTAATTTTACAGTTACATACTACTTTTAATTCTCTATCTGTGATAATCTAGTTTTTTACTGTCCTTCGTTGACAGGTTTTTATAATTTAATTGTGTTTCTTGTGAATTTATAACTTTTGAAGTCACGATATGGCTGAAATATTGCCAGTGTGACTATCAATTTTAACTCACTCACTCGCTCCTCTTATGTCTCACCGTAAAGCTGTAATATTCATTCATCTTGATGGGGGCTGCTTCAGGCTAACCCTGGCACGGCATAAGATGTCTCAACCGATCCTACTGCTAGTGAACTTAACCACGATGTGCCGATTTTTACAATCATCGGTTTTATAAGTCTTTTGACTTGGACATTTAGTATTCGATTCATCGTATTTCGTATGAAATCCAACGACGTCTATTTCAACACCAATAACCTTTAGATACAAAGAAAAAGAGAAAATTTAAACGGTGTACTTATGAATGACTGTGAGAAACACTACTTACACTGTGTGCTGACTGATGACAATAGTACACAGATTCAACAATTCTACACACAGAACATTAAGATATAATACAGTGCTTCATTTGTTTAATTTTACGCGAACCGGTTTAGTTATTTTAGGCTTTATCTAGCCAAATATTATTTGACTTGGTGAAGACGGCCTGAAGAATGAGCTCCGGCTCAGGGTGTACTTCGGTTCTTGTGTGTTGCTATGTGAGCTGGACGGTGTATGTCCTTGTTTCAAGCCATTTATAAATGACAACGGCTTTGGGTTTCAATCCCAGCCATTTATTGTCAGCGTCTATCCCGGCTTTGTGTATGGCAATACCATCTTCAATCAGGTGTTGCTTCTAGCCCAGACGGTTATGGTTTTATAAAATTTCCAAGAACTCACGAACATGACATTTTGCATGGGTGACAACGGCGAAATTTGTATTTTATTTTTCTTTGCATAAAACAAATAGATCAGTATGGTATGATTTATGCCACAACGATCCTTGGGAAAGCTGACCAATTACAACTGATATTCATATTCACAATTTACGAAGCATATGAAATTATTTCCATGCAATAATAACTGTCGACATGTACGGGTCCTGAATATGAAGACAACGTTGTTCGAACTCTGTAAAATATTCCACACATGACCTTCCTTTGTATGGAATAATAGCCCACTATCTTGTCCATTTATGAACTATTTGCCAAGATGTTTACTAAGATGATATTAAGTTGTCAATAGAATGTAAGGATGTTGTGTTTGTGTAAATCATGCAATACCATGTCAGCAATTTCTTTACCCCAGTAAACATTGACCAGTTTCTAAACCTTCATTGTCCCTAAGTTATACTATTCATTGTTTAAAGGTAATGAAGAGAAGCCATGTACAAGCATGTAATACAATGAACGTGTCTTTACAGGTGCGTGCAATGTCACGCTCCATGCACAGAGGGAACCGCTGAATTTCACATCGCCTAACTACCCAGGCAACTACGGAAAGTATGTAGAGACATACCTGTTTATTTCATACATGATCTGTTCACCAGAATGAGTGCTCATAGTCCAAGCATTCATATCTATTGATGAATGGTTATTGTAATATCTTTATCCTTTATATGTAAGCACTACAGAATTAATGTAATCAACTGATATTTGATGTAAATGTTTATATGTTCAGATTTACACATGCCATGTTGCTTCAGTTCCAAATAACATTATTTTACAGCCATGAAAACTGTTATTGGGACATCTACCCTGAAACAAGCGGCTACAGGGTTGTGCTCGAAATGGTGTTTTCCAACATCCAATACTACTTCACCTGTAACCATGACGTTCTTACCATAGACGTCATAAATAATGGTAAAATAGTCGTGTTACACTGAAAACCACCTTTTCTATATAAATTACTTATTAAATATAATATCATATTTTTTCACATTATTGATTTCTTATCCAGAAAAAAACCCTCATGTGATCACTGTGGCGCATCAAGGAAGGAAAATAAGTGAAAGTTTGTGAAAGCTGAAGTAATTTACAAACTAGATTACTAAAACCGAAACACATTTCATATTTTTACAAAATTGTTCCTGACATTTTGTCCACCCAGGTGATCAAAGTAAAGCCTCTTCGCGTAAAATCTGTGGCGAAAGCAGATGGAATATTCTCATCGAAGACGACCAACATATCCATGCAGTGTTCACGACTGATGCCAGTGGAACCAGGAGTGGTTTTCTCATTAGATACTATGAGAAAAATGGTTAGTAAAGTCACGACCCTGGCTATGCAGCAGTAGTCTAAAATCTTTACTGTATGTACCGTTAAAGCTATAATTAAAAACCTGGTTGTTTTTCTCCATTTCTTCTTTTACAAGATACTTCTATGGGCTTGAACCAAAGGTAATAGTAGGTGTGGTCAAGTATATGAAATTGAGTCTAATGTTTTCAGTTGCTTGAATGGTCAAAATCAGGGATCAGTAAAGACTGGTTTTAATCAAAACATTTGAACCACTTCAGAAAGCCAAAATGATCATCTTGTGCACATCTCTAAAACATTGATCAAAACGGAAGCAGATATTGCAATGATTGCGTGTTTCTTTCGTATAATAACGTAGATTCGCTAGCGCTGGCTTAACGAATTTCATCATGCAGGATTCTTACATGGCATCGTTGAATCTTTCAAAATAAATAAAAATACAAAGTTGCCCATGCTGATCTCATGAATTGTACGGCTGGTACAAATTGTTCCCTTGTCACAACCAGGTACCGAAACGTGCGGTGTACCTCTCGTAGCAACTTCTGTCGGCAAGACATTTACCTCGCCTGGATACCCAAACACCTACTTCCAGTGAGTAACCTAATTACTCTATCAGCTACAAAGAGTACTAGAGTTTCTTGTATTTGTTACCCAGTGTTTAATGTTGCATAAATCAACTCAGAGAGAGGGTGTGTTGGATGTATTATTAAGCTTTCAACAATATTTACTTCACGCCTAGTCATGCGTACACATTTGTACACAGCCATCCGTTTGTATGTGCGAATGTTTCGAACCATTCGGCAACCTTATTTGGATAATTTGTATAGCACTTGAAAATAAATGTTTCTGTTTGCAGGAGGCAGACATGTACCTGGACTATTACAGCAGAACATCAAAACCAAACCATTCAATTGTACACCATGGACTCGGTACTTCAGAACGTCTCATCTCGTGGAACTTGCAACAATGATTATGTCACTGTATACAACGGTCAATACGGTAAGTAGAGACGTGTACATTGTACTGTCAAGCGGTTATTGAGTTGCAAATATATTTGTCTCTGCAAAGTTCTCCTTTCAATGACTGTAAACTCAAAGGCAAAGGGTATTGTGACACAAAACAACAAACATAATCACTTTTTAACTTTAAGCTGCCGAGAAAGACAAATGTTCCAAGCTATGGTAATGATCAACAGTCCATAAGAATTTGGTTTTTAGAAATGAGTTTCAACACAAGAGGTAATCAGATGGTAAGTATCAAGTGCGTCCATCAGGTGCATTAATGCTGACCTGGCATCTTCATTTCACTGAGGCCATAATGCGTCGATAAAAGGGAAGATTATCTCATCTCAGAGGAGGAATTTGGCGGAGTTTTGCAGTGCTTTTGGGGGGATTCGCATGACTTCGTAAACGTACCTCTATTTCATCCCTGACGTGTTCAGTGGGTGACACATCAGGGGATCTTGCTGGCCAGGGTAACACATAAAGATTGCTCTGACTAAGAAACTGCTGTAAACTCCGGAAACGGGTGGTCTGTTGTTATCGTGTTGAAACAGCACGCCATCTCTGTTCTGTTGTAAAAGCGATACAGAGGTCATTTACAAAATCTCGTCTTGATACAATAACGTCTTGACCTCCAAAACAAATCCTTTCTCGAACACAAGGTCTAATGTAACGTTCACAGGGCCTGTTGTAAACTCGGTGAAGAAGTAAATAAACTCATCGGTGTACACAGCCTTCCTACACGCACTCCCTTCCCTAAGTGTTGTCTGCTGTAACTTAGACGTCGGTGTCGATATTCTGGCGTCAGCTTGCACGGATGCTGTAGAGGCGAACACACGCCTGTTATCAGGTATGCTACGAGCTGTAAGGGTTGCTGGACTGAACCTGTGTCGGAGGTCCGTGGTTCAAAATTGTTGTTCGAAAGAATACCTCTCCATATGTCATTTTCCCTCAAGTGGCATATCGAGTGTGTTCCTGAACGATTAAAAGAGATACTGGGTGTCTGGAATTTCAAAGTTAAGAATGTTGGTCATTGTTCTCCTCTATATCATGCTCCTAACAAATTTCATGGAATTCGAGCAACAACAGCTACTCTCCGTTTCTTCGACCTTTCTAACACACTCGTTCCACTCGTTGGTTCAAATCCAAATACTCATTCACAAGAAAACATTTTACTAATGCTTACTAAAGCATGCTGACGTCAAGTTTGCACAACGCATGGTTGTTAGCCTCCGGCAGTTTTGAATGATGCTATTCAAAGTTAGGAGAATCAACACTTTTGACATTGTTAATAATATAATGTTCCATTACAGGTTCCTACCAGCTCGGCACCTTCTGTGGCAACGAAAGACCTGTTTTTAACAGTGGTGGGAACGCCTTGAGTGTTCGTCTACGAACTGATTCCTCGCAAGTCTACAAAGGATTCAAAATGCTATACAAAGCTATACCGGGTGTGTATGCATTAAGCACTCAGATTGAACCTAAAACTACAGCTACCCGGTTAGATAATAATTAATTAATGTTCTGATCTGATGGTGAAATATAGTAATTTTACAAATAAACACACAGTTGTCAACTGTAAAACTGCTGTTCAACTGACCAAAACAAGGCACAAAACAATAAAATCACAGTCACTTACTAAATGTTATTTCATACATCTTAGTTGTGTTGACAAATGTGTCATGAACATGTCTTTCGAAAGACGTGATGAGGCATGACGGCAGCTCCAAACTCTCAGTGTTATTAGTCTCTAAATATATCAATACTGCGTTAGTTTGTGCATTCAGTTAAGCAATAACAGATCTATGTCTTTGTCATTGATGCCTTGATTCGTTTTGCGTAACAACTATGTTTGCCAATTATGATAACATTAGCTCTCAATTTAGACATATATTTTGGATATAATATTTCTGTATGAATCTATTTGTAAAACTGTAAACGGGATTAGTAAAATGTATTTATTATGAAGTTTCGGTAACAGATCTCTCTGGACAAAATGGTGAAGTGAGGACACATTATCTTTAGAATAAGCCAATAATTCAAGAAACATATGTTTTATGACTACTGTTGACACCAATTTTAACTAATGTCAACATTGGCTCACAGTAATGTCCCAGCCGGTCAGCCCAAAACCGTTTTCGCTATTTTTTCGCATGGTAGATTATACTAGTAAACATTATACTAATAAAACCTTGATTTCTTTAGTATTTATCAGATACGCCCCTGGAGAGTTTAAACATTGTTTGTCAAAAATGTCTGGGTCCATAACAAACAAACTACCACAAAGACCGAATCCCCCACCCCTTCATCCTTGACAACCAGCCACACACACAAAAGCACGTGCGAACGCACGAACACACACGCACACAGGAACGCCGAATCCTTGTTACAACAACAAAAAACAAACAAAAATTGTACAATTGCTACTCTTCTTCATTATCAGCAACAACGTGCAGCGTCACGCTTTCCGCAGGTTACAGTCCAATGGTGATTGTCTCCCCTGGCTATCCAAGCAACTACGTAAAGTAAGTAAAGAGTTACAATAATCTGATGTAAATGAATGCATGATTCAAAACCCGTTTACTTGGATATAATTCGCCAGATCAAAAGATGTTTACACATGTAGATATATACTCTTCGCCTTGATAATAATGTCACCAAATGTAAATATGCTTGTATCACGTGTAACCAATATGGATGAGGCTTGTGTTTTTGTTTCGGAACATTTTTTTCTTCTTCCTTGCAGTGGATTGGACTGTCAGTGGACTCTAAATGCACCGATAGGAAGCAATATAACGGTGAAAGTTTTGTTTCTTGATTTGGAAAAGGTGGCATCGTGCGTGGATGATTATCTACTGTTTAAAGATGGTAAGTAAAGCTTCGGACGCATGTTAACGTTGTGTTCCTCTTAGAATTGAGCAAAACAGTTGTAGCTTAAGTTCTGTGACATCCGTGTGGTACCAAGGAGAAAAAGAATATAATCAAGATAATATTAATGATCACTACTTTACCTATACTCACCAAAAAATGCCACACATTGATACTAATCTTATATGAAATTTCAAACATGTTTTTTTTCAAAATTACTTGTTGATTGTTATGATTTCGCCCTTGTAATTCTGTGAAACGAATGCACAGCGCATTCTCATCTTCAAAAACATTAATGCATGTCTACGTTCAACTTGCTTTAAAATGGCATGGATGAAGAGTGGCATGCACGTGCCGTTTACTGGAATAGTGAGCAGGGAGATGACCTATATAAGACTGTTCTGCTTTTAGACGGTCATTGGTATTTTTAGTGAGTGAGTGAGTTAAGATTATCAGTCACATCGGCAGTATTTCAGAGATATCGCGACTAAATCAAGTTATAGATATATTAATAATTAAAGATAAATTATAATATGCTTTCTACGAAGAACTAAATTATCGCAGATATAAGTAAATCTAAAAATGTTAACTATGCATGACAATACAATATAAAAACAGGCTATAGATTGCCAACAACTGAAGGTAGATCACCATACTAGGGACCATTGGTAACTTTAGCTAAATGAAAGAATATCGTTATGTCGAGACTCACTGATGCAAATCAAAACCTTGGACGTCTGGAGTCCGGGGAGGTTCAATGTGCCGTTGCACGTCACCTCAGTGTTCACAAGAGTAGTAGTTTATGGGACGGATATCAACAAACCAATTCTACGCAGGATGGGACTCGAAGTGGTACACCCCGGATTACCATAGCAACCCGGGATAGGTACATCAGGGTACTTCATTTGCGGAATCCAACTGTCAAAGCAACAGTTGGACCCTATTTTGCACCTGTACTGCGACGACTACATCGACGTCGACGCGTCCAGTGGTACAGTAACGTTTGATTGTGACGTGTATTGTTCAGTGGCATTTTCTGCTTCAGTGACGTGATTGACGTCGAAATGAAGGTTTTACCCAGAATTATGTCACCTTGGTTGACCGACATGGTGCAGGGAGTGTCTTAGAGTGGGATACCATATCCGACACGCAGAAATCTAACTTTGTGCGCCATCTTGGCAATTTAAATCATTTTCGATACAGAGGCGATTCTTAAGGATTCATATGGCTGTTCCAGTGAGTAAATGCCAGGTCTCATACAGCACATGCCATTAGTTAGTATCTTCAGAATGAGAACATTACAGTGTTTCCATGGTCTTCCGAATATCACGACCACAACCCCATCGAGCATTTGTGGCGTGACCTCGGCCGATGCGTGCGTGAACGTCAACCGGCGCTCCAGACGTTAGATCTATTGTCGCAGGCATCGCAAGAGGATTGGGCCAGTGAATGAGTGAGTTACAATTTAAAGTCACTTCGGCAATATTTCAGCCATATCGTGACTAAATTAAGGTATAAAATGATAATAATTAAAGGTAAATTTTAAAAATAACTGTCAACGAAGGACATTTAAACAACTAGGATATCAAAGTTATAAATATAAAACTAGTAGTGTGATCTGAAACATTTTTACTATATATGACAAGACAACATAAAACAGGCTATAGATCGCCCAACAACTAACGGTAGATCACCATACAAGGGACCATAGGGACCACAGTACTGTTGCTACCTGCATGGACAGATTGGGTCAAAGTTCCACAAGGTCGAATTCAAAGACTTAATCACTCCATGCCGAGACAGCGCAGAGCAGTTTTTGGGGCTCTTGGTGGTCACAATAGATATTAAAGACAACACCCCATTGGGAACAGACACCTTCACTGAATGCTATGCATGTTAACATATATTTGAGCTTTTAAACTGTGAAAATTGGCTGCAAGTCATCCAGACTCTTTAAACCCGAAGATGTTTTACCCACTCCTACGGTCGAAACCATCACATCAATTTGGACAGGTTTCAGAGAGGTGTTCCATGATTTTGTCTATGGTGGGAAAGGGGTAACCGGGGAGGCTATTTTCAACTAAGGCATGGCTAAACCGGTTCTTGTCTTTGGGGAAAAGGAGATGGGATATTGCAAAGCCATTGAACTCCTTATATTCATTGTCTCGTTAACCATGCACCTGTCATGTATGCCAAATTTGGACCCCTGCGTCAGTTTAGTTGTCAGGGTATTGAAAAGATGAATGATGACATAAAGAGCATTCATCAGAGAAAATCCAATAAATGGGATGCAGCAACTGACGCAACTGAAGATAAGAAAACGCATGGAAAGGAACCAACACCATGTGAGGGAGAAAAGGACATACACAAAACGCAAACTACAATTCTGGGAAGAGGATTTGTCTGCTATGAGAAAATCGAAACGACAGGCCATAAGGGACGAAATGGAAAATGTAGCCTTGCCTCAGCTTGATGTCAATCAGGCCAGTGTGCCTGAATTGAGGGACTACTTAGAGTCCAAAGGGTGCAAAACAAAGGCAACGAAACGAGATGTTTTGTTAAAAATGGCAAAGAATAGGTAAATGGCACCAACTTCGTTCAACCATTAAGTGAAAAACGCAACATGTATTTGAAGGCCGCCATATAGATGGAATATTGCTGACTGCGGCGTGAAACTAAACCTAAAACCTGAAAAAATTATTGCCTTTTTCCTTACATGGGAATTGTCTGTCCAGTTATTTGTCACTATTTTGAAACTTGATGAAATGTCTGTGTAATAAATATATATGTCTCCTCCTATTACACATTTCTCGTGTCCCCCGCCGTGATGTTGCTGGAATATTCCTAAAAGCGGCGTAAAACCAAACTCAGTCAGTCAGTCAGTCCTCCTATTACATTTATGTTATTACTGAATGAGAAACTGAATTTTGAAAAAGCATCCATAAAATATTTGGCTGAAGCAGCTGAAGTGAGGTAAAACTAGCACGAGTTACGTCCCTTGAATTGTTGTTGAATCGAGATATTTTACATGCGTTTCCAAAAATTTGACGTACCTTGTCTATGTCCACTATTCTTGAGTATGATTGCATGTGCTATTTCACTTTAAAGGTAGCAGAATTTGTGAAAATAGACCATACGTTTCTTGTTTGGGATATATATTTTTGACATGTTGTAAGAACTTAGTTGAAATGTATCTTCCCGAATATGGGTTTCACTGAGATCGGAAGATTATCTCATGACATGTTACCTATGAGTGTGCCTGACTGAGACAGTATTGCACTCGATAATGTCCTAGATACCCGGCGGCTACATTATTAACAATCAACCAGGAAATATAACTACTTCAGGGATCAATATTGTCTGCACCTGTCGTGTATGATGATAAGCAATCACCCAACTTGATAGTAACAGAGGGATAGCGTATCATCCCTAATTGTAGTGAGTGAGTGAGTGAGTTTAGTTTTACGCCGCACTCAGCAATATTCCAGCTATATGGCGGCGGTCTGTAAATAATCGAGTCTTGACCAGACAATCCAGTGATCAACAGCATTAGCATCGATCTGCGCAATTGGGAACCGATGATATGTGTCAACCAAGTCAGCGAGTCTAACCACCCGATCCCGTTAGTCGCCTCTTATCACAAGCATAATCGCCTTTTATGGCAAGCATGGGTTGCTGAAGACCTATTGCACTCGATAATGTCCCAGATTCCCGGCGGCTACAATATGAGCAATCGACCAAGCAATAACTTTTTCAGGGATCAGTATTGTCACCACACAGCCTTATTGTCACAAAACAGCCTTGTTGTCACAACACAACCTCATTGTCACAATCCTACCTTATTTCCCAGTCAAGTGAATTGCTCTTAGACACATCACATGCACCTGAATTCTCAGTAGGACTTCCTATACGGACATTTCATTTGAGCAAACGATATGAAAATATGAAAACCTCACCACTGAAAAGAAAAATATATCTTCTATTGCAATAATTATTATTTAAATCAAGTAATCGGTAAGGTTCTTGTTATCAACTATAACGATGGTGTAGTGTATGACAAAGAGTTGTATTTCTAACAGTAATCATAACTGTGCCAATTTTTAATGTTCCGAACATACGGCTGCCTTGAAGAACAATACTGTTCCCTGCGTATATCGTTAGTATTTATTTACCGTTAGTGTTGAATCGAACCTTGGTAACGAATAATTTTCATATTGAAAAGAATGTTGTTTGCTTCTATACTGAAGACATCAAATAAATGTAAATGAAACTGCATTCATTTATTGATGAAAGATGCACAATTAATACATTTACGTTTTAGGTTCAGCAAACGATGCTCGCCAACTGGCAAAGATTTGTGATAGTAGGTCTACTCCCATCGTCAGCTCCAGTAACCACATGACCATCATGTTTCACTCAGACCATGCTGTCACAGGAGGAGGTTTTCGTTTGCAGTACTCATCTGGTAATAATCTCAGGAACATTCTTTAACTTATAATAAAGTCTAGTTCTTGTCTTCATTGGGAAAATATACTTTCCTGATAAGCAGAATAACATAATTTCCTCAGGACCACAGAGACCCATTGTGTGAGAAACTTTTGTCTGCTTTTACCTTGTTCCCTCTTCAGAGGAACTTTTCACTTAAAACTTTCGAGCATCCAGGCGAATAACTGTTTCCATCTGAATATACTCCATTAACCCTAAAGTGTGATGATATTCATGTCATCCAGTCACTCTTGGTTATCACAAATCGTCAAGTGTATTATGTTTTATTATGTTCATTATTTCACTCGTTTGGCTTCATGCTGTTACAGCTTTCGACTGTGGATTATCAGATCTCTCCGCATCTTCTGTCACGTGGAAGTACTTGACTTCTCCTGGCTATCCTTCGAACTATTACAAGTAGGTGCCTACTCTCTTGTCAAGTGAATAAAGGTTAACCAGTTAGTAAATATTAGCAAATAACATGTGGTAAATAGCACTACACGCGTGACCGATATGCAGCACTCCACACGTGTCAACGATTTAGCACTGTAAACGTGACTTTGAAACTAGCACTAAACACGGGACAAGTAAGTGTGACTACGCCAATGACTTGTAGGTAACTTATCACATGTATAGTTGTATGATATGTTTTGATGAACTGAAAAGTATTTGAATGGGTTTTTTTCATATAAACACTACACTTTGTACATTTCAAGACTATACACTTGAACAATTTACTTGTTTATATACGTTTGCATAATACCAATTTATGTATACAAATTCTGTTTTCAGCAATGTACACTGCGAGTGGAAAATTAGAGCACCGTATGGATATGAAATTAAAGTTGAAATTATATATTTGTCGTTGGAATATTCCTCATCTTGTTCGAGGGACTATCTTGTCTTCAAGGACGGTAAGTACATGGTACAAACGTATAGAGGTTCCTCAGAACAAAATTCTCGTAGTGCGCTTTGTGCTGTATTGATTACTTTTGAGACAATTCATAAATTACTTAGTTTGATCATGAATCCAAAAATATGTGAACGACCATTGGATCACATTAAGCGGTTCTCTATACAATTGGTTTTGTTATTTGTAAGAACTTTGGACTTGATGGGTGAAGATAGGCGCATAATGTATTTTATCACAGTTACTCTAAATACGTTCTATTAGCATCAGCTTCATTTGAATACTAGCATGCTTATGTATATGCGTCAGAACCAATGCCACTAACTTAGTAAGTATCTTTTCTCAAGGTTCATCATCTTGGTCACCTCAGTTGGGTAAATATTGCGGTGTTTACTACAGCAAACAGCTTGTCAGTTCCATCAACTACATCACCATCGCCTTCCACACCGATGGCTCTACCACGCGACAAGGTTATAATCTGAAGTACAAAGCTGGAATATTCCCATCAACAACAACAACAACCACAGGTACAATAATTGTGTTTTTGTGGTCAACCAGTTGTGTGTACATAGATTGGAATGTGTGGGGAACTGGGGCTGGGGCTGGGACTGTGGAACTGCCATTAGTGGTAGCGGGTATTCAATGTTGCTTGGGGATGGCATTGACAATAGAGACATTATATTTATCCCTTGTTCAGGCATGGGAAAATCACATGTTACACACTTTATTAATGTATGAATAGACAGGACACACTGTTATATAGGTGTCTACAAAAGAAAATGTATTGATCTTCAATCAAAATGTATCTTGTATGAGCTTTCCTATCTATTTCTGCAATACTGTATAAATTAACATACTATATGCGGTTATTTGCCTTTTCTGCTACAACCTACTCTTCCGTTTATAACTCTGAAAGCACTTACCCAATGTCAACACTATTGTGACTTAAATATCCATTGCTTCCATTTTTTATTTAAACAGAGAGACCGCATGTTTCTAATTGCGGTAGTTCATTGCTCAGCGCCAGCAAATACTCCTGGAGGTCTTTGTCATCCCCTGGGTACCCATACTACAACTACAATAAGTAAGTAGATGTATACATCATCTTTGTTGATAACCCGTTTTGACTACTTGCAAGTTAATTCAGTGACTCCTTCGATCCGAAAAAGCTCTGTCATGACCCTGCATCTTCACAATCACTCTCCCAGGAATCACTTAATCTTTGATCACTTCAGATGATCCAGACTTTGAAACATTTTGAGGATTTTCTTACATGAAGACATTACAATGCACATATCCTTACACATCAGAATTGATATTCTTTATCACCTTCCCTTGTGAGGAACGTTGCAAGGCTTTATGTTTTGAGTCTTGCCAATTTCAGTGTGTTGGGATTATAGATAATTATCAGGAAGAACAAAGCTTATATTGATTGAGAGTGGTTGGGACAAAAGCATCTTGGAACTGCTGAAACCTATGTTCATGCAGCAATGTTTTGCATGTTGTTTTGTAACCTAATTGACTTGCTGTCCAGTGTTATATTTCATATAATCTTTTCATCTCTTTCTTCACAGCAATATGTACTGCGAGTGGACAATCTCTGCACCTGCTGGATATAAAGTAAAGGTTGAAGTTCAGACTATTTCTATGGAACACGATCCATCCTGTTCTAAAGACTACGTGCTCTTCAGAGATGGTAAGTACAATGTTCCTTTTAACAAAAGGACTTAAAGATACTTTTAGTAATTTTTTCTTCAAATTGAATTTGTTTGCAGTTACCACTGGTCAATGATTAGCATTCTCAGGATGAAGTTGGCTTCAGTGTTTCTACCATGCGTATCTCTTTTAACCGACAACACAACGATTCTTTGTATTTTTCAAGGTTCCTCATCTTACGCCACTCGGTTGGGTAAATACTGTAGTGACGTCACCGGCTACATCGTCAGTTCCCGCAACTCCATGACCATCACGTTCCGCACTGACAGTTCTATCACAGACAAAGGATTTTCTCTGAAATACACTGCGCAGACGACAGGTGCGTAATTCTATATCAGTTTTCGCGCGTTTCCTCTTTCATGAAATTCCATCATAAGGGATAACTATTTCAAATCACGAACTATGAAGGATCTTTGTAATAATATAAGTTCTCATTTAATTATTGCATTTTAAAAAGAATTAGATTTGTTGAATGATTTGTAAATAGATAAATATTTTATGATTGGAAGTTTATATTAGTAACTTCGATTGTGAGTGGCTGTATCCTCAAAGGGGGTTAAAGTACTGTAAAAGTATTGTCCTCCTGAGAGGATACGTTTTTAATCGTAGAATACGTATATATTTAATGTATGGCTAGATTTTCTAAATTGCTAACGGCTGAAGGGATGGTGCAAATCCAGTTAGGGTCCATGCAGGAAGCAAATGTACTGTAAGTTCCCATGGTCCCCAGTATGGTGATCTTCCTTCAGTTGTTGGCAATCTATAGCCTGTTTTTATTTTGTAATGTCTTCTATAGTTAAACGTTTTTAGCTTTTCATACTAGTTTTATATCTATATCTGTGATCCTCTAGTTATTTTATTGTCCTTCGTTGGCAACGTTTTGTAATTTGTTATTGCAACTTTATTTGTTATTCAAATCCTCGTCACGATATGGCTGCATTATTGCCGATGGGACGTTAAATTTTAACCCACTGATTTCATGAACTAACGCATTTAAACATACATTTTGCAAAAAAACAATTCATTTTCAAATCATTTGAAGGGAAAACCCTATGAAACAAAACCCTTATGTAAATGTGTGTATAAAAGGAAAATGTTTTCCTTCAGAAAAAGTATACCCTGGGGTAAGCCTTCATTTACGATTGCCGACATGAGTAAATGTCTGAAGCCCATCACAGAAACAGAACTGTTTAATATCACTGAGATACTTCCTTGTTTCAGTGTGTGGCGAAGATGATACGATAAGCTATGAGACAAAATATATTGAATCACCGAATTATCCTCTGTCCTATCCCGAGTAAGTATATGGGACACTTGTAGTTAGATTTGCAGTCGCAGCAGTAAATAGTAAAACAATGAACAACTTATTTGTTAATACAGAAGTTGTTCATACAAATATTTTTGTCCTTCTTTAAATTAACTCAGAGAGAAATGAATCAACAATCCAGAAGAAGGAATACACACTATGACATTCTATGATCAGGGGATTGTTAAATTTTAATTCCAGCGAGGATGGAAACTGAAAGTTTGTAGTTAGTAAACCCTGTTGCATAAGCACGATGAGTTCATATATAATTGCAATGCCTGACATGTGGAACACATGGCTAATGCTAATGTCTATTCCAATTTTAGCAATGCGGACTGTGAGTGGACAATCAGCACTTCCATTGACGGATATGTAATCCATGTGGACGTGGTGTATTTCAACATTGAGCAAGACAGCAGCTGTTCCTATGATTATGTACAGCTCTATGATGGTAATGAACGCGTTTAATCATTGTTATCCTAGAAATGGGTAAAGGAGACAGATGCCTAAAACGAATTTAAGCTCTGTTCTATTCGCCAATGTAGAGAACGTCAGCGACCTGTGTGTCTTCTTGTTTTCTCCAATTTTAAGCTAAGACGCTGACATTTACGCGGACATGACGTCCACGTTAACGTGGGATAGAAGGCACACGTCTTTCTTAACTGCATCATTTGGATTCATCAGTGTTATCTTTTCGATTTCATCTATATTTTTCACGATACTTATAGTTTATGTTATTGCGTTTGAGTCACAGTAAATAGTACAGTAAAATAGTCATTTGGAATAAGTAAATGTCATCCCCAAATAAGAAATGAAGGAGTTCTTAAAGCAATAAAACTTTCCACTTTTTTAATCGTAGAATACGTGTCATTTTAATATGTGGCTAGATTTTCTAAATTGCTGACGACTGAAGCGATGGTGTAAATCCAGTTAGGGTCCATGCAGGAAGCGAATGTACTGTAAGTCCCCATGGTCCCTAGTATGGTGATCTACCTTCAGTCGTTCGCAATCTATAGCCTGTTTTTATATTGTACTGTCATTTATAGTTCCAATATTTTAAATTTAATTACTAGTTTTAATTAGTTTGTATCTGTGATACATTAATAGTTTTATTGTTCTTCGTCAACAGGTTTTTTAATTTATAACTTTATTGATCTTTGATATACATGTAATTAAAAACTGTTCTCGTCACAATATGGCTAATATATTGCCGATGTGACGATAAATATTAACTCACTCACTGTTAAAGCAGTGTATCACTGAACAAATGTTTGTAACATTAGCTCATGATTTGTTTAATTATCATAATCTTCTCACGTGATTTCTCTCAATAGTCACGAGTTATGAAAGCTCGATCGGTCGATGGTGTGGGAGAGATGGACCAAATACACAGACTACAGGACAGACAATGAAGGTTAAATTCCACTCCGATGGTTCGACTTCCCGTTCCGGATTTAAATTGTCCTTTACTGCCGGCGAACCAACATATGATTGTACGTGTTTCATTTTTATTCGTTCATTTAGGAATGTATTGCATCGTTTAAGAGAATAGCATCCATCAATAGCCATCTCTGTTCGTTTACACTTTAACTGAAACATGCGGTATTGGGGAACGCTACAGCATACAACTTATCTTGTAAAAGAACAGGTTGGTAAAACATATATATAACATATGTATCGATAGATAAAGAATATGTTAAGGGTGTGGTTGACAAGGGAGGTGGACGACCAGGGCACGACTTGTCAGGTTGACCAAACTGAGGTATATTCGCCCTTATCTTGTTTTTCTGGACCAACCCTCGTTAGTCTCACATCAAGCTGATAAGCTGACATGATTGATACAGCTTCAGAGCATGTGGGTAGCCCAGTTGTTACATCCTTCGCTCATCAGGCCGAAGACTCGGGTTCCATTCCTCACAATGTGTGAAACCCACATCTGGTTTTCCACCTTGATATAGATGGAATATTGCTGAAAGTGACGTGCAAATCGTACTCAATCAAAGCAGCCTAAAAGCAAGCAGAGTGTTAAGTCACAGGTTCAGCGTGTGTAATTGTCGCTTCATCGTAATTGTCCTTTGACCTATGTCAGTTAAGGGTGAAATTGATCTTTTAGTAACTAACACCAATACGCTGGCTCCGTGTCATACAGACATGTAAATTCGTATAGTCCAATTTATAACATAACGTTCCCATTTTGTACACAAGGACCTACCCTTTGACGCTATTATACATGTACTGAAGTCTCCACAGCAAGGCAATATCAGACAAATAAGGGTTTGACATCCCACTTTCTTCACCTCTGTAATGGAACGCAGTAGAGCTACAACAGCACGATAATGTTGAAATAATATGTGCGTTACCAAAATTTAGGATTCCGCCTCAAAACAATACTTAGAAGCAATAAAAACAGACGGGTTGTAACAATATCTATATGCCATTTTAGGGGATTAAGTAAAATCTAAGAGAATGCTATATTTACAAAACGACGTTTTTATGTTTTCTTTAGCTGTATTATTTATTCAGTTTTAATTTTTTTTCTTTTTTCAGCTGCTGCACCAACGAACATCGGAGCCATACTGGGAGGTGTATTTGGCGGGATCACAGCTGTGGGTATTGCAACCTGCTGCTGCTGTGGACTTTGTTTCAGAAAGAAATCCATTCCCAACGTCCAACAGCAGAGAAACAGACCACGTGAAGGCACCGTCTCCTTCATCAACGTCCCCAGCTACCCACAAACCCCGCCTACTGCTCCTGCTGTTCTGCCGTTCATGTCTCCACCACCTCCTTCTTACAATGATGTCGTGAAGGATGATCCCCCACCGTACTTTCAGGCAGTTCCACTATCAGACATACAGCCGGTTGTCACGTCATACAGTAGCGGTGCATCTGAGCATCAAGGGATAGATAACCCAGCAGGACCCAGCTGAGTGGCAGTTTCACATGACGTGCATGTTTGTTTAACTGGAGAAAACAGAACAAGACACATTCGTGTATACTTCATGCAGTGTCCTCATCCATATACTTTTTTGCAAGGGGTATCGTTTCGTACCATGGTTTTGGATGATTATTTAATATTCAAAATATCTATTACAGCCAATTCTAAAAATGTTGATTGACTTGACGGATTAGCATATAAGCATATTAATGGTGTTATACAATATGTCTATAGGATGTTTTCGTGGTGTAATGTACACAGCGGTTGAATTTTTAACAATGTTTTTAATCATGTAAATTATTTTTACACATACATGTACGATATTGAACGGATGTCGCCATTTGGTGACATATCTTTCACCGACTCAATAAAGATTGTCCCAAACAATGTGATAATGGTGAATGGATACTGCACAATCCACACAATCTCCCCAAGGAAAGACACCTTAGAATATTCCCTTGAATCTCGTTTGGTATATTTTGATATTTTGTTATTGTTTTTTGTAATAAAAATATTTGGTATTTCAAATGATGCATGTTGTCCGTGTTATGTTTATGATTATTATCATGTGATTTTATACATGTGCACATGTGCGGGAATGTGCGTGTTTCGACTGTCACGAGTATGAGTTTACTGATGGTTTTACTTTGATGGAATCCACGAGCACGGGTGATGAAGAATCAAATTCATGGGGAATCTCTATTTAAAAGACACTACCACTTTCATTGTCAGTTCTTATATGGGATATAGAATTGTAAAAGAATACCCATATCAACTATATTCACAACACATTCCGTCTGTTGTAAGGAGTTTAACACTGAAAATGTTTGTCGACACCAGGTGTTGACGGAAAGGGCAAGCATGTATTCTGCTGGTAGCACCAGCTATTGACAAAATTTGTCTAAGAGTGGAAATATCCCAGTGACAAAATAGAGTAGCGTAGGTGTTCTGACCGTTTACATATTGATATCATGTGCTCCGAGTTGTACTCTACTTGCTCCAACATGTCAGTTTCTTGGTAGAGGTCACTGACTCTGCTTATGTTTTCATACATGTAGACGTTCATATGTGTTGTGCGAAGTTGATCAGTAGAGCAAGTCAGCAGAAAGCCTTGTTCTCATCATTTCATGGAACAAAAATACAAAATGTCTGTTGGTATGATCTATTGTTGATATGTGTTGACCATTGAGCTAGGTAAATTAGCTTTTAGATTACTCTTACAAAACAGGTATCTGATTGTACACTTTGTAGAACATGGATTTTGATAATATGTTCTTCCTACAACTAACTCCAATATTCGTCCACTCGGCTCACTTGTTCGATTCCCCACATAAGTGCAACGTGTGAAGCCCAATTCTGTTGTCCCTCGTCATGGTATTGCTGGAATATTGCTAAGAGCAGTGTAAAACCAAACTCACTCACTCACTCACTTACTCTTTCTCTTTTTTGGAAGACACGTGACCTGATTAACTTACAAAGGCGTATGTATGTTGACATGGTCGCAATGAAACGTATGAACTGGTTTTCCCCACTCTACCAGACGTATGTGTCACATGCTGCAGCAACTCACATCACTGTCGTTTTAGATACAGAGAATTCAGGTTGTGTAAATATCTGTTATTGCTGCAGCAACCACAGCTGATGATTCTGAACCTGTGTCTGTGTCGGCGTCGACAACCAAGGCGACAGGTAGCATCGAAATTATACCAAATACGCAGTTGGATAGATCCTTGAATTCAGCAAGTGGAGGTGTAGATTCACAACAACCATATGCTGATTCTGATGGAGCAAGGATCAACCAAAATGGTACATAACACAACTTTGGTACATGCACCTTGACACCCGTGAAGGTCCGGGTTAGAATTGGCCTTCAGTAACCCATGCTTGTCGTAAGAGGCGACTAACGGGATCGGATGGTCAGACTAGTTGACTTGGTTGACACATGTCATCGGTTCCTAATTGCGCAGATCGATGCTCATCACTGGATTGTCTGGCCCAGACTCGATTATTTACAGACCGCCGCTACTGGGGATTGCGACATATGTCATGACCGTAGAGACAAAGGTAACAGCTGACGTGACAATGATAACATAAATGCTGACTTTAAATGAGACCATGACCAGTGATGACGCGACAGTAAATGAGATCACAACCACTCCTGACAAGACAGTAAAGGAGACCACGACTGCAGTTGACGAGACAGTAAAGAAAACATTCATTACATCTGATGTAACAGTCACGAAGACAACGGCCACTGCTGACATAACAGATGGGGAGACAAAAACTGCAGCTGACGCAACAGCAAAGGAGACCACGACCACAGCTGACACGACAGTAAAGGAGACCATGACCACAGCTGATACAACGGTAAAGGAGATCACTACCACAGTTGATACGACAGTAAAGGAGACCACGACCACAGCTGATACAACGGTAAAGGAGATCACTACCACAGCTGATACGACAATAAAAGAGACCACGACCACAGCTGGTACGACGGTAAAGGAGACCACGACCACAGCTGATGCGACGGTAACGGAGATCACTACCACAGCTGATACGACTACTACAGAACGTATTATATTCCCGGAAACCATCGATCCTCCAAGGTGCTATAAATATTAACACTACTTCAGCCGTCTCACTTGTTGAACATACTAATATCAGTTACACGTTTCAATACAGATACAAGAGCAGAATGGATAGCCTCCCTTTTCATCAGTATCGTTGAGTGAGTGATTGAGTGAGTTAAGATACAGTGTAAAAATGGGCTATAGATCGCCAACAACTGAAGGTAGATCACCACACCAGGGACCAGTATCGTTTAAAGCGTGTTTGCTATCAAGGCATAATGTGTATGTACAATGTCACCATGGCGGGGAAATGGAATAGCCTCGTGACTGCACATAATATTTCAGGACTTGAGGAGCTGAAAGTATTCACATCCAACCCAGCATTTCAGCCGAACGTTGTATGCATAGGAATTAGAAGATATATAAAGAAATAACATAATTTTAAATACGACCAGTTATACTAACACTGGAACGGACTACTTTACCTGTGTGTACACCCGTGAAGATCGTAAAACGAGACTCACTCACTCACCTTTGTGTAATTTAGTATCCTTACCAATTTGTAATGCTCATGATGAAATGTATGTTATTCTTGTAACACTGAAACAATTCAGGAGTGGCATAAATAGCCAACACTATCGGAAGTGCTTGAGGCATGATCAGATACTTGGGAAAAGGCGGTCAGCCCTTTCAAAACATATTTTTAGCACATGCATCCATAATATCATAACTGTGTAAGTAGCATTCTCATCCTAACACACACCCTTAATGCTGAAAGTCTATTATTAGCGATAAATCTATGAGGTTTGTGATTAACAAACATATGCGTCCTCGTGCGTTTGACAATTACTATTGCATCGACTAAGATATCTAACACAGATAGGATGCATCTTCCTTTGCAATAAATAACACTGTCGTTGACAAGAACGAAGTCATGTACAAAAAGACGAGGAAAATTTCTCAGAAACAAAGATTGTTCTGAAGTTACAGTTTCTAAATTCTAAAGAGAATTCAAGTTATAAAAAGAAAAAACAAATATTGGGTGTAACATGTATCCCTGGCGGGCGCCCGATGCAATACTAACAATTCCGTCTGTCTATACATGACAATACAAGCTTTTACTTTGCCACACAACCGGTGAAGGTCCGGGTTAGAATGTGCCTTCAGTAATCCATGCTTGTCGTAAGAGGCGACTAAAGGGATCGGGTGGTCAGACTCGCTGACTTGGTTGCAACATGTCATCGGTTCCCAAATGCGCAAATCGATGCTCATGCTGTTGACCACTGGATTGCCTGGTCCAGACTCGATTGCTGAATATTGCTGAGTGCTGCGTAAAACTAAACTATCTCACTCCTTCACTCACTTTGCCACACATACTTTGCAAGAGTCTTAATGATTTACCATGCATATCTTTTTGTCTAAAATAATATTTTTTGCCACATCCAATCAAATGCATCTCGAAAATCAATAAACACAAATTACGAACGGTGTTTTGATTTTCTCAAACACATACTTTGCAAGAGTCTTAATGATTTACCATGCATATCTTTTTGTCTAAAATAATATTTTGCCACATCCAATCAAATGCATCTCGAAAATCAATAAACACAAATTACGAACGGTGTTTTGATTTTCTCAAACATTTCTAACATAACATATATTATCTGCTGCTGAACATAAGACATTAGCCCCTGAAGATCCGGGTTAGAACTGGTCTTCAGGAACCCATGCATGTCGTGAGAGGCGACTTACGGGATTGAGTGGTCAGGCTCGCTGACTCGGTTGACATCGTATGTCATCGTATCCCAATTGTGTGTATCGAGGCTCATGACGGCAATCACTGGAGCAACTAATCCACATTAGAATATTTACGGATCGCTAGGATGCCGCTGAATCCAGCGTAAATAAACAAACAAACAAAACCTAACCTCTTCATGGGAAATATGACTGATAGAGCTGTCAGATGACTCTTTTAACTTCGTGATATAGGCTGCAAGTCGGCCTCCTTGTCAAGTGGAGTCCATTGAATATGTTCAATGAAAATTAAAAGGTATCAAATCGTAATGACATATCCAAGCATTTCCAACCAAAACATGCAACTGCGAAATGTAAACGAAAGTGAGCTGCAAGTTTTTAGAGGAAAACATCGTTACAGGTTCATCGTCAGCTCTGTCTCGGCTATTGGCTGGAACAAGAGTATTATCTCACAACATTCAGTTCATCATCTCCCCGTTCCCAATCTGACGATGTTGTGGATGAATCATCAGGCATTCAAGGGCAGTATTTATAGAAAAGACACTCACTAAAATGCACAACCGCGCCAAAGAAGAGGCACTCCATTCAATGAAGAGAGGAGGTAAATATACATTATGTGCCAAAGAACCTATCCAACCAAAGCCTATGCATGACAATATTGAAATTACTTTGCCTACCATCACCAGTATTGTCCAGTTGTCTATCTGTCAATTCTTATACCATGCCAAATAATGGCATGATAAAATATGAACACTTGTAATTATATCCAATATTTCATGGAACACCAAGTTTATTCGTTATCTGTATAATTACATATCACTAAATTCCAATAATATGTTCCCCACATGGTTACAGTATGTGAAGCCTATTTTTGTTATTGATGTTGAAATATTGCTAAAACTGCTATTCACTCACTCTAATAATTATATTTTCGGGTCAGTGACGATGAGAGTAATGTTCTAAGGGAAGTAACTCCCGCTAACAAATAGGAACATAACATACTTTTACAATGAACGCAATAGTTGGCGATAATTTAATGTGTGGTTGCATACAAAGTGCTGTTTTAGACTTCCTCGTTAAAAAGGGTGAGTACGATGTAATTTAACTAAACCAAAATATAACTGTTTGTTACGTGTTGGACGCATACAGGCCTTTTAAGGCCAAAGGTTGCCATAAAACCTTATCTACCTACCTACCTAGGAACATAATAGGACACACATGCACGAATTATGTCATATGATCTTGATGCCGGGTTGTTGCAAAGGGTAATTATAATACATTGTATCGTGAAGGCTTAGTTAATTTTCTATAAACTGCCTATAAGCCACTAAACAGAAAATAAAATGACAATATGTTTGGAAATGAAACTGTTCAGCTACCTGTCATGGGAAGAACTGCTTTATACAAATAATACAAAACAGACTCGCAGAAATAGCAATAAAGAACTGGTAGGTGTCATGAGTGGTGCTCGATAGGCCAATCATCCATGATTATGTTTACATTAAGTTTTAAATGATTGCATGCGATGGTAGAGTAGCGATCGGCAAAGCCGGCGGGTAGGGTGCACAAAAGTGTCCGTCCTTGTCATTATGTATTGTACTGTGAAGTATTTCGAGTCGAGGGTCATCTCAAATTTTTATATATTTTTTTAAAATCTTTAATCTTCGCAAAGACACGAGGGCCTGTGCACTGGGGCTGTGATTTGGCAATATTCATGAAATTTAATGGTTTTGCATCAATGGCGAAGGGTACCAAGAAGGAAGAGAATGGGCTCGAACGGGACCTGTGTTCACGACTCCATAACATATGCATAGAAGTCCCGGTGTTCGACATTGTGATACTGTCGGAATGTTGCAAAACCGATGTAACTCAGTACCAGTTAACTCACACAAATAAGTCACCAAGCGACTGTGTTTAACGATAGTGAAAAACACGCATCAGGCATAATACCAAGGCTTCCTAAATACAAGTTTTATTACAAACATTAGTGATAACCTCCTAATCACAGAATGCTATTTGTAAATCTATTTGAGAATTTCTCACAAACCAAACATTGCTCAATTTCCTGGAATAGTTTCCTTGACATAATACGTCACAATGACAGTGATTTCCCTTTGCCCTGTCCTTCCCCCTTTGCTATAAATCTGCTATCAGTTATACTGTTTGGTAAGGAGATGCGGTAAAGCACAACCTCTTAAGAAGCAAGTAGCTATTACAACATATAAATATGAGCAGCACTGACTGAAGCATGTTTACATAGTGTGTGCTGACGCACCTAACAATATTACTTCGTTATCTGAGAGGCTTGTTTGCTTTGTCGGGTGTCGTTGGTGACTACCACGTAGAAGTCGATTAGGTCACATCCGTATAAGTGTGTTGCAATCTATTTATGCGCTTGTCATTGGAGCGTTCCCTGCCTGATAGGGTGTACACAGAGAAAGTGATTCAGGGGTTTTACAGTTACATTGTGAGGTGATCTACTAATGCCAGTCTTGCATGAGAGCTCTCCACGGCGACAGGATGCCATTATGAACATACCTTATTTCTTTGGATTATGTGTGTTGTTGTTGCATGGGCCGCTGGTCTCAGGTGAGTGTGACATATATTCGTTTTCACATATTATGTTATATGTTAAATGACAAGTTGTGAAAAATGTATAAACAGGTGGTACGTTTTACAACAATAATCGATTTCGTTCTTTAGGTCAAACTACATTACTAGGTCAGTCGTATTACTGTGGGATTTTACCATACCAAACTACACCTACAATCAGCACAGGTAACAGAAGTTTTAAATGGTAGACAGACAAGGCATATGTGTTTTAAATTTGAGTCTGCCCGGGAAATGTATGGTATATGACAATCTCATTTGTTCAATAGCGCATTAGTAAACAAGTCACCTATCTCAACAAGATGGCGGACACGATATTGCGAAATGTTAACGTACAGGGCTGATCGTGCTGGGGTCGGTGAAGATAGCCGCTGATGGGAAATGCATATCTTTATGTGTGTGTAATATTATCATATTATACAGTTGTTGACAGCTGAATAGAAATCATAAAGCTTTGTTAAATACGCCATTAACATAGAGTTTGATGATATTGACTAATCCTATCTTTGGATTTAAGAATTAGTTCTTCGTTGTATGAAATAAAATAATATATGAACAGAAAACAACATTGCTGACAAAGTCAAAGTCAAACTGGAAAAGTATATGTTTGATCTTAGTGGCCCAAGGTCTAAGAGGTTAACATTCTGTTTACCCAGTCTAGTTCGTGTAGAATCTGATACATTTGGTCCGACAGGCAGTTGGCATCCATTTCGACTAGTTTAGTCAACTATTTTACTCATTTTGTAGTGCAGGTAACAAATAGTAATGGTTGATCACTTTCACAAAGTACAACACCATTACAGTCTGTCAGAGTGAGTAAGCAAGGTTTTACGCCACTTTTAGCAATATTCCAGCAATATCACGGCGGAGGACACCAGAAATGGGCTTCACACAGTGTACCCATGTGGGGAATCGAACCCGGGTCTACGGAGTGACGAGCGGTCGCTTCAGCCACCCCACATACTGTCAGAAGCAGATGTTAAATTCATTTTAATTTTAAATTTCGTCTGCGTACCCTACATCCTTTCATATAAGAATGGGCAGGCCCAAACTGGGGTTTTCGGTAAATGAACACATATAGATATATTGCAGTACTTAAATATGGGTAAGCATACCAAGCCAGCCGACTGAACCATTACCCGTCTCGTCCATACTATACTGTTTGTTGTTTTTTTTTTGCTTGGTTGGTTGGTTGGTTATGTTTTCTTATTTCTTTGTTTTGTTTTGATTGTTTGTTTGTTTGTTAGTGTGTGTGTGTGTGTGTGTGTGTGTGTGTGTGTGTGTGTGTGTGTGTAAAATAAGGTCATATATAACTTAACAGAAAGTGGTTTCAATAATATATCTTACATGCCATTTTTCAAATTTGACTCTGAAGTTGCTAACAAAATGTATACACATGGAGGAATGTATCGCAACACCTATTATTTTATCCTCAATACAGTCATTCAGAAAACTATTGACTTGATCCCCGTCAGCGTTCCTGTCGACCACGCGTGGAAACTCCAAAGGAGGTAGGGCCGTAGGTAGCCCATGGGGCAGCTGCAGCCGCCCCCGCCCCCTAGAAATGTTTTACAGTTTATTTTGTACATCAAAGTATTGATATAACACTCTGTCGAGTGTCAAATACCCTCGCCGCACACCTGAAATCCACACCTCAATTAATGACGCAAATATTGCGGGCAGCCCATCTGACAGAGGATCGGTACCAGAATGATACACCTAATCACATATGATTACAACAACCTATAATACATAAAATTAGGAGTCCAGGGAAATGACACAGACTACCCGGAACCCTATAAAATGAGGGTATATTGTACAACGCCTAATGATAATTAACGAACAAAAGACTTAATTAGAAAAAGGATTGCATTCAATCCACATGACTTCAAAAACAGGATAGACATAACAAGGGATAACTAACAAAACAATACACAATAAACAAAGATACATTGATTGGTGAAACATTAAACAAATAAAATTACATAAACTATCGACTTATATGGACTATGAGCCGATGCCATATCATAAATCATTCCCTCATCCCCATAAGTGTTCATGAGCATACTAGTGGGCAGTGTGGCTAGTGAAAGTCTCCAGCTGTGGACAGGCTGGAGTAAAATTCAAATACAGCTAAAAGTGTATAATGGAGTCAAAATCATTTTTGATATTCCCTTGGAACTGTAAATGTCTCAATGTCACGGTTTCATGGTGGATCATAAATAAAGCAATTTTTCTGACTGACTTATCTTGTTAAGTTGCGGTGAGTAAACTGAGTGAGTGAGTAATATTGAACAAACCTGAAGATATAATATATATGATGTAAATTTCATATGCAATTTCTGGACTCTCAGCTGAATGTAACGATACAACTATTGCATATCAATATTTAAACTTAACAAAACAGTTTTGCATATTATTACAGATATGTTTAAACACATTTATAAAGTTTAGTTCAGAACATTATGTACAGATGCTACAATTTTGAACAAAGGAACTTATTTTTTAAAAGAAAACGTAGCAGGAAAAATACTATTTATACAAAATTTGAAATTAGATAAATGGAGTAATGTTACAACGATCTCGAAGATTAAAGTGTTCAGTGTTTCAACAGATTCATTAATGTCAGGGGTAGTTTTGTCGAAGAATGTTACAGTAATTCAGATGGCATATAATTGCAAACTGCAGCTTCATTATATCAAAGACAATAAACTGTATCTGTAACTTCCACAATGGGTATGCCTCGATTAACTTCATCAGGTAGTTCTACAATACAAATGTTACAATGTGAATCATGCTCAGATAAATCCAAGTCAATTTCATCTGAAAAAGTGGAGTTTTTGTCCCTAGGTTTAACAATTGACTGTTCAAAATAATTGTGCCACTGATTTTGCTACACGAAGAGAATGATGTCCTGCTTTGAGATATGGTGGATTGTTCAAGGTTGTCACGAACACTTTAATTTCTTACTTATGTGACGATTTCCTAATATTACAGAATGATTTAAATACACGATTCTTTCGTTGATTTGCCTTGAAAGTAACGAGTGAGTCAATTAAACTTCGTGCAAAGGGTTTGCCTGAGTGTCCCTTAGTTTGTCAAATCATACTAAGGCCAACGTATTTGCTGTGTATGCTTGCATCAATTATATTTGGGGTTAATTGCTACTTCTTATGTATGAGTACCTAAGTCCTAATACATTCAAAGTAAACTTCAACTGACCACTTTTCTCATCGTAGAATATGTGTGTTTTTTAACTTATGGCTATAGTTGTTTCCAATCACCAGCGGCTGAAGGGATGGTGTAAAACCAGCTAGGGTCCATATAGGTAGTAAAGGCACTGTAAGTTCCCATGGTCCCTAGTACGGTGACCTACCTCCAGTTGCTGGTGATCTCCAGTCCGTTTTTATATTGTATTGTCCATCACAGTTTGTTTGATTTTACAGTTACATACTACTTTTAATTCTCTATCATTGATAATCTAGTTTTATACTGTCCTTCGTTGACAGGTTTTTATAATTTAATCGCGTTTATTATGAATGACTTTTGAAGTCAGGGTAAGGCTAAAATATTGCCAGTGTGACTATCAACTTTAACTCACTCACTCGCTCCTCTTATGTCTCACCGTAAAGCTGTAATATTCATTCATCTTGATGGGGGGCTGCTTCAGGCTAACCCTGGCACGTGATAAGATGTCTCAACTGATCCTACTGCTAGTGAACTTAACCACGATGTGCCAAAATCATCGGTTTTATAAGTCTTTTGACTTGGACGTTTAGCATTCGATTCCTCCAAAGTCGTATGAAAGCCAATGACGTCTATTTCAACACCAATAACCTTTAAATACAAAGAAAAAGATAAATGTAAACGGTGTTCTTATGAATGACTGTGAGAAACGCTACTTACACTGTGTGCTGACTGGTGATAATGTGGACAGTATCAACAATAAAATAGTCCTGGCTTTACGTCCATGTGTTTTTCTGCGCACAAAACATCAAAATATATTACAGTGTTTCATTTGTTTTATTTTACGCGAACCGTTGTAGTTATTTAGGCTTTATCTAGCCAAATAATATCTGACTTGATAAAGACGTCCTGAAGAATGAGCTCCGGTTCGGGATGTACTTAAGCTCTTGTGTGCTAAAGTGTGAGCTGGACGGTTTATGTCCTTGTAAAGTAAACAACAAGGCAGGTAACTTGTTTGATGAAGCGAACGACAATCTCAGCCCATTATTGTCATCGTCTAACCCGGCTTTGTGTATGGGAATACCATCTTTAATCCTTTGTTGCTTCTAGCCAAGACGGTTATGGTTTCATAAAATTTCCAAGAACTCACGAACATGACATTTTGCATGGGTGACAACGGCGAACATTTGTATTTCATTTTTATTTGCATAAAACAAATATATCAGTATGATATAGTTTATGCCACAACGATCCTGGGAAAGCTCACCAATTACAACTGATATTCATATTCACAATTTACGAAGCATGTGAAATTATTTCCATGCAATACTAACTGTCGACATCTACGTTCACCCAATAGGAAGACAACCTTGTTCGAACTCTTTGACACATGATCTTCCTTTGTATGGAATTATATCTCACAATTTTGTCCATTTATGAACTATTGTGTCAAGCTGTTTACTAAGATTTACTAAGTTATCAATATAATGTAAGAATGGTGTGTTTGTGTAAATTTGGAATTGTGTAAATTTACAAGTCGTGCAATACCATGTCAGCAATTTATTTACTCCAGTAAAGACTGACTAGTCTCTGAACCTTCTTCCCTAGGTTATACTGTTCCTGGTGCCAAGGTTATAAAGAGAAGCCATTTACAAGCATGTACTACAATGAATGGTGTTTTTACAGGTGCGTGCAATGTCACGCTCCATGCACAGAGGGAACCGCTGAATTTCACATCTCCTAACTACCCGGGCAACTACGGAAAGTATGTAGAGATGTTCCTGTTCATTTCATGAATGATCTGTTCACAAGAATGAATGCTCATAATAGTCCAAGCATTCATATCTATTGATGAATGCTTTTTGCAAAATGGTTATCCTTGACGTGATAGGACTAAAGAATTAACGTAATTAACTGATATTTGATGTAAATGTTTATGTGTTTAGCTTTACACATGATATTTTGTTTAATCAAAATAACATTATTTTACAGCCATGAAAACTGTTATTGGGACATCTATCCTGAAACAAGCGGCTACAGGGTTGTGCTCGAAATGGTGTATTCCAACATCCAATACAAGTCCACCTGTGCATACGACGTCCTTACTATAAATACCATAAATAATGGTAAAATAGTCGTGTTACATTGAAAACCTCTGTTCTATATAAATTACTTATTAAATATAATGATATTATCATATTTTTTCACATTATTGATTTCTTATCAAGATAAAAACCTAATGTGATCACTGTGGCGCATCAAGGAAGGAAAATAAGTGAAAGTTTGTGAAAGCTGAAGTAATTTACAAACTAGATTACTAACACCGAAACACATTTCATATTTTTACAAAATTGTTCCTCACATTTTGTCCACCCAGGTGATCAAAGTAAAGCCTCTTCGCGTAAAATCTGTGGAGAAAGCAGATGGAATATTCTCATCGAAGACGACCAACATATCCATGCAGTGTTCACGACTGATGCCAGTGGAACGGGAAGTGGTTTTCTAATTAGATACTATGAGAAAAATGGTTAGTAAAATCAGTACCCTGGCTATGCAGCAGTAGTCTAAAATCTTTACTGCATGTACCGTTAAACCTGTAAATTATAAACCTGTTTTTTTCTCCATTTCTCCCTTTACAAGGTACTTATATGGGCTTGAACAAAAATGTAATAGCAGATGTGGTCAAGTATGTAAAATTGAGCCTAGTGTTTCTCAGTTGCTTGAATGGTCAAAATCAGGGATCGTAAAGACTGGTTTTAATCAAAACATTTGAACCACTTCTGAAAGCCAAAATGATCATCTTGTGCAGATCTCTCAAACATTGATCAAAACGAAGCAGGTCTTGCAATGATGGCGTGTTTCTTTCGTATAATAACGTAGATTCGCTAGCGCTGGCTTAACGAATTTCAACATGCAGGATTATTACATGGCATCACTGAATGTTTCAAAATCACTAAAAAATACAAAGTTGCCCATGATGATCTCACAAATTGTTCCCTTGTTACAACCAGGTACCCAAAACTGCGGTGTAGCTCTCGTTGCAACTTCTGTCGGCAAGACATTTACCTCGCCTGGATACCCAAACACCTACTTCCTGTGAGTAACTTAATTACTGTATCATTTACAGTGTTTAAAGGTCACATGCAACGTTGCAGATTCTGATACCCTTCGGTATGGACTTACCGAAACAAAGCGTCAAAAATGCAAATTCAACTTAAAAAGTTGAAAAATAACGCGATGAAAAAAAACGCGCGAAATCGTAGTTCAAACGATTCACTAATTTTCCCCCAGCGCTTGGGGAAATTCAAGCTGCGCTCATAGCACATGCGCAGTGAAATAGGTTCGCGCAGGTTGGAAGCGGGTTGTCTGGCGAAGGTTTGGCGTGATCTATTTTTCTAGTGTTTTGTTGATATTTCATAGGCGCGAGCTTTGTATATGTTATGACAGTAGATTAACTGTTTATATAATTTCATTTGTCTATTTCACCACACGTTCTTCTTACCGAGTCACTTTCTCAGTTCGATACTTAAAAGCAATGTCATTATTTAGCGTTGACAGAATTTCTAACTGTGATATAGATATGTCGTTCTCACAGACAAAACTCAATGTCTGTTTTATTGACACCTATGTATCTGCTTGCCTGTCTGCTAATGACAATATACAACTTCGATCACTGACCACATGCAATTTGAACTTAACACCTATCAGGCTGTACACCATAAACAAAAACGCATTGATTTATGGCCAGAGTTCGGTCTCTGTCACATTATGTAATTACACAGTCAGGCAGGTGTGATACTTGTTCACATGACATGTTATGATGTCTGTTGATTGCAAAATGTTATAAACAAAAAATGAGCATGTATTTACAAAACCCAACATCTCTATAAACACACACAATGAGCAGTGAGGGGATCTGCTAATGAACCAGCCGTTACACTTGAGTGCACACCCACCCGCTCTGACTGGGTTCGGTATCCCGGCTGCTTCGTTTCTTGGGAAGTAAACCCAAGTACAAAATATTGCACTTTTGATTTGCGACTGTACGCTTATAATTTTGTTTATATGTTTTTTTCATAACCAGCAATGTTTATTATATGTCATGAATAAGTGATAATTGTGTTTTAATTATGTTTGATTTTTTGGTTGCATCCGACCTTTAATGTTGCCCAGTGTTTAATGTTGCCTAAATCAAGTGAGTGGGTGTGTTGGATTGTTTATTAAACTTTCAATGTTTTACTTCATGCCTATTCATGCGTGCACATGTGTACACAGTCATGCGTTTGTTTGTGCTGATGTTTGGAACCACCCGGCAACCTTATTTGAATCATTAGTATAGCACCTGAAAATAAATAGAGGATATTTTGTTAATTTTGTCAAATAACACGTATATTTCATCTCGTGGTCTGACAAAGTTGATATGTTCACGAGTGGCGCAGTGAACATATCAACTTTGTCAGACCACGAGATGAAATATACGTGTTATTTTACAACATTAACAAAATATTCTATTTATTATATTTTGATCATTGTTTATAAATGATCGAGACATCGAGACATTCTCTTTAATCAGCAAGTAGTTCCAGGCAAAAGTGATATTCTACTCAGTGAAGTAACATGTTATTCTACATATTCTACAAAATACAACAACAAATATTTACAGTATTTCACCCTTAAGAATATAATAAATGTGTCTGTTTGCAGGAGTCAGACTTGTACATGGACAATTACAACAGAGCATCAAAACCAAACCATTCAACTGGACACCATGGACTCGGTACTTCAGAACATCTCCTCTCTTGGAACTTGTGACAATGATTATGTCACGGTATACAACGGTCAATACGGTAAGTAGAGATGTGTACATTCTACGTAGTCAGTCAAGCGGATATTGAGTTAGTGTCCCTGCAAGGTTTTCCGTTCAATAACTGTAAACGCAACGGCAAAAGGTATTGTGACACACAAACAACAAACAGAATCATTCTTTTTTAACTTTAAGCTACCGAGAAAGACAAATGTTCCAAGTTATGGTAACGATCAACAGTCCATAAGAATTTCGTTTTTAGAAATGAGTCTCAACACGAGAGGTAATCAGATGGTAAGTACCAAGTGCGTCCACCAGGTGACCTGGCATCTTCATTTCACTGAGGCCATAATGCGTCGATAAAAGGGATGATTATCTCATCTCGGAGGAGGAATTTGGCGGATCTTTTGCAGCGCTTTTGGGGGATTCGCTTGACGCAAACGTACCTCTTTTTTATCCCAGCCAGACGTCTTAAGTGGGTGACACATCAGGGGATCTTACGGATCAGGATAAAACATAAAGATTGCTCTGACTAAGAAACTGCTGTACAGCTCCAGAAACATGTGGTCTGTCGTTATCGTTTTGAAACACCACGCCATCTCTTGTTCTGTTGTACAAATGATACAGAGGTCATTTACAAAATTCCGTCTCGGTACCATAACGTCTTGACTTCCAAACAATTCCTTTCTCGAACACAAGGGGAGTTCGGTCTTGGCTGCCGTCGAGTACGGACGTCTTTTGCTTGTGAGCAAATTGAACAGTGTCATAGCATACTTGGTTGTTTATGGTTGTTCCTGTTTTGTTGTTGTTTCCTGATTTTCACTTCTGTTGGAGTGTATTGAACCTCTACGTTTATTCGTTTTCGTGGGTTAATCAGTCTGATGTTGGGGATTTTCCTCGGCAATAGCTGACAACAGAATGGACTGTGAGGAGGGCTTCAAAGTGGTGTCCTCTGGGAGAAAGCGAATCGGTCGCATTCCAGATGGCACTTCTAAGAAAGCTTGTGTTGTTAAGCAACCTCCTACTGCCACTCCTTCTGCATGGTCTGGTCTTACAATTGTTTATGATGAGCCAGTTCAGGTGAAGTCAACCACTGTCATAATTAAGGCAGATGTTGATGATGATGATGACACTTCGCCAACCCTTTGTCAACTGATGACCCGGAGGGCTTTGGCGAGAGCATAGGCTAAGGTTCTTACTGACATAGTCAGTGTTAAGCGGATTGCCAGGGGGGATGTTAGTGTTACAAATAAAACCTTTGAGGCTGCCCAAAAACTTATGCAAGTTGCTGAGCTTGGTGAACATTATGTTACCACTTCTGAGCCTGAATCACCAATGAAACCTCGTGGAGTCATCTATGGCAGCGATCTGGATGTTGACATGAATGAAATTGAGGAAGAAGTAAAACCTGTTTTGCCTCCACTATGCTCTGCTGTGCGTTTGACTCGTGGACCTGATAAAATCCCTACTTAATCTGTTTGCTCACATTTACTGGTCAGTCTTTACCAGATCATTTTGTTATTTTCTTCCAGAGATTTCTAATCCGGATATACGTCCCCCCTTCTCTGCGCTGCTTTAAATGCCAGTCCTTTGGACATGTCTCTGCTAAGTGTAGGAGTACTCATCATGTTTGCGCTAAATGTGGAGGGAAGCACAAGTATGAGGAGTGCAATGAAAGTTCTCTTAAATGTAAATATCGTGGTGAAGCTCATTCTGCTGCCTACAGAGGATGTATGAAATATCAGGAAGTGGTCCAAATCCAGAAAGTTAGAGTTGAGGGTAAACTTTCCTATTCTCAGGCTGTTCGAAGGTGCGTGGAGATTCGGATGTGGTTAAGGTTCCAAAGTTCATTCACCACCACCCATTGCTCCATCACAGTCTACGGTATCTCTGGTTCCCAAGGTTCATTCACCACCACCCATTGCTCCATCACAGTCTACGGTATCTCCGCCCATCACAGTCCATCCGGTTCCCAAAGTTCATTCACCACCACCCATTGCTCCATCACAGTCTACGGTATCTCTGGTTCCCAAGGTTCATTCACCACCACCCATTGCTCCATCACAGTCTACGGTATCTCTGGTTCCCAAGGTTCATTCACCACCACCCATTGCTCCATCACAGTCTACGGTATCTCTGGTTCCCAAGGTTCATTCACCACCACCCATTGCTCCATCACAGTCTACGGTATCTCTTCCCAAGGTTCATTCACCACCACCCATTGCTCCATCACAGTCTACGGTATCTCCGGTTCCCAAAGTTCATTCACCACCACCCATTGCTCCATCACAGTCTACGGTATCTCTGGTTCCCAAGGTTCATTCACCACCACCCATTGCTCCATCACAGTCTACGGTATCTCTGGTTCCCAAGGTTCATTCACCACCACCCATTGCTCCATCACAGTCTACGGTATCTCCGGTTCCCAAGGTTCATTCACCACCACCCATTGCTCCATCACAGTCTACGGTATCTCCGGTTCATTCACCACCACCCATTGCTCCATCACAGTCTACGGTATCTCTGGTTCCCAAGGTTCATTCACCACCACCCATTGCTCCATCACAGTCTACGGTATCTCCGGTTCCCTAGCTTCATTCACCACCACCCATTGCTCCATCACAGTCTACGGTATCTCCGGTTCCCTAGCTTCATTCACCACCACCCATTGCTCCATCACAGTCTACGGTATCTCTGGTTCCCAAGGTTCATTCACCACCACCCATTGCTCCATCACAGTCTACGGTATCTCCGGTTCCCAAGCTTCATTCACCACCACCCATTGCTCCATCACAGTCTACGGTATCTCTGGTTCCCAAGGTTCATTCACCACCACCCATTGCTCCATCACAGTCTACGGTATCTCTGGTTCCCAAGGTTCATTCACCACCACCCATTGCTCCATCACAGTCTACGGTATCTCTGGTTCCCAAAGGTTCATTCACCACCACCCATTGCTCCATCACAGTCTACGGTATCTCCGGTTCCCAAGCTTCATTCACCACCACCCATTGCTCCATCACAGTCTACGGTATCTCTGGTTCCCTAGCTTCATTCACCACCACCCATTGCTCCATCACAGTCTACGGTATCTCCGGTTCCCTAGCTTCATTCACCACCACCCATTGCTCCATCACAGTCTACGGTATCTCCGGTTCCCTAGCTTCATTCACCACCACCCATTGCTCCATCACAGTCTACGGTATCTACGGTTCCCTAGCTTCATTCACCACCACCCATTGCTCCATCACAGTCTACGGTATCTACGGTTCCCTAGCTTCATTCACCACCACCCATTGCTCCATCACAGTCTACGGTCACTCCCATGTCTGAGGTGGTAATTCGTCCTGCCCTGGTGACTGCAAGTACGCAGACTCAAACCCAAGAGGTTGAATGTCAGACTGATCCTCTTCCTGACCTCATCCCTGACGGATCTTGTACACGTCTGTTCAACAATATCTCTCCAGTTGATTTTCTCAATTTTGTATTTGCATAGTTGCCAACATTGGAACAAATCGTGCCTTCAAGTCTGATGGTCTACAGACGATAGTATCAGCTGCACATTCTCTACTGGGGTTAAAGTTGTCACCTGATGATCTGACGAGCATGGTTAAGGGTCAACAATCGAAGTCATAATCCTTATTATGGCTGTCTTAATCCTTCAGTGGAATGCTAGATCTATAAATGCTAATGGCCCGGGATTTAATTTTTTTTGTCAACAGTCTTGATCCCATGCCAGATGTTATATATCTTCAGGAGACGTTTTTCAATCCTAATCAGCGATTCCGTTGGGAAGGGTATGTCTGTCTACGTAAAGACCGTCCTTTCGGGTCTAGAGGTAGTTGTGCTATACTAATAAAGGATTCATTGTCATTTTAGTGAAATTAGGTTGCTACAGTCCGAAATAGACTGACTGAGTTTGGTTTTACACCGCTTTTAGCAATATTCCAGCAACATCACGGCGGGGGGCACCAGAAATGGGCTTCACACATTGTGCCCATGTGGGGATTCGAACCCGGGTCTTCGGCGTGACGAGCCAACGCTTGAACCATTAGGCTACCCCACCGCCCTCCGAAATAGAAGCGAATGCAGTCACTATCCATTTGCAGGATACGAGATCGGTCTCGATTTTTAATATCTACAATAAAGCTCTTGCTTCCAGCGATGATTACACTTCTCTTTTGAATGTGTCAGATAATCATAATGTATTGTGTGGTGATTTTAATAGTCATAATCCATTGTGGGGAGCTGTTAAGTTGGATGTTGGAGGTAAGGCCATTGAGACTCTCCTTGATGAAAAGAATCTTTTCCTTCTGAATGATGGTTCCATGACACGGTATGACTTGGCCTCTGCTTCATTTTCAGCCCTTGATTTGACCATTGTCAGTCCACAATTACCTCCACACTGTGATTGGGAATTGTATTTTCAGGATTCTTTTGGCAGTGATCATTATCCTGTGTTTACCAGGCTTCAACTTGACCCAATAACTGAACTAAGAGAAACAGCTCAGCGGTGGACTTTCTGTAAAGCTGACTGGTCTGCATTTACTGCTTTGTGTTCTGACACTATAACGCCAGCTATGAATTCGTTTGACATTGACCAGTTTCATAACTGCTTTGTTTCTAGCATTATTAATGCAGCTAACGGAACCATAGGCAGAAGTTCAGGTAAACGTCCTCTTAAACCCCCAGTCCGTTGGTGGACGGATGCATGTCAATCAGCACATGATGTTAGGATGTTAGAGGGCAAAGAAAATGGTTGAAAAATCAGCTTTACCATCTGACTTGATAGAGTTTCGGCGCTTCCGCTTTCCTAAACGAACTGTTACTGAAGCCAAACGTTTCTCTTGGTCTAAGTACACAAGTTCCATAAATAAAAATACACCTCTTTCTCAGATATTGAGAAAAGTGAAATTCTTTCTGGTAGTTCATGTTCCAAACGTGCTATTCCATTTATTGGGAAAGACATACCAGCAACAACAAATATTGACAAGAGTAATGCACTGGCAGAGTCCTTTTAAAAAGTATGTAGTACAGATGACT